TTCAGAACTCAGATCTTGCAGCTCAAATTTTTCGCGACAGATTTCGCCAACGGGTACACCCAGACAGAAGGACATTTGTGCAAGTGTACCAAAGACTTCGAGATACAGGAAGTGTTCAGTCCACTAATATTCGCACTCGTGAAAGACAGGTTACTGTAGAGCAGGAGGAACAAATTTTAAATATCGTAGGACTATCGCATAGAATCCTACGGAAAAATTTGCTTTATTCTTACTATGTACAACGAATGCAGGTCTTGTTACCAGAAGACTATCCTCGCAGACTAACATTCTGTCAGTGGTTTTTGCACAAATACATTGAAAATCCGGATTCTTTTAAAAACATTCTAGCGACGGACGAATGTACATACTTTTGCGCGAGACGGGATATTAAATTTCCATAATACTCACACGTGGACCCAACAAAATCCTCATACCATTCGTGAAGGTCATTTCCAACAACGTTTTAAAATAAATATTTGGGCGGGTATTCTTGACGATCAGGTAATTGTCCCTTTTGAGCTACCCTCAAAGTTGTCAGGAATGCCATTACAACGGAGACAGAATTTGTGGTTTATTCATGATGGGGCACCACTACACATTTTTAGAGGCGTCTTTCAGTATTTGAATGAACATTATGGACAGCAAGATCTCCTAACCTCAATCCGATGGATTTCTGGTATTGAGGAGAACTTAAATAGATGGTTTATGGAGCTGGTCCAATAACAACTGAAGCACAACTTCGCGAAAAATATTTTAATGCGGCTGAAATTATAAACACACAACTTTGAGGACCTAAAGTAGTAGTAGTAGAAAGATTTATTTAGCACATTTGGCTACATAAACAGAACAATTGTAAACAACTTAGAACTAGTAAATTCAAGCCATATGGTGTATGATGTAAATGCTGGGCAACCTATAATTGTAGATTTAACAAGTGATTTCTCAATTTTACTTTAAATTTTGTCAAAGTTTTCTGGTCTTTTATCTCCGAGTATAATTTATTATATTCAATCAACCCTTGATGGAATACAGATTTGTAGCATATGTTATACTTTTTGGTCATTAAATGGAAGTCATCTTTATTTCTGGTATTATGTAAATGATGGTCGACATTTGATGATGTTAAATTAGTTAGACTTGATGGAAATATATTATTTTTTACTTTATAAATAAATATCATTACAAGATATTTGATAAAATTTTTTACATTGAGCCATTTTAATTTGCTAAGCATTTGCCTAATTGGAGTATATTAATCTTTATTTAATATTATTCTCATGCACTTATTTTGTAAAATTTGCAGTCTTTCAAAAATGGAATTATTTGCTAAATATAGAATAGTCGAACAGTACAAGAAATTTGGAAGAATGATGGTATTATAGATAATTTTTCTGCTATATGAACTCAGACATCCAGAAACTCTCGATAAATATCCCACTTTACTACTAATCTTATTTATAACTTTTTCATAATGAATATCAAAAATTAATCGAGAGTCAACAAAAACTCCCAGGTATTGAAAATTTTCTACGAATTCAATATCTTCACCATCAATATTCAGTTGAACATTTGTACATTGTTTTTTTCCGATTAACAAGGCTTTCGTTTTACTTGCATTTAATTTTAGTCTGTTAGATGCTAACCATTTTGAGACAAGCTTCAAGTCTTCATTTATATAAGAGATACCAGACTGAATATTTTTAGTACTTATATAAATCATAGTGTCATCGGCGAAAATTTGAATTTTGCATTTTTTGACTATGGCAGGTAAATCATTTATGTATAAAATAAAAAGAAGTGGTCCCAGGATACTGCCTTGTGGAACACCCAACCTATTTTCAATTTTTGATGAAATAGTGTCACTATCTTCTGTAACTTGCATCCTTTTAGACAAATAATTTCTAAACCAATCTAAAACACTTCCTGTTATACCATATGCCTTCAATTTACCTAACAAAATATCACTATCAATCGTTTCAAATGCCCTCTTCAAATAAAAAAATACTGCTATGACAACTTCTTCTGAGTCTATGGCTCTTCTCCGATTCTCAGTTACCAACTGGAAAGCTGTTTCTGTGGAATATTTTTTTCGAAAGCCTGCTTGCGCCTCCACTAAAATTTTTTTTCTTCTATAAACTGCATTAATTGGTCATGCACTATGGACTCTAATAATTTTTCAATGTCTGGTAACACATTTACTGGTCTCATATCGCTGCATCTTTTAGAATTTTTTATTTTGGGAACTGTTGTTATTGTAGAGCATTTCAAATTCTCAGGGAAAGAACTGCTTCTCGGTAAACAATTGATCCAATTTAATACAGGATATCCCAAAATTTCGAAACAGTTTTTCAGCACGTTTTTAGTAGTCATTTCGGCACAGTTGTTATTTGATTTTAAACTGTTTACTTTTTTTCTTAGATAATTCAATGATACGCCGTGAAATTTTGAAAGTGTATGCAACATTTTCCCCTGGAAACTGATTTTCATATAGTCAGGTGCAGCATTGGCAGTACCTACAATATCAACAATACTTTCCACAAAATATTCATTTAGTTTGTTTGCAATCACCAAAGAATTTGTTTCGGTACCGTTTTCGAATTGAACTTGATTTACACAATCATGCGGTTTCGAATTGATCAGTCTTTTTAAAGTCTTCCACATCTTTACACTGTCGTACTTGTTATTATCGATTTGTTTATCGTAGAATTTTCTTTTTCTTCTCTAATTACATATACACATTTATTCCTAAGAGTTTTATATACCTCCCAATCATCATTTGATTTTGTGAATATACATTTATTGTATTGTTTGTCTCTCAAATTTTGAGCTGCCTTAATATTCTTGTTATACCAGGGTGTATTTTTTGTCGAGCAAATCACTTTTTTATCAGTTGCAAGATCTAAACAAGTTTTTATATTTCCTATTATGTTGTCATATATTTTTTCCATATTCTCACCAAAATTCCAATAGCAGCCAGCAAGTTCTCGTTCAAGTTTTTCGTACTTAATAGTATTTACGATTTTCTTAATTTTTGTATCAGAAAAAATCCCTACCAAGGGCAGCATTGTCCAACTGTGATCGCTAACTTTAGGTGTATGTACAGCTTTAATCCCTGCACATTCGAAATTTACAATAACAAGATCTAACAAAGTCTCTGATAATGATGTTATTCTGGTACTCTCTTCAATTTTTTGCTTGAACCCACAGTTGTTTATGGTTTCTTTCAATTTTCTTGTTTTCATGCTTTTACCATAATAATTTAAATTAAAATCAACTAAAAGTATTATATTGTTTCTAAAATTCCACATTTCCTCGCATTTTTCTTCAAAAAACGTTAAAAATGTATCTGCATCACTGTTTGGTGAACGGTAAAAAGTACAAAGATCATAACGTTTCCCAAATAATTTGAACTGTATATGTGCATACACCAGTATGCATAGTCTAAAGTGGTAAAATCGAATAATGTGATCTGTAAGAAGAAACTGGGTTCGTCGTAATGAAGCTTGTATGGAAAGTGGAGGACGACATTTTGAACACCTTCTTTAAATACAAAAAAAGTACAATGTGGGTTTTAAAAATAAAAACAATGTATGTATCAAAATTATGGTCCCTATTTATAAGTGTATTTTTTATACGTTCAATAAACTTTCACACACCAAGTGAAGCGCTGAGACAGTTAGTGGTAAGTCCGTTTTTTTCAATTGTTTGAATTTTACGAGTACATATCAAATAATGAAATAATACCTAAGAGCCAAAAATAACAAACTCCATCTTTATTTACACTGCGTTCCGGCGTAATTTTCGTGTAGCATTAAGGCGTTGTCAGATTTTATTTTACTTTAAAGTCGCGTTTCTCTAAAAAAAATGACGTTGACCCCCATGTTATATGAAACTTTTTGCTTCTTTTAATCCCATCTATCACCCATTGACGTAATGACTATCATAACGTTTACACCCTGTATAGGACATATAATTTATTTCTCAGCTTTTATTTCCAGATCGGTAAACAATCTGAAAATGTCTGAATTATTTTGAAAAATCGTGGAAAATGAGGTCGTTTTCGGTATTTTCCGTAAATAAGTGGTAGTAGCTGGGTGTATTGCCTAAACGCTGTGCTTTGGCTCTGATGTAAGGTAACATCCGCTTCACAAATAGTACAGGTCAATGCTGGTATCCCGCCAGTTGATTCACAGGCTGAGGAGACATACGCTTTCTATAAAACTGGCAACGAAGCTAGAAGAGACGACAGAGAGACGTTTTTTGTTACATAATAAGAGAGTTGGGATACAACTGACCATGGTGCATGGAGTAGCAGGCTGCTTCCCCATATTAAAACTTGAACAGTCTGCTCAGGACCTATCGGTATCTGAAGAGGGTAAGAATTACATCCGTTTCTGCTGATATATTACGAATAATGTTGGCCATGCCACTAGAGCTTACTTCATTGTTCTCAACACATTTTACAGTCAGTCAAACCTAAGCCTTTGTCCTGCATCATATCATTATTGTTTTAATTTTGGAATAGGACAATCTTTAAATTCTGTACTTTTGATAATCTTTACACCGAAGCAGCCATGAAGGCAGAAGCCTAAATGCCAGGGCACCGCAGCTCCCAAAGAAACTTTATTATCCGATTTTTGAACTGCCTAAGGTTAGTAGAACTGGGAAAAGCCTCCTCTGGTAGAATGTTCCTCAATCTCGACACCCTAGGGACAAAGAAGCTAGAGTGGCGGCAGTAGCAGATCCAGTAACACGTTGGGGAGGGGGGGGGGGACAAGTAGTGTTGGTTGCTTACTTTCAATCAAGCCTTTGCTCTTATGAACACAACTTCATTCTCACTTCCCTCTTTCCCCTGTCTCCTTCTTTTCCCTCCCTTCCGCCTCCGTTCTTTCGCTCTACTCTCCCTTTTTCCTTTCCTCTTCATCTCATTCTTTCTCCTTTCCTCTTTTTTTCCGGCAAGTCTGAGGCTTTGGAGGGGGGAAATTATTATGAATTCATTCTTTAAATAATAATTTGCTTTGTTTATACAACTCTTCTGCTCACAATATGATAATAACATAACAAAAGCATAACAATACATTTAATTTAGCTTAGGTCCTCCTAGTAATGGACGGAAGCGTCTTGGTGGTATTTGGATTGTAAGGATTTCCATGGAAGCGGCTAAACTTAAGCGTAGTTTCACCAGATCGTATCATAAAGAAGACTCTGCCTACAGCTATCTCTTCCAACTCCCACATGTGGTATTCTCTGCACATAAATACCTACACAAAATATATATTGTTAATTAGAAATTACTTTTTCCTGTATGTCATCCGATAGCTCTTTACATTTAGGGACTTACATGATTTACTTGAGTAACAAAAGAGAAACGTACGCTTGAAATTCAATCACTTGCTACTTCACGCTTGCAGTAAAAGTGATTGGGATGCTTAGAAACGATATCGCATATTAAAACTTGTATTGACAAGGAAGCGGTACCGATACTGCACAGCTCTTCACATAGCATGGATGTTATGAAGGTTGAAAAAAAAAGAGTATTGAAACTCGAGGTTGCTGAGCAGGAAGACAAAAATAGACCAAGGAACCAACACTAGGTTTATACTTGCTAGGTTGTGGATGTACATTTATATATGTCTACTGAAATTTTCCGGAACCCCACGGTAATTTATGAACTAATAACGAGATGAAACAACTAAGCCCCGCGATTGATAGGAGTTTTGCGCAGCTATTCAACGGTGACCTTGAGTTTTAACTTGACCTTCAAGGTCATCTGGAGGTCAAGCCAATTATTTTTAAATGGAACCCTCATTTTTGACACCTTAAATGAAAAATATGGAAAATTTTACGGTCAAATATGTGCTTAACCATTCATCAATTTTGATCTTAGGAAGCCAAGCCGAAGTACGGTGATATAACTTGAAAACCAGTAGTCGTATAGGGAAACCACCATGACATCATTTTTATGATTTTCCCCAGTTATCCAATCTTGGATCTGACCTTAACCAAGATGACCTTCAAGGTCTTGTGAAGGTCAGATCGAGTTTTGTATTCAGCGAACAATCCTGAAAGAACAGTGAAGTCAGTTTATCTGGGGATTTCACAGATTTTCCGGATTATTCGGAAATTAAGGTAAACTGGTGTTCGACCTTGATGATAAAGTCCAATGTCAAGTTCCAAAAATAGCCAAGGACATATGCGAATACAAAATTTACCCATTTCTCTATTTCCGGAGTCAAAAGTAGAGTCCAATTAAAAAAGTTGAGCTTCAAATGTCCTTCAAAGGCATGGTCAAGATCAGATCCAAGGTCACCAATATCCAGGGTCAAATCATGAAAATAACGTCTAGGTAGTTTTCGTATACAACTACTGGCTTTCAAGTTATATCATTGTACATGGGTTTGACCTTGACCATGAACTCTTAAGGTCAAAATTAAAGAATGGTTAAAAGCAGACTTGGATGTAAAACTGACCACTGTTTTCACGGGTTTAAAAATGGCAGATTCCATTAAAAAACTCGAAGTGACCTTCAAATGACCTTGAAAGTCATGAACAAGGTAAAATTCAAGGTCACCTGTAGATAGCTGGGAAAACTTGTATAAATCGCAGAGCTTCGTTCTTTCCTACCATTATTAGTTCACAAATTATCGTGGGATTCCGGAACTTTTCAGATACCCTGTACAGGGTGACTTTGAAGTTGAGTCATTAATTTTCAGATAATGATTGTAGAAGGAAGATAAACCAAAATGTGTGTAAAAATAAAAAAAAAAAAGTTTACCTTGTTTTATAAAGTATCCTCCCGACAAGTATTTCAGTGCGGACCTGTATTTGATCGTGCGTTCTTGGAGCACCGGCATGCTCTGCCCTGTGAGGTCTTAAGTCACCTGATTCACGAGCCCTTTGTACTACATTAACAAAGGATGTCCACAAGTTCAGCATGTTCGTAAACATGTGCCATTTTTGATTTCGTTTGAGCCACGCAACAGACACCACTATTCACTCACGCGTTACCGACTGACACTAACTGTATACAACTGAATAAAATAATTGTAAACACATCGTTCCAAATTCTTTCGCTTTTTTGTTTCCGATGCGATGAACCGATAAGGCGGATTATATCCGTTGTTGCCAAACACGAGCACATAATATTATTATTGAGACAGGGCGGTGCTCAAACTTCCAAAGGGCTATAACTTTGTTACTTTAATTTTACCAGAAAAATGGTAAAGGAAAAAAACATTTCTTTTGATCAGATCTACTCACTGTTAAAATAAATGACTCGACTTCGAAGTCACCCTGTATATGCATGCCACTGAAAATAAGATGACTAAGTACCCCTGGTATAAAAACTAAGCATAACTAAATTCATCATGACGCAACGCTGCACGCATCACCGTGGTGAGATGTGTAACTTAGTGGGTTTGGCGCATTTTTTGGACATGGCCATGATGTCGACCTTTTCTGCCTGAGAGTGGCTATAAAAGATCAAAAAAGTATCACTATTACCTCCTTGCACATCGAATATAAAATATCAGCTTGTGGCACTTCATACAACCACACCATCGCTACTCTATCAAATATAATTTGTCGGGACCAGCCGTGAACGACAAAAAGGAACACACTGTAGAATGTTATAATCCTGAAATGAGAGAAAATTATATTAATGTCTCTGTAAGTGCTTAGTGGCACGACTTCCAATAAATTCGGTAAATGATTTTGTGAAAAGTCTGAATAAATTCCGCCATTCAAGAACTCCCAAAGCGTACAATGATTCTCGGATTTAAGATGCCGGTCCACATGTTTACTTTAAAACGATACTGAGATCTATCTTGTCACATCAAATGTGTATTTTCTACATTCCACTAGCGTGGGTTATGTAGATTCATGTAACCGTTTCTACTTAAATGTCGACTCATGAGTACATACAGGGTGTCCGCAAAGTTGGGGTTTTCCTTTACACGACGTGTAGATCTTGAAAACATAAGCAATTTTTCTTAGTACCATATACACCACTGTCTTAAGGGAACCGAGATGAAGGGCTCTGCAACATCAAAAATATCTGAATACCGTCCTGTAGCCGCGACATCTCCGAGTGGTACAAAGTCACTGGCTCAACCCGACGACAGAACTGGGTCGGGGTCAGTGTGTCAGGTCAGTATGCAACCTTCAACCGACGGTTACGGTCACGCGTGTAGAGGTAAACGAACCCGTATAATCGATTGCGTTTCAAAAAACAACAAGCACTAGAGGCGTGGCTAGAGAAGTGCAATTATCAAAAACTAAAAAGTGGCAAACGCTGCGTTAAGAGTGGCTGTATCCGTTTCACGTCCAACGTGTACAAGCCCTTCAACCTGACGATTTTCCAGCAAGAGTGCGGTTTTGTGAGTGATTTTTGCATCAACATGACAATAATCCGGACTTTTTGAAGTGCATATTGGTGACAGACGAATCTACGTTCACGCGTAATGGGGTGAATAACTTTCGCAACACTCATATTTGGTCAGTAGAAAATCCGCACGTTGTACATCGGGCACATTTTCAACAAACATTTTCGGTGAATGTTTGGGCTGGCATGGTGAACGGTATGCTCATTGCACCATTTATTCTCCCAAATCGATTGGACGGGATGCAATACCTAGACTTTTTACGCAACATTTTGCCTTCCTTGTTAGAAGAAGTGCCATTAAGTGTAAGACTGACAATCAATGTGGTTTCTGCACGATGGTGCACCGCCCCATTTTAGACGCGAAGTGCGTGAGTTTTTGAATGAATTATTTCCGAATAGGTGAATCGGACGTAATGGACCCGTAGCGTGGTCTGCACCATCGCCGGCGTCTGCTCGGTAGCGCATCAGCTGATTTCATTTTCTGTTGGAGCGGTATGATTTCGGGCAGAGACGTACTTAGCCCTTCTCGTCAACTAGAGAGTGAGTACTTTTTCCTTTATTTTTTTTACATGGTCGCATTCATTTCACTACACATTACCTTTGTTATTTCAAGGGTAGTTGTTTCTGAAAAGGAAAACCCCAACTTTGCGAACACCCTGTATAATGTTCTCTAAAAATCGGAGTATTCACAAAAACTGGTTAGGTTTACCTCACAAAAAAACCTAGCTGCAAATGAGGAGCATGTTAAAGCCTATGATTTGAAAAGTACACTACTTCTTTTTTATATTTTTCTGATAACTACTACGCCCATCTCCGGTTTCCGACTTAACGTCGACTTCTAGGAAACCCATGAAACTGCTAAAAAACTGAGCTGCTCTTAACTACCGATTAAGATACTTACGAGCCACCCGTGATCGTCTTGAAAATATCCTTCACGACCCTATCGGTGAACGAAAAGATGACCAAGGTATCTTCTGTAATTGATCCATAAGGCATTTTCTGAAGAAACTCAATGTAGTTAGCATCATCTGCGTCTTCTCTCACCTGCCACCATATGCCAGAGTGTCCTTCGGTAGGCAGCTTCGCTTGAAAACTGACGTTCCGATATATCTCTGCCTTTGATGCTGTAAAAAATTATAACAAGGCATGCAATATATTACCACTGACCAAACGATGTCCCAGGTAAAGAGGATAATTTGGAATGCTAGAAGTAGATAGCGCCAGTTAGGCTGGGGTTCATACCCGTCATATATAAGTTTATGAACGCTTAGAATCTGAACAATGATCTTCGAGGCAGAGATATTTGCCATCTTAATGGTAGCATACTCAGAGGGAATTTAGCAGTGAACCGAGCAGAGACTGACAGTCAAGCAGCCTTGAAAGCAGTATCATCCACGAGATTAAGGTCACCCTTAGTTCAAAAATGTACTAATGCCCTTCAGAGTTTAGCCTGGTCTTAAGAAGTGATCCTGCTTTGGGTCCGTCCCCGGACACAGCGAAGTGCCGGGCAACGAAAAAGTTGATCGCCTGGCTAGGCTGGGGGCCAGAAGCAGCTGCATCGGTCTAGAGCTTAGATTGGGCATAAGCAGAAACCAGGTCCGCATCGCTCTAAATAAATGGATGTATAGGGACCTGGGAAAAGAGTGGCGAGAGGTGATTTAAGGAGGTTACCTGATTTCATGAGGAAATATAAATATACATGGTGTTTCAGTTTATTGCTGCATAACATTAAGATTCGATAGAACTTTAAAAATTAATGCAAGTCTATATAAACATGGGTCGAAAAATGCGTGGCTTCCGAAGTACAGGGTGTTCAAATTTACTTTCTAAAATAGTTTTTTTTAAATATTTCTGACAATATTTGATGTATAACAGTGAAAATTGGTATATAAGGGTTTTTTGGTACGACAAAACGAACCATGGGCATAGTTTTACTGTCGCCGCTAGAGGGCGCTCTCTACTGTACCTGTAGTGTATTAGAGTGACCGAAAATTACTTCTTAGTGCAATTTTTTGATTTTTCAATAAAAAAAACTGATTCTTAGCACTTTTCAACATAAAAAGGCTCTCTTGTGAATTTTCGTTATAGTTAGCCGTTTTTGAGATATTTCGATTTTTAAGGTTCGATGCATTTTTAATTATTTATGATAAAATACGTTAAAAAGTCAGTATCTCGATAATTTTTAGGAGTGAAATTGAAAGCAGAATAAGGTTAAACGTCAATTAGTTGACAGTTAGTTTTGTTGTCTGTTGAAACCTGAAACGTTTTTTTGCAATTGTGAATGCACGAAATTTAGTTTCCTTTACCTGTTATTTTTTGTAAGTTTTATAAAAATGTCATTTTTATTCTCCAATCAAGAGTTAGCGGACATTCATTTTGTGTATGGCTTTGTAAATGGAAACGCAGCAGAAGCAGCCAGACAATACGCACGAAGATTTCCAAACAGACGACATCCAACTCGCTCAGTATTTGTAAGAGTGCATCGCCAAATAATTGAAAATGGTTTTGGAAATCTCCAAAGGGATCAAAACATAAATGTTCGTCAGCGCAGATTTACCCGTATGATTCTGTGTGAGTTTGATAGAGATCCGACCACAAGTGTTAGGAGAGTTTCTGGTGCCTTGGGAATTTCAGCAAGCCATGTTCACCGTGTTCTTAGAAATGACCATAGACGTCCTTACCATTTGCAACCTGTGCAAGGACTACATCCAGGGGACGGAGAATGAAGAATCACATTTTGTCAGTGGATTCTTGATAGAACTGATAATAATAGGGAGTTTTTAAGTAACGTTTTATGGACCGATGAGTCATGCTTCACTAGACGTTGAGTGGTAAATTTTCATAATCAACATATTTGGTCGCATGAAAATCCGCATGCAGTTCGGGAAAGAAATTTTCAGCATGAATTTAGTGTGAACGTGTGGATTGGTATCTACCGTAATCGATTTTGGACCCTACCTTTTGCCTGCAAGGTTAAATGCTGCGACCTTCTTGGAATTTTTAAAGGCTGCACATGCTAATGTGTGGGATGATGTTATGTTAAATTTAAGAAGATTGGCCTGGTTCCAGTTTGATGGTTGTCCAGCTCATTATTCGAGAATAGTTAGAAACTGGCTGGACGAAAATTATCCAGAAAGATGGATCGGCCGTGGAGGACCAGTCGCCTGGCCTCCACGATCCCCTGACCTAAATCCATTAGATTTCTTTATGTGGGGATTTCTAAAATAAAAAGTGTACCAGAATACCGTAACCTCAAGAGATATGCTAATAGACAGAATCAGGAATGCATGTGATGAAATAAGGCCTTATTTGAATAATGCTATACCACGTTCGATCATTCGTAGATGTGAATTGTGTATTGAACAATTGGGTTTACATTTCGAGCAACTACTTTAGATTTTGTGTGTTTGTCCTAACTATCCAATAGCATTTTAGTTATAAATAATTAATTTAATTTGTTAAAAATAATATTGGAAAATTAAACAAATTAATATTCTGTTTTTTGTGTTTATTTGGAGTTAGGAATTATTGCTGTGTTTAAAAACACAATCTAAACGATCATCTTAATTACTTGTAATGCCCAAATCGAAAATGTAAAAAAAATATTATTTTCCCATAAATAATTAAAAATGCATCGAACCTTAAAAATCGAAATATCTCAAAAATGGCTAACTATAACGAAAACTCACAGGAGAGCCTTTTTATGTTGAAAAGTGCGAAGAATCAGTTTTTTTATTCAAAAAGCAAAAAATTGCACTAAGAAAAAATTTTCGGTCATTTTAATACACTACAGGTACAGTAGAGAGCGCCCTCTAGCGGTTACAGCAAAACTATGCCCATGGTTTGGCGATGAGTCCATCGTGCCAAACTCGATCGAAGGCTCGTTCCACGTCCAGCAGGACGAGACCGGTTGCCTCCTGGAGATTGAAGCCCCTGGTGATGTTTTCCGTCAGTCGTAGCGCTTGGAGTTCCGTGTTGTGGGAGGATCTGAAGCCGAATTGCTCTGGGGGGAGAAGTTGCAGTCCTTCTGCCTGCTTCTCTAGTCGAACGGCGATAGCCTTTTCGACTACTTTGCCCATCGAGGAAACCAGGCTGATGGGCCGGTAGTTCTGGGGCAACTTCCGGTCCTTGCCTGGCTTGGTGAGCATTATAACCTGGGCTTCCCGCCACCGTTGCGGGAAGTGGTTAAGTCTCAGAGTGGCATTGGCGATGTTGGTGAGCGTAGCAATGCCTTTGGTGGGAAGGTTCTTCAGCATCCTATTGTTGATGCCGTCCCTTCCCGGCGTCTTTCTGACCTTCAACCTGCGGATGATCAGACGGATTTCCTCTGGACTGGAGGGGTGATCCGTCTCCTGGCCAGGTGGTCGACTCCTCATGATTTCGGCTGCGACTTCCACGGCCTCCTCGTGGTTGTCGTCCTCGTCTTCATGGTAATTGAGTCTGCATTCGGATTCTAGCGAATCGGCGAATGCTTCGGCTTTTTCTTCACTGGAGTAGGCCAAGCCGCGTTGGCCGTGAAGAGTGGGGATCGTGGTGCGCTGACGACGGAATTTTCGCTGCATAGTCCAGGCCGTACCATCCTGGGTCTCTAGTTCTGCACAGGCTGCATTCCATCTGCTGTTTTGGAGTTCCGCGAGTGCGTTCTTCAGAGCTAGCGATGCTCTGTTTCGCGCAACTCTCGACTCCTCTGTCAACAGCTGGAGATGTTCTCGCTTGAGTCTTCTGTTCTCCCTGATCAGGTGCCTAATATGGTGCGGTGCTGGACCATTTAGGTGTCTAGGAACTGCCGTAGTCTCGGAGCGGGTGCTGTCCTCGTGCGCTCGCAGGACAGCATTCTCCAGCTCCTCTACCGCGTTGTCCAGTTCCTCCGCTGATCGGATTGTTGGAATTTGAGTGATGTTCCTTTGGACGTTGGATTTGTACAGGTTCCAGTTCGTCCGTTTGGTGCTCAAGCTATCTCGAGTTCTAGACCCTGTGCCAAGTGTTAGTAGAATCGGATTGTGGTCCGACGATCCTTCCACCAGGGTCTCTATCACGAACTCCTCTCTGATGTTGCGGAGGATGGCTATGTCCAGTACCGCAGGTCGCCCGAGGCCGAATGGAATGTAGGTTGGTTGCTCCGAACCGACGATGACCCCCGCCAGGGCATCGACGTGTTCTTGGAGCTGCCTTGCATTCCTGTCTTAGACGTTGTTGCTCCTTGCCGGAGATTTGCAGTTTAGATCTCCGATGACTATGCGTGCTCCTGGGCCTCTCAGGAGGTCAGCGATGTCATCTTCGTCTAGGGCCCCCCCTGGTGGCACATATAGGGAGGTGATTCTGTAGGGACGGTGATTGTGATGGACCTGGACCGTGATTCCGTCCCCATTGATGTCTGCGGCATCGTCGAGGACATGACTTGTCAAGGTACGTTTGACGAGTAATGCGACTCCTCCACCTCTGCCTCTTCTGTCGTAGCAGTACGTCTCCTACCGCGGGAACGTCAGACTATGGGCAGCATCCAATTTCGTTTCTTGGATGGCCATCACCTCTGGTTGGTACTGGTCTAGTATCTCCTGGATTTCTGGTTTCCGTGCCCTGAATCCGTTGATGTTCCAGGAGATAATGCGTAGAGATTCTACGTTTTGCCCTGTAGTCATTTCGGGTCTAATGCTTGTCTTGCATCTTGGCCTCGAGAGCATCCAGGCGGGTTATGATGGCTTGCATCATTGCTAGCAGTAGCGGCTGCTGGGGCAGAAGTGGACATAGGTTTCTTCGCTTTTTGAGCGTAAGAGGTCCTATTTGTGGTGGGGACTGCTTTGGGGGCAGAAGCAGCTTTCCTCGGGGCCTTACTACATCCCTTGTAGTTGGCGGGGTGGCCTTCTCCACAAAGGCAACACTTGGCGTTTCGTTGCCCTGTTGGCGGCGCTGGCAGACTGCAGCTGGTGCTGCTGTGGTCCTCTCCACACTTAACGCACCGTTCAGCGAGACGGCAGTTCCGCTGTGTGTGCCCGTACCGCTGGCAGCGGTAACATTGGCTGGGCTCGGTAGACTTTTTCTTCCTCTCGAAGCTGACCGTGAGCATGGCCAGCCTCTGGATCTCTGCAAGCTTTTCCGGCATCTTCGTCTTGACGAGGAAGAGCGGAAGTGGCTTCTTGATGGTCCTTGAGGTCATCTGCTGAACCTCGGCGTCTGCGATGCCTTGGCTCACTAGATCCTCTTTGATGTCATTGACTGACATCTCCCTGGGTAGCCCACAAATGACCCTCTGGTCCATCCTGTCCTCCTTCAGTTGATAGGTGAAGAAGGGCCGCTTGATGGAGTCCAGCAGTGCGACTAGCTGACGATAGTCAGCTGGTGTATTTGTGAACACCTTCACACTGTTACCCGCCGTCCTCGCCTTGGAGAATTGGATCCCCTTGTTGTTTATCATCCTACTTAAGGATGACCAGTCAGCGGTGCCCTCGATGCTGATAGGGGGAACTCCTGTTCCCGACATGGGGGGCACGATGGTCCTGGCTGCTCTATAGGACTCTTCTTGGTGGCGGCAGCTGGCATCTTTGGCTGCCTTGGCGACTCATCTTCGGAGGAGGAAACTCGCACCCGCTTCCTCCATCTGGTGGCGACACTGAAATCGGTGTCGTCGGTCCTCTTCTCGGCTTCTTCTTCTATTTCTTCGGTCCGTTGAGTGCCCTCTTCTTGAGCGTCCATCTCGCCCAACGTAGCCTGGTGGTCCTCATCCTCCCCTTCTTCGGTCTTCTTTGCGGCCTTCTTCTTGGCCCTGCGGAGCTTCCCGTTCAGGTCCTCGATCTCCTGTTGAGCCTGCAAGAAGGCTTCTTGCAGGTTTCGCATCTGCTCTCCCAGCATGGCGAAAGCATCTTTCTTTTCTTTCAGCTGGTTAGCCAGCTTCTCAATTTTTGCCATCGTAGATGGCAAACAACCAATCTATCGCAATGAAAATCGCAATAAGATTGCTCAATATGTCCAGGTGGGTCGCAGTCGCACAAGTGTATACTCGCGACGATCGGACTATGCCACCGGAATAGTGTGATAAGTAAGACTAGTCACCCCTCTCCCACCCTCGCTTCAATCTGCTCTTGCGTTCGGATGTGTTTTTTTGCTCGCTGTTTTGACATTTCTAACGACTTGGCTCTTGTTGGTCTTCCGTGTGTGATTCTTTTCCTGACGACCTAAACTGTACCCTGTTTTCTGTGATTCCTTACGACTTCGTTGCTGTGCGACTTGATTGTTCGTTGATCTACCTATCGGTGAACAATGGCTGATGAACAAAAAAGGCGGCCGTTCAGTTTCGAAGAATATGCGGGTATCCTTTTCTACTATGGAGATGCCAAAGGAAATGCTGAAGAAGCTCCTCGTGAGTATGGGGAAATGTTTCCTAATCGTCGCCTATCTGACGCCCGCGTATTTAGGCAAAAGTTCCGACGGGTTCGAGAGCGCGGTACCGCCGTAAGATATCAAGGTAAGTTTGCATCATTGATAATTATTAACTTATCATAATCAGTAATTCAGTAATGCCTATGTAGAGCCTTGGAGGTCTGTGGGCTGAACTGATGATACTGTAACACAGTTGTTTTGATACAGTTGATTGAACTTCTTATTTTTTATTCATTTAATTTTAACACGAGCGTCTACACGGCTCTGAATATTATTTTGCCAACTCATAGTCTTACCGCTATGTTTATTAGGTAACAATTTCATCCAAAAAACTGTTGTTATTTGTTTTTTCATTTTATTTCATGTGATGCAGGTAGACCTCGACATGATGTGGAAGTAGAAGAAGAAATATTAGATATTTTCCAAAGAGACCCTACTCCCTCTACTCGCGCTGTGGCTCGACGGCTTTGTCCCAATGGCAAGTGTGGTATGTTTTGCATGAAAACATATTCCACCCTTACCACTACACACCTGTGCACGTCATAGAGGAAGGAGATCCCATGAGGCGCATGCAATTTTATCGTTTTATTTTAAACGCTGATGTTGAAGATAGCAATTATTTAAGAAAAATTCTATGAACCGACGAATCAAAATTTGATAAAGACGGCATAACAAACTACCAAACGCTCACTATTGGCGTAAACGTGCAGTGGGAAATCCTCATATGAAGAAACTGAAGGGATCTCAAAGGCGATTTTGTCTGAATGTCTGGATGGGCATTATAAATAACTTTTTGGTAGGACCACATTTCCTACCCGACAACTTAAATGGAGAAGCCTACGAAAATTTCTTAAGAAATGTTCTATTTAAATTACTTGAAGACGTGCCGCTACACACAAGAAACAGAATGATTTTTCAGCATGACGGGTGCCCAGCACATTTCAGACTAAGTGTTAGAAATTGGTTAAATGAGCAGTTTCCAAATCGATCTCATGGCCATCACGCAGGCCCGATCTCACACCTATGGACTTTTTTGTGTGGGGTTGCATGAAGACTTTTGTATACTCTGATCAAAATCCTGTACCCACAATAGAAGACCTCAGAAACAGGATAATACACGCCGCACAAGAAATTCAAGCCTTTCTTAGGAATTCGGTGGTAGTAAAATCAGCTGTCATAAGAAGAGCACGTGTGTGCATTAGAAATAGAGGGCGCCATATTGAAAACGTATTACAAAAATAAAAAAAAAATGTAGTTTCAAACAAACCCTGTATTAAGGTATGATTTTGTGTGTAGTATTTTTATTGCTTTTTCCTTCCTCCTTTTATAATAGTCATATTTGTGCCAATTCTTAATCGATTTGTAATTTTTATACCTCATTTGAAACGTAATGAAACGTAGATGTTTTCTAATTATTTTGTACGAAAAATTTGTATGCGACTTTTTCTAGTAAACTGAAGCTTTTGAGATGAACGAAGATTTTTTTAACAGAAATCGAACTATTTTGAAGCTTACAGCATGAGATAACGTCAATAATGTACATTTGAGTATCAATTTTCGTATTTTAGAATATTTTTATTGTAAAACCAAAAAAAGAATCAAATGAAACACCCAATTTTAAAGTTTTATGCCTTGGTTAACGTATAAAAGACGTTAATTTTATATAATCCTAAAAATTAGTATAGCTCGAAAACGGCTAATTTTCGGACAGTAGTTCGACTCAGATTGGCTTGTCTCCCTCCACCAGCTCCGCATTCAAATTCTCACCACCCTGTACAACAAACCATAAATTGTTTTTTCCAAAAAGTTTTTGTTTAGGGCAATACGCCGTCCTTACATCATTGGGACACCTTGTATATGATCACATAATACGTACTGAGTCACACTACTTGACTCTATTTTTCTTACATGGAACTTACATGTTGGTTCACGATGCATCAGTAAGTCTATAGGTTGCACTTTGCCTGCTTGTTCAATCTTGAGAAATTTCGGCAGGAAATATCTGATTTGTACTTGGTCATCTACAGGCTCGCCTTGTATCATTCTGGCCAGAATTTCTCTGGTTCTCGAATGCGGAAACAAACTAGTTTTTTGGTGTAAACTCAGCTTTTGCTTGATATCTATGTCTTGCAAGGTAACCTCGCATGTCATTTTCACCGGAACTGGATGAGCTAAGCAAAAAACAACATTTCATGATTGTAACACAAATAAATTAAAAATTGTAAAAACAAATATTAAAGCCGCACTCAAACTAAAGGGATTTAATTCTAAGAGCTACCATGATGTTATCTAGCATATGTGATCTTGGAACGGTATAAAGTAAAACCCTATGATCCTAACGTTTCTCTGTCGATTGATTTAATGGTTTTCTCTAATGCTCGGCCATTTTGCATTCTCGAAATGGTGGAAGCCACATCGAACAACAATCTTGAGGCTTATATGAAAAAGATAAACTATTAACTTAAAGGCGTTATTCCGATAAATGCTCGTTCCATAGAAATCGGTTTGCCAACCAGAATAATTTTCACTATTACTCGAATAAAGCCTCCACTACTTCTGTGTACATGTACACAGTCAGGATATATCGTCAATTAATATATGGGCAGGCATATTTAATAATAATAAATGTCTTTATAAGCAACACAACAATAGGGCGAAGTTTAGCCAGTTGGCTACTCTTACGCCCAACCCTACTGAGTGCTTAAATATGTATATACAATTCAAAATCATATACATAGAACCTAAAAATAAATACATCGATCTGGCTTTCAAATATGTGAGCTAATATACTAAGTGCCATATAAATCCGAACACCCAGTTTAAATGGTTTTATTTTAATAAAATTTTGTATAAGTACTTAATGACGCATAATAAGTAAATGATGAACATTTCAAAATGATTGCACTGCTTTAAAGCCCTTTGACCTTTAATAATGTGGGGATGTACCCTGATGTACTACGCATTCTCCAACGCGCCTAGGCATGCTACTGATCAGGTGGTCAATGTCCTCCTGTGGTATCTCATTCCAGGCAACCACCAACTCCGCTCGAAGTGCTTCTAGAGTCTGAGGAGGACGTTGCAAATTGAGCAATCTCCTACCCATCATATCCCACACGTGCTCAATTGGGGATAAGTCGGGAGATCTTGCGGCCATGGTAACAATGTGACATCATTATGTTGAAAGAAGTCTATTGTGACTCTTGTAACATGTGGTCGGGCATTATCTTGTTGTAATGTTGGATCTGCCAGGGTGTCAAGATAGGGTAAAAGATGGTGTTCTAGAACTTCGTGGATATAACGCTGCGCGTTCATGTTACCTCTGATGAAGATTAAAGGTGACATGGAACCATAAGCTAAAGCACCCCAAACCATAACTCCAACAGTGTGGTGAACATGTCTTTCAACAAAAAACTGTGGATTCCTCCTTTCACCACGTCGCCTTCTAACCCTGGCACGACCATCGTGCATGCCTAAACAAAACCGAGACTCGTCACTAAAGACAATACTGTTCCATTCCTGATCCCAGAGTGACGGTTGTCTGCACCACTCAAGGCGATTACGTCGGTGTTCTCGAGTTAAAGGGAGGACCCAGTGTGGCCGGTATGAAAACAAGCCAAAACTTCTCATTCGTCGGTAAACACTTCGCATGCCAATAGGTCTTCCGGGTTCTGCAAACCATTCATTTGCAATGGACCTGGTAGTGGAGAAACGGTCCCTTAAGGCCAATAATCTTAGGCGGCGATCTTCACGGTCTGTTGTTCTACGGCGGCGTCCAGTGCCCCTTGCTCTTTGCGTACGGCCTTCTCGAAGCCATGCCTGACAACACCTAACCGCAGTGTCTACACTTCTTTGCACTCTAACTGCAATTGCCCGAAAAGAAACTCCAGCTTTCCAAAGTCCCACTATACGGCCCCTATCAAACTCTCTAACAAACACAAACAAAACAAAAACATAAAGATAATAACAACTAATTATGATACATCTAACAGCTGATTTTTAACCAGGTTCCTGAATGTTACTATACTTTTGTAAGTGAAACATTTTTGAAACAATGCGGTGTAGTGAGAAGGCATTGTCAGATTATTATTATGTCTCAGATCTCTTAAGATTATTGATTTCTCTAGTTACCAATTTACTATGGAGGTAGATGGGCTTTTTAGTACACAATATCTTATGCACAAATACTTTAAGACTTTATTCAAATTGTTGATCCATTTTCAGCCATTTCAACTCCTTGATCTTAGAGGAGACATGACTATATTTTCGAAGACCATACACAAACAGCAGTTGTTTTGCATTCTTTGGATCCTACACCGATTCATCGAGTCAAGACAAGGATAGTATAAGGTTAAAGCGTAGTTCAGGCTGGACCTTATCAAACTTTCAACTAGCTTCTTACGCGTTTTAAAGTTTATAATGAGTCTATTAGCATATAGCAGTCTTAATTTGATGTAGGTGGACTTCGATAGATGACACACATGTTTGTCAAATCTTAAATTAGAGTCGAAGATGACACCAGGATTTTTTGCTTATTCCACAATAGGAATGAGCTCGTTGATGCTCAATGCAATTCTGTCCCTTACTCTATTATGCAAATGTTTAGGATAAAAAAGTATGCAAGTACTCTTATCCGGATTAATCTTCAGCATGTGTCTTTTACAAAAATCAGTGATGTTGGCAAGATCACAATTTATCTTACATTACACTTCATCCAGATGAGACAAGTCAAGATGAAAAGAAAGCTGCATATCATTCGCGTAAGTTTGTATAGCACAATGCTCAATACATGAATGTAAATCAAAAGTATATATCAAATACAGTAAAGGACCTAAGACAGAGCCCTGAGGGACAACTGAAGAAACAGCAACAGAAGATGAGACACCTCTAACTGTCTTCAGCTTTTGTTTACGATTAGTTGAGTAATTTTCAAAAAATTTAAGCGGAATGCCAGAAAGTTCAATATACTTTAACTTACTCAACAAAATTTTATGGTTAACAGTATCGAACACCTTAGAGAAGTTGGCCATAACTAAAACTGTATTAATATGTTTATCCATATTATTTAAGACATTGTCTGTCAAATGGAGAAGTGAAGAAATTGTACTGTGTCCAGCACGAAATCCAGACTGATGGACATTAAGTAAATTGTTCATCTCTAAATATTCAATAAGTTGGAGACAAACAGCTTTTTCTAATATCTTTGAAAAGAAACAGTATGCTGACGGGTCGTAGATGATCAAGAGTTATGGGATTTTTTACTTTGGCTAGAGGAAGAATTATTGCTTCTTTCCAGTTATTAGGAAAGCTCCCAGTTTCCAAACGTATATTACCAACATGAGTTAGATACTGAAGTACTCCAGGTAAACAAACACTTACGAGTCTGAACACAGATAATGTTAAATTAGTATCGAATAAATTCTGTTGATAAAATTCAGCTGTAGTATCAATTAAATGGGAATGGGTATGGGTATTTTGAAAATTTAATAAAAAGTGGTAATTAACTTCGTTTGGTTCTAATAAATTTAATGGAATCTCAGTATGTTTCTTAGGACAGACGTTCATCATCCTAAGTTGATCTCAGGCTTTCTTCGAATTTAATTGATCTAACCGTGACAGATAGGCCTTTTTTTCGCGTCTAAGAGAGGCAAGTGCGAAATTCCTCATATCTTTGTAAATTTGCCAGTTACAATAGGAAGGATCCTGGTGAAATGTAGCTGAAGCTTTATCCCTAGCCAAGGGGCAGGTTTCTTTGTGACACGCGCTATCCGAATTGGCGCATGGTAATCGAACACTTATTTGGCTGTAGTAACTTTTGGTCTATTGTTCTCTAAGGGAGTCCTGAACTCTGATAGATACATAGATTTCCTAAATTCCCAGCTATACGAACTACTCTCTCCCAAATTATAACCATGTACTTTCAACAGGATGGGTCACCTCCACAGTGAGCTCATGCCAAAAGGGAATGGTTAAATAGCAGGCTTAACCAAAACGGGAATGGGATTGGGAGTCGCGAACATATACGTTGACCAGCGAGGTCTCCTGATACTAATCTATTAGATTTCTTTCTGTATACGATAAGGTATACGAGGAACGGTCATCTACGCCAGTGGATATGAAGAATCAAATTCAAACTGCTTTCACATCCATAAGTCAGGAAGTGTTAGGCAGAGTTAAAAGATTCTTTTCGACGAAAATTCAAACCTGCATCCAACAACGTGGCAAGCACCTTGAACCTTTGCTAAAATGATTATTGTTGATTTTTTTTGTGTTTATACTTTGAGCACTTAGTTATTTCCCTTTTGAAAACATAAATGTACCCTCGATATAAGTTTCCCAAATTATCGTATCGGATTCCCCGGAAGTAAAATGAATTGAATTTTGGTTATCGGGCTTTAGTTAGAATCTTTAATGGTAAATGATAACTCAAAGTCACAGGCCAGGTATTATAACGACCATGACAATCAATTATTTTCTAGCCTATACGTTTTTGCAAAAAATGACAACTATTGAATCTGAAAAGTTGGTTTTAGATACCAAGTCCACCCTAAGATTGACCATAAATCGAAAGATGCAATAATACACTGTAGCTTAAATGCTGTAATTGAAGAGAAAATATTTTAAATTTGTAGTATTCAGAGCCGCCAACCATAATCGATTGATGGGATACAAAAACATACGTTGATAAACCCACAAAAGTTGTAGGATTTGCCTTCAACTATCAGTCGTTGACCTTGATCTTAACCTTAAAGGGTATTTGAAAGACAATTTAGAATTCGAAATGTAAGCAGTTACTTCTGATTCCGGTAATGAATCGAGCATGAAGTTCAAACGTGACCCTCATAAACCGCATATTTGACCTTGAGCGATCCTTAAAGGTCAAACTACCATTAATGCTGGACATGGATAACTCTTACAGAATGCATTTTAGAGATAAATACTTGAGATAAGGCTGTAGGATTTTTCTTCAGCTATAACAAGATGGCCTTGGATATTATCTTGACCTCGATTTTGGAGGTCATTCGAAGGTCAACTTGAAAACTTTAAAAATAAACACCTTATGTTTAACCCCGGATATGGAACGAGCGAAAAATTTCACGTCCAGACGTAATCTTGAGGCAAAGTTAAGGGTCCCAGCCATATAGCGGTAGTTTGGGCCAAGGTCAAACCAGTAAATATTAACAGATGTATGTGTTATTAAGTTAATATTGATATATTATTTCCTCTTGATAAAAAGATGAATGTTTTATGCTAGTCACCGATGTAGGTCACTATTATGCCAAAGAAATTGGACCATGGACTAGAACAAAGGCCCATATTTGCTAAAACGAAGTTATTAAATGAAAAATTGGCAAAATAGATCTAAAAAATATTCGTATGGTATTTTATAAATGTAAAAACAATTAAATATTTTTTCGTATATGGTTTTAACGAACTTTCGTTCGTTGAAGCTACAGACAAAAATGAATTACAAATTGATATTGCGCAATTTTCAAATAATTTCAAAACGGTGGTTCAGCCTATGAGTTACTGACGGAAATCAATCTTATTTACTTTACCTGAGTGGATCGTCCTGAGCGTTCTACGTCTTTGTTGCGGTCTGATCATCCATGTCTGTGCTCCAGTCCTATATGTCAGTGCAGTCACATCAGTATGCTCATATTTATACAGGAACTCCTTAGATACGTCATATGCATTATACACCTGCTTGAAGCTCTCGAAATCTGCATAGTTCAGCCTCGAAAAAATAAAAAAGGTAACATTCGCTCTCCTGTTACGTGACTGAAACTCTCAAATCTTATAGTGTCAGAAAGTTTGGCATAAAAATGGTCGATCAGCCCAAATAATTCGTGTAGTTTTAAAAGTTGGCTCAGCTATTCCTTGAGGTTCCCAAATAAATCTACTAAAAGTCCCCTATTGTGGGTGGTGAGCCAACGGTAAGAGAGAAGGAAATCTCGGTCTTTTCACTTTTTTGCTTAGATCTCGAAGCACAATATGTCCACAATTCCGTCAGCAATTTTATATTAATTGTAATCAATGAATTCACGCTAGGTAAATGGAGCCAGTCTAGGATTTAAATAAAGAAATAAATATTTTATTATCACAACTGCTATAATTGCACGTTTTCCCTAGAATCTGGATTGGTTCGCTGTTCACTCGAACGATTTACTTAGTTATATCCCACAAACATATATTGGATAAACACCAGATGAAAGTTCTGGCATGGTCGATGACTGGTACAACATAAGGTTATATAAGAGAACGAAACTGAAAAACACTAACATCAAGCGGACTCCAACAATTCGATTTTATCGATAAATAATAATGAAATTGACAATCGGGAGATTAATGCAGTGCTGTAACTTTTCAACTTTTAATTTCAATCCAGAATTTATACAGGGTGGCGCATCGAAAACGAAACAGACGCATTTACTGGCAGCTCATTTTTTTTTTTGGAAAAACGCTCAGACCCGTCGCTTTTGTTTTCGAGGGGGATACAAGTTTGCCAAAAAACCACGTTAGCACGTACAGCCCCCTAAGCGGGGGTGACACCACCCCCAAAATCTTAAAATTTTTAAAGGTCTTTCAATCCCCTTTATAATAATATAAAATTAATGTACTTCAGTTCAGTAGTTTTGAAGATTTATTGATTTAAAGCTTAAATAAAACTAATATACTAAGTGACATATAAATCCGAACACCCAGTTTAAATGGTTTTATTTTAATAAAAGTTGGTGAATGTATTTATCGTACTGTAAATAACAAGTGAAAAAATTTTCAGCCTTATCAGTTGGACATTCCGGTTTTTATACTGCTTTTTTTCAATTCACTAACGCTCTAAAAATGAATATTTCAGCTGCAGTAAAGAATCAACGTTGGCGGATTTTGGTTCTTGACATCCTTTACGATCGGTTACGATGCCTAGAGTACGGAGACCTGTACGATTTCGTCAACTTAGTGAGTTTGATAGGGGCCGTATAGTGGGACTTCAGGAAGCTGGACCTTCTTTTCGGGCAATTGCAGTTAGAGTGCAAAGAAGGGTAGACACTGTGGTTAGGTGTTGTCAGGCATGGCTTCGAGAAGGCCGTACGCAAAGAGCAAGGGGCACTGGACGCCGCCGTAGAACAACAGACCGTGAAGATCGCCGCCTAAGATTATTGGCCTTAAGGGACCGTTTCTCCACTACCAGGTCCATTGCAAATGAATGGTTTGCAGAACACGGAAGACCTATTGGCATGCGAAGTGTTTACCGACGAATGAGAAGTTTTGGCTTGTTTTCATACCGGCCACACTGGGTCCTCCCTTTAACTCGAGAACACCGACGTAATCGCCTTGAGTGGTGCAGACAACGGTCACTCTGGGATCAGGAATGGAACAGTATTGTCTTTAGTGACGAGTCTCGATTTTGTTTAGGCATGCACGATGGTCGTGCCAGGGTTAGAAGGCGACGTGGTGAAAGGACGAATCCACAGTTTTTTGTTGAAAGACATGTTCATCACACTGTTGGAGTTATGGTTTGGGGTGCTATAGCTTATGGTTCCAGGTCACCTTTAATCTTCATCAGAGGTAACATGAACGCGCAGTGTTATATCCACGAAGTTCTAGAACCCCATCTTTTACCCTATCTTGACACCCTGGCAGATCCAACTTTCCAACAAGATAATGCCCGACCACATGTTGCAAGAGTCACAATAGACTTCTTTCAACATAATGATGTCACATTGTTACCATGACCACCAAGATCTCCCGACTTATCCCCAATTGAGCACGTGTGGGATATGATGGGTAGGAGATTGCTCAATTTGCAACGTCCTCCTCAGGCTCTAAAAGCACTTCGAGAGGAGTTGGTGGTTGCCTGGAATACCACAGGAGGACATTGACCACCTGATCAGAAGCATGCCTAGTCGCGTTGGAGAATGCGTAGCACATCAGGGTGCATCCACACATTATTAAAGGTCAAGGGGCTTTAAAGCAGTGCAATCATTTTGAAATTTTTATCATTTACTTATTATGCTTCATTAAGTACTTATACAAAATTTTATTAAAATAAAACCATTTAAACTGGGTGTTCGGATTTATATGTCACTTAGTATACATCATCATTAGTGGAGATCAATACATTTGGCAGCAAAGTAATTTGAAAATGAAGAATGAACTGACCCGTTAGGCAAGTAAACGTTGAAAATGGCCACCATGACTCTCCATGCAATAATAACGATTTTGCTCAAAACGTTGCCGCACATTTTGCAATATTTGAGGAGTAATTTGAAGGCACTCATTCACAATTCTTTGTCGCAGGTCTTCTAATAATGTTGGCTGAGTAGCATAGATTTTGCTTTTTAAATGACCCCACATAAAGAAATCCGAAGGTGATAAATCTGGCGATCTTGGGGGCCATTCAATGGCACCTCATCTACCAATCCATCGATCTGGAAACATCTGATCTAAATATTGTCCAACACGTAATGCGTAACGTGATGGGGCACCATCCTGTTGGAACATCAACATATTTGCAATGTACCGCCGATCATTCTGATTTTCAATTATGGCTGTTAGTGCAGGATCTATGGCGTCTTCCAGTAATTCCAAATATATTTCACCGGTTAAATTTCCAGGTATGAAAGAAGGACCAACTAAATGATCGCCAAAAATACCAGCCCAAACATTTAATTTTCGTGGCTGCTGTGTATGAACCTCATGATAAATTCTGGGATTAGAATCGGACCATTATCGTCAGTTATGACGATTTACTACGCCATTTAAGAAAAAGGAACATTCGTCGGAAAAGCAAGTGTTGAATAGAAAATGTTCATCGTTTTCAATTCGTTCACTCATCTTCACAAAATTGTAATCGCCGATCAAAATCGTGTTCATTAAGTTCTTGTACCAGGTGAATTTTATACGAATGAAAACTATGGGCCTTTAGAATCCGTCGGACAGTCCGTCCACTAACACCGCACACAGTCTCCAATTTGCGGGTACTTAACGTAGGATCTACATAAACTTGCCCTAAAACCCCCACTTCAATTGCTTCGTTCCTTATGGGATTTTCAATGGTGCGTTTTTTATTGACGACTGACCCAGTTTACCGAAATTTAGCTACAAGTTCTAGAACATATTTTCGATGCACGTTACTGTTCTCATGTCGCTCATTAAATATTTCTGCTGTTCTATTAGCGCACTGATTATCTCCGAAAAATATTTCGATAATTTCAACTCTTTCTGCTGTGGAATATATCATGGTTAATTTATGTAATAAAGGGTTACAAGTTATTTTAGCAACAAGGATTGGTCAAATCAATCGCAAACTATGTACTAAATTCCTATTTAAAATAAGTACGAGATATTTCCCTATCTTTCTTCAAGAAATAACTTTTTTGCCTCAAAAAACGCTCCAATAGCTATTTTCAACAACAAAATGATAAACAAACAATGGACATAGTGAAGAAAAACATTTACTTATTGAGTAAATTCTTTTAGTCAAATTTGTTCTGAAAAAAACTAATCTGATGTACCTATTAAAGTCTACTTCAAAACTACTAAACTGAAGCTCATGTAATTTACATCATTATAAAGGGAATTGAAAGACCTTTAAAATAAGGTATCACTCGACCCCCCCTTTCCATTTAAGATTTTAGGGTTGGTGTCACCCCCGCCCAGGGGGCTGCACGTGTTAACGTGATTTTTTGTCAAACTTGTGTCCTCCTCGAAAACAAAATCGACGGGTCTGAGCGTTTTTCCACACAAAAACTGAGCTGCCAGTAAATGCGTCTGTCTCGTTTTCAATGCGCCACCTTGTATAAACCATTATCTAGAATTTATAGTCGACTAATAGTACGAAAGACCCCCCTCCCTCCCTTGGCTACCCGCATGGTAGTCTCTTGTGTAAATTTCGCAATCGCTGCTATCCGATTACCGTAAAAACATGCGATATACAGTTTGACAAATTCTGTAAGAATACGTACTTATGTATCAATGCGTTGGTACGATAAATAGGTACAGCATCGTCAATCTGATACTCTAGTACCGATAGCTCTGGAGGCTTGGACGGCCCAGCGCTTCTTCCCCATGAAAAGACCAAGATTGGGAACCAAATCAAGCCTACGATGGAAAGAGATAAAGTAACGCCATAAAGGTACTTGTAAATAGCCTTCTTCTGGAGTCCAGGCGGGGAACTGTAGTCTTGCTCTATCCTACGTAAGCACTGAAACAAGTATAGTATTATATATATATATATATATATATGTTTGATACCAATACCCCGAACCTGAACCCTTTGCAGATGCTTATTTCATGAACGTTGACAACAGCACAGCAACTATTAGTAGTAGTAGAATTATTTATTTAGCACATTTAGCTCCATCAACAGAATAATAACTGTAAACAACTCAGAATTAGTAAATTCAAGCCATATGATGTAGGTATGATGTAAATACTGGGCAAGCTATATGCTATTGTACATTTAACAAGTGATTCCTCAATTTTGCTTTAAGTTTTTTGGTCTTTTATCTCTATATATAATTTATTATATTCAATCAACCCTTGATGGAAGACAGATTTGTAGCATATGTTATACCTTTTGGTCATTAAATTGAAGTCATCTTTATTTCTAGTATTATGTAAATGATGGTCGGCATTTGATGATGTTAAATTAGTTATACTTGATGGAAATATATTATTTTTTACTTTATAAATGAATAACATTACGAGATATTTGATAAGAAAATTTACATTGAGCCATTTTAATTTGCTAAGCATTTGTCTAATTGGAGTATATTTATCTTTATTCAGTATTATTCCCAAGCACTTGTTTTGTAAAATTTGCAGTCTTTCAAAAATGGAATTATTTGCTGAGTATAGAATAGTCGAACAGTACAAGAAATTTTTCTGCTATATGAACTCAGACATCCGGAAACTCTTGACAAATATCCCACTTTACTACTAATCTTATTTATGAGTTTTTCATAATGAATATATGAAAAATCAAACAACAAAAACCCCCAGTTGAACATTTGTACATTGTTTTTTTTTTCGGTTAACATAGCTTTCGTTTTAATTGTATTTAATTTGAGTCTGTTAGATGCTAACCATTTTGAGACCAGGTTCAAGTCTTCATTTATATAAGAGTTACCAGTCTGAATATTTTTAGTACTTATACAAATCATAGTGTCATCGGCGAAAATCTGAATTTAGCATTTTTAGTCTATGGCAGGTAAATCATTTATGTATAAAATAAAAATAAGTGGTCCCAGGATACTGCCCTGTGGCACACCCAACGTATTTTCAATTTTTGATGAAATAGTGTCATTAACTTTTGTAACTTGCATCCTTTTGGACAGATACAGGTAATTTCTAAACCAATCTAAAACACAGATTGGTATACATATGCCTTCAATTTACCTAACGAAATATCTCTATCAATCGTTTCAAATGCACTCTTCAAATCCAAAAATACTGCTATGACAACTTCTTCTGAGTCTATGGCTCTTCTCCAATTCTCAGTTACCAACTGGAAAGCCGTTTCTGTGGAATATTTAACTAAACTAAAATTTTGTTTTCTTCTGTAAACTGCATTAATTGGTCATGCACTATGGACTCTAATAATTTTTCAATGTCTGGTAACAAATTTACTGGTCTCATATGGCTGCATCTTTTAGATTTTTTTATTTCGGGAACTAGCGTTATTGCAGAGCATTTCAAATTTTCAGGAAAAGAACTGCTTCTCAGTGAAAAATTGATCAAATTTAATACAGGATATCTCAAAATTTCGAAACAGTTTTTTAGCACGTTTTCAGTAGTGATTTCGGCATAGCTGTTGTTTGATTTTAAACTGTTTACTTTTTTTCCTCATATAATTCAATGATACGCTATGAAATTTTGAAAGTGTATGCAACACTTTCCCCTGGAAACTGATTTTCATATAGTTAGGTGCAGCATTGACAGTACCCACAATATCAACAATACTTTCCACAAAATATTCATTTAGTTTGTTTGCAATCACCAAAGAATGTTTCGGTAGCGTTTTCAAATTGAACTTGATTTACACAATCACGCGGCTTGTTATTATCGTTTTGTTTATTGCAGAATTTCCTTTTTTCTTCTCTAATTACATACAAACACTTATGATCATGATTTGATTTTGTGAATATGCATTTTTTGCATTGTTTGTCTCTCAAATTTTGAGCTGCCTTAATATTTAGGTTATACCAGGGTGTATTTTTTATCGAACAATTCACTTTTTTATCAGTTGCAAGTTTTTATATTTCCTATTATGTTGTAATATATTTTTTCCATATTCTCACCAAAACTCCAATAGCAGCCAACACGTTCTTATTCAAGGTTTTCTTAATTTTTGTATCAGAAGTGTGTCCTACCAAGGGCAGCATTGTCCAACTGTGATCACTAACCTTAGGTATACGTACAGCTTTAATCCCTACACATTCGAAATTTACAATAACAAGATCTAACAAAGTCTCTGATAATGATGTTATTCTGGTACTCTCTTCATTTTTTGCTTGAATCCATAGTTATTTATGGTTTCTTTCAATTTTCTTGTTTTCATGCTTTTGCTATAATAATTCAAATTAAAATCACCTAAAAGTATTATACTGTTTCTAAAATTCCAGATTTCTTCGCATTTCTCTTCAAAAAACATTAGAAATGTATCCGCTTCACTGTTTGGTGAACGGTAAAAAGTACAAAGATCCTAACGTTTCCCAAATAATTTGAACTGTATATGTGCATACCAGTATGCATAGTCTAAAGTGGTACAGTCGAATAATTTGATCTGTATTTTGTGGTAAACATAAATCACTACACCTCCAGTATGTCTGGAGTTGTAGTTGCATCTGTAGGTTTTATAATTAGTAATTGGTAATTCACCATCAGTGATGTCTTCTGTAGCATGTGTTTCGGTAGGACATAATACAAGTGGTTTTCTCCAACTTAAAAACTGTTGAATTTCATCTATATTATTCAGGACACCATGTATGTTTAAATGGTATATTGAGTTATATTCACCACTTACAGATTTAGCCACATCTTGCAAATCTGGTCTTAGTAGTTGCTATTCATTTTCTCCCTCTCACGCCCATTTCTCCTTTTATATACTTCACAATGTTTGTCAAATGGTCCATGATTAATATAGGTAATCCTAGATTAAAATTCTGCTTTGCTCTTTTACAATTTGGACAGCATTTGTACATTTTACTGGTACTACAGTTTTTTGACAAATTTTATACTAAATTTGATAAAAAATACATTTTATCCATTAAATAGATGGATTTTTGTTTGTTTGTTCAAGATTTATTTAGCATGATTGCTACAATTACAATCTTTTAAACAACTACAACAATTACATAACATACAGATATTCAGAAAAATAACAAAATTTGCATTTCTAAGAATTTTCATGGTCCATGAAATATTCCTTTAATTTTCTTTTAAATATCTTTGAATTACAAGTGACTTTATATCATTGAATGGTGTTCAACTAATAAATTATTTTTGAATGTTAGCAAATACAAAACCGGTTCTTTTACCAGGAAAACGAATCCAATAGTTTTTGATTACACACTGTCAGTTTGATGCGTTGTTCAGAAGTAAGAGATCTAGGTGTGTTGTTTGATGTTAAATTAGAATTTACAGGTCATATTAGTACAATAGTATCATCCGCTATAAAAAGTCTCGGTTTTTTTATAAGAAACTGTAAATCGTTTGGTTGTGAAACGATACTGAAGGCTTTATACTGCACCTTGGTGCGTTCGAAGCTGGAATATGCATCTAGTGTATGGCACCCATATTACCAAATCTATATTAATGAAATTGAAAGTGTACAGAGGAGATTTCTTAAATACTTGACTTTCAAATTAGATGGTGTTTATCCCAGTCGTGGGACTCCCCAATCAGCAATGTTGCTCAGATTTGAAATGCATCCTCTTGAGCTGAGAAGAGTTTGTAATAGTTTAACATTCCTTTACAAACTCGTACACAGTGATGTTGATTCTTCAGCTTTATTAGCTAAAACTGATTTTCATGTACCGTCCCGCATTTCCCGAAGATTTCTCGCTTTTTACTTAAAAACACCAAATTCTAAAGTTATGATTAAGTCACCCGTGTACTTTATGTGCTCTAGCTTTAACGCCATAGCTGATAATTGTGACATTCATCATGATAAAATCAAAGATATATTAACAATTAAGACATGTAGGTGAGTCATTTTTTTTTTCATAAAATGGGTGAGCTATGATTGTAGTTGAAAATATTGCAACATCAAATTGTATTCAATTACATTGTCCTTTAAATGGATGCACGTTACTGTTCTCATGTCGCTCATTACATATTTCTGCTGTTCTATTAGCGCACTGATTATTTCCGAAAAATATTTCGATTATTTCAACTCTTTCTGCTGTGGAATATACCATGGTTAATTTATGTAATAAAGTGTTACAAGTTTTTTTAGCAAAAAGGTTTGGTCAAATCAATCGCAAACTATGTACTAAATTCCTATTTAAAATAAGTACGAGATATTTCCTTATCTTTCTTCAAGAAATAACTTTTTTGCCACAAAAAAACACTACAATAGCTATTTTCAACAATGAAATGATAAACAAACCATGGGCGTAGCGAAGAAAAGCATTTACTTATTAAGTAAATTCTTTTAGTCAAATTTCTTCTGAAAGTAGTACAAACTAATCTGATGTACCTTAAAGTCTACTTTAAGCTTTAAATCAAGAAATATTCAAAACTACTGAACTGAAGCTGATGTAATTTACATCATTATAAAGGGAATTGAAAGACCTTTAAAATAAGGTACCACTGGACCCCCCTTTCCATTTAAGATTTTAGGGTTGGTGTCACTCCCGCCCAGGGGGCTGCACGTGTTAACGTGATTTTTTGCCAAACTTGTGTCCCCCTCGATAGCAAAATCGACGGCTCTGAGCGTTTTTCCAAAAAAAACTGAGCTGCCAGTAAATGCGTCTGTTTCGTTTTCGATGCGCCACCCTGTATATACCTAAATACTTAATTCATTAGATAAATGTCGTTTCTAATTCGGATCTTAAACTATTACATATTCATTCCAAATGTCGTGTTTTAAATACTCAGTGACTTCGACTTGTTTTTGTGGCAATATAATGACTGTATTTAAAGCGTGACGTGGCAACAATGTTAAAAATGCTATCTCTTAGTTTTTGTGAAGAAAGCAGTTTCTGAGAGCTGAGTAGTACAGATATTTTTAGTTATTTCCCTTTTATATGTACATATATTATCACCATGTTAGCGACTTAGACAGGGGTAGAATTATTGCCTATCGAGATATTGGTTTGTCCTATCGCGAAATTGGCCACCGTATTGATTGTATTGTTATGAGAGGAACACGAAGACAGCCAACTGGTCCACCGAGGTGTACTACAGAGCGTCAAGGTAGGCGCTTCGTTGCCTAGACGTATACAGGAGTGTATCCAGTTGCAGGGTCGCCCGACACTTTAATTTTTTTCTTATTTCTTGTCAAAAAAATTTGTGAGAATGTTATCGTTTCATGTTTAATGTAAGACTACCTCACTGACAAAAAATCAACCTAAAGTAATTATTTTTTTCTGGGTGTAGCACTTCTTCCACTGAGTATAGTTTATAGCGGGTGATTTTTTAAGAGGTATAGGATTTGATTTTCAAAAAGAACACAAAAAATTTTAAAAAACGATTAAATCTTTATTTGAGTCGATAGACTGGTCGATATAATTTAATGTTTAAAGATTATTTCATGTAAATGTTGGCCACGACTCCGCTTAGGATGGCCCATGCGCAAGGTCCAATTTTGGCACACTCTCTCCAACATATCGGCCGGTATCTCACGAATAAATGCTTCAATATTGGCTTCCAGTGCGTCAATCGTTGCTGGTTTATCCCTGTAGACATTAGCCTTAACATGGCCCCACAAGAAATAGTCCAACGGCGTTAAATCACACGATCTAGGCGGCCAGTTGACGGGCCCCAAACGTGAGATAAACTGTTCACCGAACTCGCCTCTCAATAGGGCCATTGTTTCCTGTGCGGTGTGGCATGTGGCACCGTCTTGTTAAAACCACATGTCAGCCAAGTCCAGCTCTTCCATTTTGGGCAAAAAAAGTTTGTTATCATCGCACGGTAGCGCTCGCCATTCACAGTTACGTTCCGGCCATTGTCGTCTTTGAAAAAGTACGGCCCGATGATGCCACCGGCCCATAATCCACACCAAGCAGTGATTTTTTCGGGATGCATTGGTAGCTCTTGCAATACTTCTGGCTGGTCTTCACTCCAGATGCGGCAATTTTGCTTGTTAACGTACCCATTCAACCAGAAATAAGTTTCGTCGCTGAACACAATTTTTCGATAAACATGTGGATCTTCCTCTAACTTTGCCAGCGCCCATTCACCAAATTGGAAACGTTATGGGAGGTCGTGTGGCTTCAATTCTTGCACCAGCTGTATCTTATAAGGTTTTACACCCAAATCCTGTCGCAAAATTTTCCACGTAGTGGAGTAACAGAGGCCCAATTGCGGCGAACGGCGCCGGCGGCGAATCGACATTTCACGGTCATCACTAACACTGGCGGATACAGCCGCAATATTTTCTTCAGTCCTCACTCTACGTCTGCGTGTTGGTGGTTTAATGTCCAATAATGTAAACTGGGTTCGAAATTTAGTCACAAGCTTCCGAATAGCTCCCTCAGTAGGCCGACCAAATTGCCCATAAATTGGAAGCAGTGCTCGATGCACTCTCTTAACCGAGCACGAATTTTGATAGTAAAATTCAATAATTTGCAAGCGTTGTTCGTTCGTAAGTCGATTCATGGTTAAATTATAGACCAAACTGAACAAGTTTGACAATGACACAAGACACGATTCACGCGTCATCTGTCAAAAACAGTGTTGCCAAAAAGATACTAGCAAAAAAATCACCCATTACCTTGACCTTGTAGACACTGGTGTATATCTCCTCCATTTTGAACCAGTCAAACACAGACAGAGTGGTATCGGTCCAAAACCAGTCGAAACTGCTACGTAGCTCAATCAAGAACGGTATGAGCAGATACGCACGGATGTTGATGTAGTTCCAAATTCCGAATCCATTGCAGCAGTAGAAGCCCCAAATACGGCTCGGATACCCTACGCGGATCTGTTGGGCTGAGATCAGCAAGTAGATGCAGCGGAAGATATAGTACGCTGTCAGTGATACTTTCTCAATCACCACCCTATAATTTAAGGAGCAGTTATACTAAGTGACATATAAATCCGAACACCCAGTTTAAATGGTTTTATTTTAATAAAAGTTGGTGAATGTATTTATCTTACTGTAAATAACAAGTGAAAAAATGTTCAGCCTTATCAGTTGGACATTCCGGTTTTTATACTGCTTTTTTTTAATTCACTAACGCTCTAAAAATGAATATTTCAGCCGCAGTAAAGAATCAACGTTGGTGGATTTTGGTTCTTGACATCCTTTACGATCGGTTACGATGCCTAGAGTACGGAGACCTGTACGATTTTGTCAACTTAGTGAGTTTGATAGCGGCCGTATAGTGGGACTTCGGGAAGCTGGACTTTCTTTTCGGGCAATTGCAGTTAGAGTGCAAAGAAGTGTAGACACTGTGGTTAGGTGTTGTCAGGCATGGCTTCGAGAAGGCCGTACGCAAAGAGCAAGGGGCACTGGACGCCGCCCTAGAACAACAGACCGTGAAGACCGCCGCCTAAGATTATTGGCCTTAAGGGACCGTTTTTCCACTACCAGGTCCATTGCAAATGAATGGTTTGAAGAACACGGAAGACCTATTGGCATGCGAAGTGTTTACCGACGAATGAGAAGTTTTGGCTTGTTTTCATACCGGCCACACTGGGTCCTCCCTTTAACTCTAGAACACCGACGTAATCGCCTTGAGTGGTGCAGACAACGGTCACTCTGGGATCAGGAATGGAACAGTATTGTCTTTAGTGACGATTTTGTTTAGGCATGCACGATGGTCGTGCCAGGGTTAGAAGGCGACGTGGTGAAAGGAGGAATCCACAGTTTTTTGTTGAAAGACATGTTCATCACACTGTTGGAGTTATGGTTTGGGGTGCTATAGCTTATGGTTCCAGGTCACCTTTAATCTTCATCAGAGGTAACATGAACGCGCAGCGTTATATCCACGAAGTTCTAGAACCCCATCTTTTACCCTATCTTGACACCCTGGCAGATCCAACTTTCCAACCAGATAATGCCCGACCACATGTTGCAAGAGTCACAATAGACTTCTTTCAACATAATGATGTCACATTGTTACCATGGCCACCAAGATCTCCCGACTGATCCCCAATTGAGCACGTGTGGGATATGATGGGTAGGAAATTGCTCAATTTGCAACGTCCTCCTCAGACTCTAGAAGCACTTCGAGAGGAGTTGGTGGTTGCCTGGAATGAGATACCACATCAGAAGCATGCCTAGGCGCGTTGGAGAATGCGTAGCTAGCACATCAGGGTGCATCCACACATTATTAAAGGTCAAAGGGCTTTAAAGCAGTGCAATCATTTTGAAATTTTTATCATTTACTTATTATGCTTCATTAAGTACTTATACAAAATTTTATTAAAATAAAACCATTTAAACTGGGTGTTCGGATTTATATGTCACTTAGTATACAATGCGGCGTTATTGCGTATAGTGTAAGCTCCAACCACACTCGACCCTTTGTCACCCCGAATTTGGACAATAATTGTTTCAAAGTGAGGCTGGTAACGGGGTGAATCCAGAACACCAATGCCAGACGGGCATATCCTGTTATTAAGTTCATTGATTAATTAACTAAAAAATGTAAAATTCAAGTATTTCTTCAGATCTAAGAAATGCGTCGTCTCCGACACTGTTGTTCTTACATATCAACAACCTGCTTTCCTGTACAGTCAATCCAATCCACAGCGTTACTGATGACAGCACTCTACATGCAGGAATTCACAGCGACAAGCCGATCTCTGCCGGTCAGCTGGATAATGGAGGAGTAGCAGAGTAATTGCGGCTGCTCGGAGTCCAGATCACCGACCAACATATGATGAGCTCCTCACTCTATGTGAATACAAGGTCCAGATAAGAACTAGCCTCAAGTATTGTTCACACGTTTGGGGTGCTGCCGCCTCGACTACATTATTTATGCTCGATGCTCTCCAGAGGCTGTGCGACTGATCGATGATTCTTCTCTAAAAGACAGTCTCAGGACCCTATCGCATCAGCAATCCGTCGGCGATCTAGCTGTCTTCTACCGCGATACCAACGGGCTATGCTCCTCAGAGCTGCCTTCCATGATGCCGCCGCGTAATGTGCCTGTCAGGGAGACCCGCCTGACTTTGACCTCCCATTCTAACCGTGTCAATATTCGTATATCTAGAACCGGCCGATACGATCGCTCCTTTGTCCCGAGGGTGTCAGGATTGTGGGACAAGAGGAAGTTTTTCCCAGTTCTACTAACCTTAGGCAGCTAAAAATCGGATTAACTAAATTTCTTTGGGATCCTCATAGCGGTCGCGGTGCCCTGGTACTTAGGCTGCTGCCTGCACGGCTGGTTCGGTGTAGCGATAAAAAATAATTAATAGGGTCAGATGAAACTGATATGTTTGAACCAAAAACAAATTTGTCACACTTGTTCGTGTCGCTACGTCTCAGTTGATCAGGAAACAAGTTCTAAGATTACTATTCATGCAAAACTTTTTACGGAATCGCTTCTAGACTTATGTCAAACAATATTCATTAATCTGTTTTTTAGCGAATGCAGCAGTCATGTTGCGAAACTTCAATTTACATTCAAATACTTTTTTCCAGCAGCAATGAAAACGTTCTTTTCGGATGAAAAGATAAGGCCATATACGAATATATGCTTCCTCCACCACTGACATCGAAATCGTGTCCTTGGTAACTCTGCGGGAACAATGCACATTATCCATTGTAGAGTGTAATTTTAGGTTTACTAAAAGTTCGCGCTAATTTTTGATTACAGTGCGAGCCGTGGCCTTGAATGTTTACGAACTTGCTCCACTGTGTAGTCCATTGAGTTGCGCAACAGAGGGTTGCTGTGCGATTCCGCTTGACTATAACGTCGCTGCGCCTGAAGTTTGACATAATCCCTCAAGTAAGGAATGTCAAGGTCTCTGTGTAGTGTCTCGTTTGAGACATACCATGGAGCGTTGCAAATTATTCGCAAAGTTCTACTTTGCAGTACTTGAAGACTTTGCATATGTGTATAGTTGCCGAAACGCAATTTGGAATTTCGTTTTCAAGGCTGCTGTATGTTTCTGCTAGGTCATGACTTTATCAAGTGTGATACCGAGGTATACTAAGTGACATATAATAAAAATAATAATATTTATTCACTCAATGTACAAAGATAACAAACAATATGAGTAAATAAATATAAAATCAAAACAGGCCCAATAGAAGGCATCGCCTGTACATGGACCAATAAATTTAAGTTGAAACTGTAGAATGCAAATGACAAAAAAGGACAAAAAATAGCTACAGTAGATTATGTATTTAGTTGATGTTCGTATTTATGAGTTTATGAATTTCAGTCCTAGATATAGAATGTAGCCACTTTTTTAAATTACTTTTGAAACAATTTCCGAAACGTAAATCTTTTAAGGCTTTAGGTATAATTTCATAAAATTTAGGCGCTAAATAGAGATATGATCGCTGCATTATAGATTTATGCGGTTGAGGAACTACTGTGCCACGAATTTTGTACCTGGTATAATGATTATGTTTAATTTTTTGGTCGGTGTTTACAAATTTATGGTAGTGAGTGTTACTGTGTAAGAAATAAAGCTGTCTTATATCATACATTCGAACATCTGCGTATAATTTTTCAGTGGGATAAAGTTTCGGTTTTTTAAATATCATTTTTAGAATACTTTTTTGAAAAACATCTAAATTACAGATATGTGAGGAACATGCAGCTCCCCATCCTAATATACCATATGTGAGATGAGGCTCAATCAGTGCATGGTATAATGTTCGAAGATATTTTTCTGTCAATATATTCCCAAGGTATTTAATTTTGTAGGATACAAATCTAACTTTCTTTAAAATATAATTGACATGGATGTCACATCGTAAGTGAGGATCCAAGACCACTCCAAGGTATTTTATGTTGGGCACTCTATTAATTTGCATTTTTTGATCATTAATATTGAAGGAGAAATTTGTGTAATTTGGCAGATGTCTAGCATAAGATCCAAATGGTAAAAAATGTGTTTTAGAGTAGTTAATGCTTAATTTTCTACTGTTAAACCACCGAATAATTTTGAAAAATCATTTTCAATTACATTTTTCAGATCAGACCAGTCAGTGCCTTCATATAATATTGCAGTATCATCTGCAAAACTAGTTATTTTGCCAACACAATTAATTTGGAAAATATCATTTAAATATATATTGAATAACAGCGGACCTAAGACAGTTCCTTGTGGTACACCACACTTAATATACATTTCTTCACTATATGATTCTGATATCTGCACAGATTGTGGGCGATTTGACAAATAACTTTCGATCATATTCATATAAATCCGAACACCCAGTTTAAATGGTTTTATTTTAATAAAATTTTGTATAAGTACTTAATGAAGAAGCATAATAAGTAAATGATAAAAATTTCAAAATGATTGCACTGCTTTAAAGCCCTTTGACCTTTAATAATGTGTGGATGCACCCTGATGTGCTACGCATTCTCCAACGCGCCTAGGCATGCTTCTGATCAGGTGGTCAATGTCCTCCTGTGGTATCTCATTCCAGGCAACCACCAACTCCTCTCGAAGTGCTTCTAGAGTCTGAGGAGGACGTTGCAAATTGAGCAATCTCCTACCCATCACATCCCACACGTGCTCAATTGGGGATAAGTCGGGAGATCTTGGTGGCCATGGTAACAATGTGACATCATTATGTTGAAAGAAGTCTATTGTGACTCTTGCAACATGTGGTCGGGCATTATCTTGTTGGAAAGTTGGATCTGCCAGGGTGTCAAGATAGGGTAAAAGATGGGGTTCTAGAACTTCGTGGATATAACGCTGCGCGTTCATGTTACCTCTGATGAAGATTAAAGGTGACCTGGAACCATAAGGTATAGCACCCCAAACCATAACTCCAACAGTGTGATGAACATGTCTTTCAACAAAAAAATGTCGATTCCTCCTTTCACCACGTCGCCTTCTAACCCTGGCATGACCATCGTGCATGCTAAACAAAATCGAGACTCGTCACTAAAGATAATACTGTTCCATTCCTGATCCCAGAGTGACCGCTGTCTGTACCACTCAAGGCGATTACGTTGGTGTTCTCGAGTTAAAGGGAGGACCCAGTGTGGCCGCTATGAAAACAAGCCAAAACTTCTCATTCGTCGGTAAACACTTCGCATGCCAATAGGTCTTCCGTGTTCTGCAAACCATTCATTTGCAATGGACCTGGTAGTGGAGAAACGGTCCCTTAAGGCCAATGATCTTAGGCGGCGATCTTCACGGTCTGTTGTTCTACGGCGGCGTCCAGTGCCCCTTGCTCTTTGCGTACGGCCTTCTCGAAGCCATGTCTGACAACACCTAACCGCAGTGTCTACACTTCTTTGCACTCTAACTGCAATTGCCCGAAAAGAAAGTCCAGCTTCCCGAAGTCCCACTATACGGCCCCTATCAAACTCACTAAGTTGACGAAATCGTACTCTAGGCATCGTAACCGATCTTAAAGGATGTCTAGAACCAAAATCCGCCAACGTTGATTCTTTACTGCGGCTGAAATATTCATTTTTAGAGCGTTAGTGAATTAAAAAAAAACAGTATAAAAACCGGAATGTCCAACTGATAAGGCTGAAAATTTTTTCACTTGTTATTTACAGTAAGATAAATACATTCACCAACTTTTATTAAAATAAAACCATTTAAACTGGATGTTCGGATTTATATGTCACTTAGTATACTTGGCAGAATTTGTCCATGGTGAACGATTGTTGTCTGCAGAGACCTCTACTGGGGGGCCGCGACGTTTTTTCGTACAATAAAATAGCCTGCGTTTTCGAATGATTAGGTTCAATCAGCCAGCGTTCCGCCCACTCTAGTACTTCTTCCACTGCACTCTGAAAACCATCGTGAACCAGATCACCAGTACACGACTGGGAGTTGTCTTGTAGTGCAGTGTCGTCAGCACAGAGGTAGACTTCTCAGTTGCTGGGGCAAGGGACGTCATGGATAGAAAGCGAATAAAGAATTGGTCCTAGGACCGAACCCTGAGGAACACCGGCTCGTACTGGCCGTGGTGTTGACAAAACATTGTTAATTTTGATCCGAAACTTCCTTCCATCAAGAAAGGATTTCAGTAATTTTGGAAGCCAAAAAGGAAAACCCTTTTGGATTAGTTTATAAAGTAGGCCCGCGGGCAACACCTTGTCAAAGGCTTTTGAGACATCCAAAAGCAAGCTGCCAGTACTCATGCTGAGGGTGAACCCACTCTTTACATGTTCCACCAGCCTGACTGCCTGCAGCTCGGTGCTATGCTCGGATCGAACACCGAATTGAACGTCAGCAATCACATGGTGATTTGACGAAAAATTCTCAAGGTGACGATAAATCACCTTTTCGGCGATCTTAGAAGGAGCTGACAGCAGACTTATGGGACGGTAATGATAAGGAAATATCGAACCCACCTTCTTTGGAATCATGATGACCTCAGCAGTCTTCTACCCAGCAGGGAAGTACTGGATTCTCAGCGTCGCATTGATTATTGTCACCAAATATGTCAGGGCTTTCGGCGAGAGCAGCTTCATCGCCTTGTTGGTCATTTGATCCTCCCCAGGTGCTTACGCACCTTGAGGTCTTTAATATGACTTAGGAGCTCCGCTAATGTGCTATGTGGAGCCTCAGACGAATATTCTGAAGAAGAGTCATCTGAAGAGGATTTCAGTGCTTTTGCTAACGCCGTTGGCCCTAAAATATCTCCTGACGGATCGTACGATGTGATGTTCCTCGTTATCAAGATCATAGTGGGGAGAGAACTGTTTTTCCATGGCATCAGCAAACACCTCGACCTCATCCTCCGTTCTGAAGACTATGCCTTCAGGACCGTGGATGTGCGGGAGTTGTTGTCGCTTTCCGTTTCCGAGTGACTTTGCGACCTTGAATCAAGCATTCCCGCCAGAAAGTCGCACCATATTGCTCGTTACGGAGTTCGTGCAGTACGTTTCTCACTTCATGGACAAGATTTGTCATCAGGATGACAAGATCTTTTTGCCTGCTTAAGAGCGGCTCTTTTGTTAGAGATTTTCTTCAAACTCATATCGTTACATCAAGTTGACAATTCTTAAATGATGAATTAATGTACCCAATAACACCATATTCTCGTCCGACATTGTTTTGTTCTGTATTTCCCCATTATCAATCTCTCTTCAATACCATTTTTATCCGAATGACTTAGGCTCAAGTGTCGATGGAGCTTAGACTATTATAACTTTCAATTAGAGACAGTTCAGTAATTAAATTCCTATTTTTGCAAATAAGTGTGGTGTTGGACGATTTAAAAACGTGGTACTTCTTGCTTAACTTGCAAATGGTGGCACAAGCCTCGTGAAGCCCCGTCACTTTGGTACGCATTGGTAGACCAATGATGCACCAAATCTACGCAATTTCGGCAACAAACAATGCAAACATATATTTGTGATTTGAACACTTTTACGGTTAGATCATTATGATGCTTACTACTTACCATCTTTTTTCAATCAAATGGAACCGCTTTTCTGTGATTTTGTCAGTCAAAAAGTTTTTTATCAAATTTCAAAGAGATTCGAAAGCAATAAATATTAGCAGTCAAACTATATACGCTCAGGGGAGGTCATGGAGGTCGTGACCCATGACCCCCCCTGGATCCGCGCTTAACGTTGCTAATATGGACGATGAAGTTTAGAAAGAACTTTGCATTGAAATATACCTTCCGTTGACGTAGTGTGGGATCAATACAAACAGCCACACATGCACCAACACGGTATGAAGGAGATGAAGTACTTGTTTCACAGCAACGCTCTTCCTCAAGTAAATTGCTCGGTCCGCAAGGATTGCCAGAAAGTGCATAAATACTATCATAACGAACCGCACTGGAACATAACATGTGCTAAAATATTGCCACACTGTGACCTTGGAGTTTTGCTGGAAAAAAAAGTAGGTTGACTTACCACTTCCCACGCAACGATGTCATCAGTTAATCAAAGGCTGCGAGGTCTGAAAATTAAGTAATGAGACTGGCAACGTAGCGTTCGATTTAGCAACACTGGAGGCACCGAGCTTTGGGGAGACAAAGGAACATGTGATCCGCCTTCAGTACAAGTTTGAACTCGCTCGAGTCATTTGGTTATACGTAGCGATTTTTTGACATGTTACATCAACTTCGAGCAACGGTATGCTATAAATTGTCGTCAATAAACGAGTTTTTGACCAGTAAAAAGATTTCTGTGAGTCCCCAGCCTCCCCATTCACCCAACTTGAGTCCTTGCGACTTTTTTTCTTCCCAAAGTAACCCTCAAGGAAACTCATTTTGGACAGTCGAAAGGGCTCGAAGGGCTGTAACCCATCATCTGAAGGCTATTCCACTATCGGAGCTCCAGCACTACCATGAGGAGTGGAAGAACCGTCTCCAGAGATATGTGGCTTCAAAAGAAAGCTATTTTGAGGATGACAATATAAAATTAAAAAATCAGTCTCATTACTTAATTTACAGACCTCGTATGTTCCGCCCAAGTTAATACAAGGAGTACTTAGTCCCCACTAATTTGACAACATTACGATCCAGAAAAGACTCCTCAGCAGCCCTTTGGGAAATGGCTTTCGGGTAAAAATTTAGAATATATTGTAGAACTTAACAAGTAGAACAAAATCGTCCATGGATCCAATGCTTTACTACGAGAAGTTTCAAGAATAAAGAAGACCTTCAAGTTGAGTCATCCATACACTACTACACTGCAGCATATTGTGGATTCAGTACATGATATTACAACCGTTTGATATTTATTTGCGTTGTTATCATCATACCTACTAACCAGTTTAGCAACAGTGCAATTTTGTCACATGTACAGGGTGGTACAATATATTATTTATATTTTTATCACATATTTAGATATACCAACATACTTCTGACATTTGTAGCTGTTGCGATAAAAATTATGTATATTTTTAAAAAAAATACATCAAGTAGATTGGCTTTATACTTCCGCAACCTCTAGCATAATTATCCAGGTAGTACAATGGCATGAAAAACAAACCATCAGGCTCTAAATTTAGAAACACCATAATGTAGTGGCTAAAAAGTTGCAACGGAAAAGCTTCATTAGTTTTTTGATATCCCTTATAATAAAGTGAGGAGAGAATATAATCCTTATCTTGGTATACCTACTTCGAAAAAGTCCACCTCACCAAACGCGACGGTCAGCAATGCTAAGAAATCGAAGAAGAACATTGCGGTATAGTAATCATGTGGTTCCTGATTCACGTGGCGCAGAAGTCTTTGTTGAAATTGACGGAAGCTTATGGCATAATGGAGAATACTGAAAATAGATATGCAAACGTTAAAATACAGTTGCTGCCTTCAATAGAGAACTTACATGTTCTTTATTGATTCAAGTATGTTATCCAAAACAGCTGCTGTCATTGTTCTTACTACGTAAAGGTTGCTTTCTCTAATTATTGTTCTCGATGATAACCTGAAAAATAGTCCAATAGACGACATTCAAAGGGTAAATTGCTGATAAGCTAGTTTCATCGTGCTTTTTTATTATTCACTTTAAATATGATCAGAGAGGAGTTTGCCTACCAGTATACGAACAAAAGATACTAACGATGCAGTTCTTACAAGCGTTCTATCTTCCATAGCGTAATATCCATCAGTAGCACCTGCTTCGACACTGATTGTGACGGTCGTCCATAAGCCAATATTTCTTAGGTAAATTCTACAAAGAATTACAATCCTTATATGCAGATATTCGGCGTTGACCGTCAAAGAATCAGGGTCTGTAGACGCGGTTTTTGGGTCGTGGAAGTAACTTAATTTCAAATTGATTGCATCTATGAAACTTTTGGACACAAATATCTTAGAGCACATGTATCTCAATCTTACCACAACATTTTTCTATTCACTTTGGCACTTGATTATTGTATACATCCACCCAGATATTTTAAAAACTGCGCATTCCACAAAAAAAAGCTTCCAACCAAAAGTTGTAGGAATTTAAAGAGGCAAAACAATGATGATCTTGACTACGGCCTCCAAGGTCACTTTAATGTCAAATGAATATTTTTAATCAGAATCCCCCATTTTCACAACGGAATTGAAAGGAGCGGCAAATTTTACATCCGAAAATCAGCTCCGTCACGAGTTTGACCATTGTCTTCAAGACCATTTTAAGGTTAAATCAAGACATCGAAAAGAATTTATTCTTTCAAAGATATTCGACAGTACAGTTGTGAGGTTTGTAAGGATCACCTAAGGATCACCTCGACCATGTCCGGCAAGGTCAAGTCAAAATTTCAAAAGGAAGTATTAGTACTGGAAATTAAAAAACCAAAAATGTGACCTATGTCCGAGTCGTGCCAAACTTAAATATTACACGAGGTCAAGGTCACATTTGGATGTTTCTGTTTCTACCAGTTCCAGTATAAAAATTAGAGGATTCCTTGACTTTACCTTGAAGGTCATTGTCAAGGTCACCTTCGGGTGAGTCCCAGGCACGTCGCAACTGTGCTGTAGAACATTTTTGATAGAGTGAATTGTTTTCAATGTCTTACTTTGACTTTGAAGGCGATGGCCAAGTTCAAGGTGAAGGTGATGCTAAGACGTAAAATTTCAATTCTGATGTGAAAAAGGGAGGGTTTGAAAATATTCACTAGGTCCTGAAAGGCTCTTAAAGGTCGTATTCAAGGCCACTGTCAAAATCACCATCATCTCCCCCTCGAAACCTTACTATTTTAGTTCGAAACTTCTGCTTCTAGGATGCGCGGTTTTCGAAATATGCAGGTGGGGAGATTAAAAGAGGACACCGTATGTAAGCCCAAATTTCGCAAATATTACATTTTTATCCAAAATTCACCAATTTCCAAATATTGGTATGCAACTTTTTACTTCTAACACACTAAGACACAAGCCATATATACAGGGTGACTTCGAAGTTGAGCCATTTATTGTAACAGTGAGTAGATCAGATCAAAAGAAATGTTTTTTCCTTTAACATTTTTCTGGTAAAATTAAAGTAACAAAGTTATAGCTCTTTAGAAGTTTGAGTACCGCCCTGTCTCAATAATAATATTATGTGCTCGTGTTTGTCAACAACGGATATAATCCGCCTTATCGGTTCATCGCATCGGAAACAAAAAAGCGAAAGAATTTGAAACGCTTATTACGATGTTTTTACTACTATTTTATTCAGTTGTATTCAGTCAATGTGTCAGTCGGTAACGCGTGAGTGAATAGTGGTGTTTGTTGCGTGGCTCAAACGAAATAAAAAATGGCACATGTTTACGAAACTGCTGAACTTGTGGACATCATTCTTATTTACGGGGGGGGAGTCTTTACAAAATGCTGCCGCGGATCACGAATTTATGCGGATCGGTTTCCCAATCGAGTGCAACCTACCCCTCGTGCCTTTGTTAATGTAGTACAAAGGGCTCATGAATCAGGTGACTTAAGACCTCACAGAAGAGCGCATGCCGGTGCTCCAAGACCGCACGATCAAATACAGGCCCGCACTGAAATACTTGTCGGGAGAATACTTTATAAAACAAGGTAACATTTTTTTTTATTTTTTTTTATTTTTACACACATATTTTGGTTTATATTCGTTCTACAATCATTATCTGAAAATTAATGACTCAACTTCAAAGTCAAAGGGATACTGTATAATAAGAATGTTTGTTTTTAATGTGAGCGCAGTAACGCTTTCACTTTTATATGTTCTATGCCTAGTGTATTTTATTGCAGAATATAAACATAAGGTATTGTGAACTAAAAAATAATCAAGTAGGTACTACAATATAAAAGAAATTGAAAAACGTTTAAAATAAATGATAAACTTGAAATATGAGTTACTTTCAGGGCCGAAAACCCCACTATAGACCCTGATTTTATTATCTGCCCGGCCAAACATTCCAAGGGTAAGGGGTGCCCAAAACGGGTAGAATGTTTCTCTCATGTTCAACAAATATATTCTAAATTACAGGCCTAGCACAATATTCAAGAAATCCACCAGAAGAAATCTCAATTAAAAAAAATATATGTATAACATAACATCTTGAACTTAGGCTCTGGTTTTCATGCTGATGATTCTCGATATCTACTGGCCATTAAATGAAACCACATATGTAGACTTGAGTTTTTATTAACGTTTCGATCACCTCGCCACGGGTATTACGTATCTAGAGAAGTGACTTTATGCTGTTTTTGACATTGTATTGGTTTTTTGTGATACTATGTAGGTTTTTATAGAAGTTGTTAACACAGCAGTACCTCATGGACACGTTGTGAACTCGTTTTGTAGTTGAACGTGTTGCCTAAACGACATGAGGCTTCAGTTATCAATGTTTGGCTCTAATGTGATGTAAAATCTGCTTCAGAGATGGCATTACTGAAAGTTTAAGCTGTAAGTTGTATGCTGTAGCTAGAAGAAAACGGCAATGGGTCGGTGCATAATGAGCATTTTATAGCAAAATGCACGTGTTTACCTTGACGATATGAATCACAAACCATTCCGAAAGATAAGTGTTATTTTTATGCGAAAAACAAAGGCTGCGTTTTTTCTTCTAAACAAATTCAGACATTCCGTATTTGTAGGTAATCGAACAAATGCGCTACGATATTTGAAAAACATACGTTACTATACACATTTTAAAACAAAGCGGATGTGTCTATCATATTTTGCTACGAATTACTCGAATCACTATTTGCTATAAAATGCACTTTGAACGAATCCTGTGTATCGCTCAGTAAACTAGTAGTGATGGACGGAAAACAGGTGTTTTGGGATCAGCAATTAGAAATTCTCAAAAACTACTTGACCAATCTACTCCAATTTTGTTGTGGTCATTTAGAATTACCAACAAGTGCCAAAACCTGAAGTTTGCCTCGGATTTCGGCCATAACTTTTCTGCTATTGGTCGGATCTTTTTACGTGTGTTCTCATTTTGTACCGCTACGACATCAACCAGCTGAATGGTGCGAATATTTGAAAAGGAAGTTCTGCTACTACACCTTGAACCTTGAAAAGGGCCACCGAGGTGGCCGAAACGTTATTAAAAACTCAAACTTCCGTATGTAGTTTCATTCAACGACTAGAAAGCATTGATAATACAAGAAATATGACTAATGTGATCTTCTTTCACTTGCCTGTGTATCAGTACGGCTATTAAGGTCAACATTTCCCAAAAATAATAATAGTCCATCTTGCGGAGGCCCATGAATTTTGATGGAAAGAAAGGATTGATTGTATCCATTGGATCAAATTCAGTCCTTTCATTGAGCAGGTTATTACCAGGCATCATCTCAAACTGGAATATGCACTTGAGGAGAATCACTAGCTCAACGTAGCCGATCATGATGATCCAAAATGTCTTCGAAGGCCTGTCAACATAAGACGTGATTATAAGAGACCGAATCCAACTGGCAAATGCAACCCTGTCACAGAACATGTAACCGAATACGTTTGTGTTTTTACTTCAAAACCAGGAAATGTAAAAGATTGTTGAAGGATGAAGGCTTTCACGGCTAATTCTAATGTAATTTAGGTTTATCGGGCTGTTGAGCAGTGGTTGGATTGGATTTGGTCCAGACCTTTCGGCTACATCTGCGGTAGCCATCTTCAGTGGCGCTGTCGGCGACAGAGAAGTGCTCGGGTTGGCAGGTCGACTGAAACTGATCGGTGAACACACACACACACACACACACACACCCTCCTACTCTGTGTGGTCCCTCCACCACCCCTGTTCCAGGCAAGCTCAAACCCTTGAGGAGTGGGAGGAAGAGCAATCTGCTCCTCCCTCCTCTCCCGCCCGAAGGCCTGGCGTGGCGCTGCGTGGTTCAGGCCGCTGCGCATTCCCCGAGTGTGTGGTGCCGAACGAGCTAACCCTTCTCCCCAATTTTGCACCTTTTTACCGAAATTTGACTCGATCGCGCACGCGTCGCGAAAGCAAGTGGTGGACGTTTCATCCAACTGTCGGTTCTCGACTTTAATGGACGGCCTCTTTCTTGGGGGACCTGCGCTGGGGGCTTTGACCTAAGTCCCGCATTAAGGTTGGTGAGCCTTCGCTCCTTCCTCGTCGACTGGAGTCAGTCAGTCAGTCATTTGCTGTTTGTCTTCGTCTCCTGAGGTTAGCCCCGAGTCCGTGCTTGACTCTGGCCACCTCAATCGACAGGCTTCTTTTTGTCCACTCGTTGTACACGGGCTGTTCTTTCCCCTCTTGGGTGTACAACTATTGTCGGTCTGCTTCCCTTTTCTTTGGCCTCATCAGCTGCTAGGGCCAAATTTCTTCTTGTTGCAGCTGGCTTTTCGGTCTTTCATGACGCCTTATTGTTCTTGGGTCGTAATCCAAAGCGTCTTTAATACGCACATTTCGATGTCCTTCGTTCTTTTCAAAGAACTTTCGGGCCCTCTCTCTCATCTGGATTACGACCGGTACCTGTCGTAGTTCGTCATATAGCACTCTGTTAGGTACATACCACGGTGCGTCCACCGCCTCACGGAGTGCTATGTTTTGTTGAGCTTAGAGCCTCTTCTTCATCGTCTTGGAAACGTAGCCCCAAGCTACTGCTGCGTAAGTCATGACTTGGAGCAGCACCATCTGAATCATGATGGTCTTAATCTTTAAGGACACTTTGCTTCTTCTGCCTATTAAAGGTCTTAGTTTGGAGCGTGCCATCTTCACTTTTTGCACCTGGCCCTCGACATGGTTCTTCCAAGTGAGTTTTCTGGTCCATCTTCACTCCAAGGTATGTGCTGAAGTCCTTCCAGTCGACCTCAACTTCTTCGTCTCTTCTCCAGCCTCTCTCCATCCTGGTGGTCGTCATCTTTATTTTGGTTTGAGGAAATCTTCGATTTCTTCGGAACAGTACCGCTTCGGTCTTCTCAGAGTTGAGACGGATCTTCCACTTGATGCACCATTCCTCTGGGTTGGTAGTCGCTCGTTGCAGATATTCCGTAACCATGCGGGGTCTCATACTTTCTGCCGCATATGCTGTATCGTCCGCATACACATACAGTTGCGTTTGTGGAGCCTTCGGGATGTCTGAACTGTAGATTGCATACAGCAGGTGTGATAGCACCGCTCCCTGCGGTACTCCTGCCTCCACAGTCCTCATCGTCGAAGTTGCTTTACCAATCCTAATTCGGAATTTACGGTGCTTCAAATAGTACTTCACCAGTTGGATCATCCCCGTTGAGTATCTGAGGTCTACCATCTTGTAGATCAGTCCGTCATGCCAAACAGTGTTGAACGCCTTAGCGGCATCCATGAACAAAGCTCCCACGGCCCGCCGAGTCTGGAACGATTTCGTTGCCATCTCGACCAGCCTTAGGACCTGGTGCTCTGCTGAATGTTCGCTTCGGAATCCGAACTGTTCGTCTGGAACTACTCGGAGTTCTTCAGTTTCGTTCCTCAATCTTCGTTCGATTACCCTTTCCGCAATCTTGCTCAGTGCCGTCAACAGGCTTATGGGTCTGTAGTTTTGGGGGAACCTTGGGTCTTTGGGTCTTTCCCAGGCTTTGGTATGTTGATCACTTCGGCTACTTTCCAGTGTTCTGGAAAGTATCGGTGTCTCAGTATGGCGTTGACAATGTTGGTGATTGCCATTATCGCTTTCCTCGGGAGTCTCTTCAAGACTCTGTTCCCAATTTCATCTACACCCGGTGCTTTCTTCACCTTGAGTCTTCCGATGATTTTCTTTACCTCGCCTGGAGACGTCATGTCTTCAATGGCTCTTCCTCCTCTTACAGCTCTCCTCGATCTTCTTATCACCTCGTCTTCATCGGGGTGAGTATTGAGAGTACTCTGTCTCTGAAGGTTGTCAGCAAAAGCTTCTGCCTTCTCTTCGGTTGTGTACACCATCCCCTGTTCGCTGTGTATTGGGGGGATGGGCTGTCTTCTGTTTCTGAGGATTTTAGCCAAGTTTCACATTCTTGGATCAGCTGGAGATAGTTTTTCGAGTTACTTCCCAGGTGCTCTGATGATGCTGCTTCAAGGCGTACCTTGCTTGTCTTGTCAGTCTGTTTGCCACCATGATGTCCGTGGGGCTTCTGGTCTCCTGGGTTACTCTTCAGGCTCTATTTCTTTCGGTGATCTTGCGATTTACCTCGTCAGGTAGGTCCCAAAACCTGTTTGGTTGCGTTATGTCTTCCACGGTGGTTGCGGCTTCTAACGCAGCCTTAACCTTCCTTTCTAGGTCCGTGATCGCTTCCTCTATCCCTTCAGGGATTTCAATCTGAAGTAGTGGTCCTAGTGAATAGTGCAGTCTGATTCTAAATCGCTCCCAATCCACTCTCTTCACTGTTCTTTGCTCCACAGGTGTTCTCCCATCTTCCAATTGAAGAAATCGGTGAACTGGATGAGCGTGCGGTTTTATAGGCGATGGGCGGACTGAGGACTGAGTTGTCTGGTGGGGTACTCTGGACCTCTTGAGTGATGTGGCTTTTGCGCTGTGTTCCTTAGAATTGGGAACCACGTTTTGTTTAAAGCAATGACTTCTTTTCTAACGAAATTATCATGAGTAGTGGGTGGATGTTGATAGGACAGAACATTGTGGCCGTCTTGGAGTGCGTGTTCGGCCACCGCTGATTTATCAGTTTGTCCCAGTCGGCAGTTTCTTTCATGCTCCTTGATGCGTGTTTGGAAGCTACCTTTAGTGGTGCCTACGTATACTTTACCACAGGTACACGGTGTTCTGTATACGCCGGCACCACTCAGGGAGTCCCTAGGGTCCTTTACTGATGTTAGGAGTTGCTGGATTTTATTTGTGGGCTTGTAGATGGTCTTGAGGTTGTGTTTCTACAGTAACCTTCCTATTCTATTCGTGATGCCCTTAATGTATGGCAGGAAGGAGACTATCGCAGGTGGTTCCTTGTCTCCTGCCGGCGGTCTGCTTTTTTGTCGTGAAACCTGTTCTATTTGTTCCTTGCGATAGCCGTTTGCTTGTAGAACCATGTTAACATGATCCAGTTCCCCCTGCAGGTTCACAAATTCGATGTGCCCTGTCTGTCATATTTTTAATGATACCTCTTTTTTGCCCAGGATGATGGTTGGAGTCCTTGTGCAGATATTGTCAGTGTTTGCTGTTTTGCGATAAACTGTGTGTCCCAGCTTTAAGTTCTCTCGTCTGGCCACCAATACGTCTAGGAAGGCCAGTTGATTATCCCCTTCTATCTCCATTGTGAATTTGATTTTGGGGTGAATGCTGTTTAGCTGATTTAGGATCACTGCTAGTTCTGTTCTTCCGTGGCTCCATACCACGATGGTATCATCCACATACCGTAGCTAACAACTGGGACGATTTGAAGCGGTGTTCAGTGCTGCTTCCTCGAACCTTTCCATATAGAAATTGGCTATTACCGGGCTTAGCGGACTTCCCATTGCGACGCCGTCAGTTTGTTCATAAGTATGTAGTTGTTAGGGTGTGTCGAAGTAAGGTCAGGATAGCCTCTGGAAAAACTTGCTTCAGGTAGTCCAGTGATAGGACTAGTGGGACATTTGTGAAAAGTGACACTACATCAAAACAGACCAAAATGTCGTCTGGAGTGAGCCGGATGTTCTGTATCTTTCTTATGAAATCGGTGAAGAAGTGAAGAAATTCATTAACCCATAAATTTCATTCATAGGCAGCAGCGGTGGCCGCAGTAGTAGACTCTTCGGTCTCCTGATCAGTCGCCGTGCGCTGTGCGGGTTCGAGTCCCGTCCCAGGAGAAATTTTTCTCTTGGCTATGGATGTTGTGATTGTCCGTAGGTGGTAGATGGTCTCTGACTGTCGAACGTGGAGGTACCACCCGGCGGATCTCGTAGGCGGAGCCAGAATGTGCGCATGTTGCATGCACCCGTGTTCCCATGCCAGAGTCCGTGTGGCGTTCCCCCTTTCCCCTGTATCCCCCTATAGCCCCACGGTACCCAATGGGTGTTTAGGCCATAGGCCTTCGTGGTAGTTGGAGTATAAAAAAAAATTATGATGTAACAAAAATGCAGACAAATCCGCACATTCCAACAGGTATGAAGCTATAATGATAAAATGTTAATACTCAGAATGTAGATCTAAACAAATTCGAGATTGCCATGCAATCAAAACGTCCAAAGATGCTATTAAATTCAATAGCAAGAAAACCGACTTACTATTTCGCGCATTTTGGTTGGTGAATTGATTAGATTCTTCGTCTAAATTGATAAGAAATAGTAACATGCAAGGTGCTCTTGTTTATAATACAATCAGTTTGTCACGCATGTATTCAATATTTCAATAGAAATCACTGACATTCATAAAGCTTTGACAGCTTCCGTCAAATTGCATTTCGATAAGGTCTTCTTCCATTGGTGGAACTGACCATTAAATTTTAGTGTTGGTGAAATCCACTCCACATCTACTATACAGCCAGAATCGTCAGCCATTTAGCGGTATCATGGTGACTGGTCTATTTATTGAGGTACTGATATCCTTTCAGTTCCAATGAATCGCTGCGATGAGCTCTCCGTAGGCCGATTCTGGTGACAGATGGCGCTTTGCGTTGCCTTATGTCTATAGACAGTACCAAACCGACAACAACATAACCAGCTGCACAACGGCTGCTGGCACTGCCATTGCCAGTCGGCTTATAGTGGTCCACGCAGACTAGAGATAGGAGGTTAAGCTCAGAGTGAGGCTGGAACCGAAAATGTCAACGATGAAGGTGCTGTGCATAGAGCATCTCTCTCGTGTGTACACTGCGCAGAAAATAAATTTCAGGTACGGTTCAGGTTGCATAACCCTCTGTGACTGACATCATGACTGCAAACAAGTCTAATGTTGTCAGTTCGTAGGAGTTGCAAGCAGGTTTTTGTTCTGTACATGTGTAACGGTTTCACCGTCCGATCGTATTTATTAAATCACTTCTCGATTATCATTTCATCAATCCCATCTCTAGCTTTTTTTACTTGGAAAAATTTCCGCTTGGAGCGCGCTTGATGCGGAGTTCCTGATCTGCGATCTTCCTCGCGCTTCTTTTTCACTTGAGCCGCCGATCTAGCAAGAGCTAAGAATTTTGTTCTCTGTAACATGAGGTCATATAGCACCATGTGCTAGCGGTTTGTAGAATGTGTGTCCGCATAGGACAAAATGATTGGGGCCACCCCCTTTCCCTTTCCCTTTGTATTTGTCTTTGACTTTTGCCTTTGTCTTTGACTTTGCTTTTGCCTTTGTCTTTGACTTTGCATTGCTTGGCCTATCACTTCACCCATGCATGTGCCTTGGCAGCGCTATCACCTTTAAGTTCAACCTCGCCTACAACTGGTTTTGAAGCCACTAAATGTGAGGTCACCCCTCATAACTGGGACCTCCACTTCAAGCACCTGGCCATCCTCGCTTCAGTCCAGTCAAATTGGACCAGCGAAAGATAAGTTTTATAGCAGCGCCAAAGATTTAAAACTTATTTTGTTCTTTAAAATTGTAATGTAATGAAAATGCCTTTTTGTTAAATAAAATCTGTTAAATTTTTGTGTTCTGTTTGTTCTTCTATCCTCTAGCCATGCCATGGTCGACATACAGCTACACGCCTGTAGATGTCTTCATGCCTCCGACTGAGCTACCGGAAGCTAATGGTAACCCCCTTTCTGTGATTGTGCAGAAAAGTTGGAATCTTCATTGCATTTCATCTTTTCTGGACTTTTTGCGGAAAGGAAGGCTTACACATGATAATAATATGTTGTTATTTATTTATGAGATTCGCCTGAAAATCAATATCACACTATATATAAAAGCTCAAATTGTCTCTAGCAAGAATATGTTGTGTGATTAGCAGCACTGTGTAGTGACAGTTAGCCCATGATGTAAACATCCCAAAGCATGGAGAAAAGAAACTCAGAAATCCATCCGATTAAGCTCGTGAAGAAATTGTTGATGAAAAACGGGTATAACTGTTGTTGGAATATTCCTTGGATAAGGCTTTTGTAAAGACTTATTTTAGTGGACATGAATCGCAATATTCTATTAAAAAGGACAAAAATGCTTATATAATTTAAAAATTATTTCTCAGTTCCCTGGAGAGACACAAAAATTTGTCATTGCGCCACTTAAACAATCGACTGTTTAAATTTTACACATATGTATTTTCACCCCGAAGACTAGAGATAGGAGGTTAAACTGGTACAGGTGTTCGTGTGAAGTGAACCTCCTATCTCTAGACTTCATGATATCCTCGTAGCAACTTAATGGTTGAACGTATCATTGAGCAACAACTTGCCTGGGATTAGACATCATTCCCCATAAATAAACCATGAAGGACAAAGGTATGGTGATCAACTGACAGAGCATGACTTGGTTCATTATGACACAAACGTAGCACAGCAAGTCGGATCGAGCGACTGTGATGATCCACATAGCTTTCAGCATCTTCAAAACATCTGGCAGATCTGTAGCTGACATTTCCGCTGGAGATTCTCTTGGAACAGACCGCTGACTATGACAAATACTCATTGAAGTAAAAGTATCACCAAACAATGTGCAAATAAACAGAAATTCAAAATAATTATCATTAACAATGAGTTTAAGGAAGTATATCCTCAAGATGTGGTTGGAGGGGGATAAATATACTAAGTGACATATAAATCCGAACACCCAGTTTAAATGGTTTTATTTTAATAAAATTTTGTATAAGTACCTACTTAATGAAGCATAATAAGTAAATGATAAAAATTTCAAAATGATTGCACTGCTTTAAAGCCCTTTGACCTTTAATAATGTGTGGATGCACCCTGATGTGCTACGCATTCTCCAACGCGCCTAGGCATGCTTCTGATCAGGTGGTCAATGTCCTCCTGTAGTATCTCATTCCAGGCAACCACCAACTCCTCTCGAAGTGCTTCTAGAGTCTGAGGAGGACGTTGCAAATTGAGCAATCTCCTACCCATCATATCCCACACGTGCTCAATTGGGGATAAGTCGGGAGATCTTGGTGGCCATGGTAACAATGTGACACCATTATGTTGAAAGTTGTGACTCTTACAACATGTGGTCGGGCATTATCTTGTTGGAAAGTTGGATCTGCCAGGGTGTCAAGATAGGGTAAAAGATGGGGTTCTAGAACTTCGTGGATATAACGCTGCGCGTTCATGTTACCTCTGATGAAGATTAAAGGTGACCTGGAACCATAAGCTATAGCACCCCAAACCATAACTCCAACAGTGTGATGAACAACAAAAAACTGTGGATTCCTCCTTTCACCACGTCGCCTTCTAACCCTGGCACGACCATCGTGCATGCCTAAACAAAATCGAGACTCGTCACTAAAGACAATACTGTTCCATTCCTGATCCCAGAGTGACCGTTGTCTGCACCACTCAAGGCGATTACGTCGGTGTTCTCGAGTTAAAGGGAGGACCCAGTGTGGCCGATATGAAAACAAGCAAAAACTTCTCATTCGTCGGTAAACACTTCGCATGGCAATAGGTCTTCCGTGTTCTGCAAACCATTCATTTGCAATGGACCTGGTAGTGGAGAAACGGTCCCTTAAGGCCAATAATCTTAGGCAGCGATCTTCACGGTCTGTTGTTCTACGGCGGCGTCCAGTGCCCCTTGCTCTTTGCGTACGGCCTTCTCGAAGCCATGCCTGACAACACCTAACCACAGTGTCTACACTTCTTTGCACTCTAACTGCAATTGCCCGAAAAGAAAGTCCAGCTTCCCGAAGTCCCACTATCCTCTATCAAACTCACTAAGTTGACGAAATCGTACAGGTCTCCGTACTCTAGGCATCGTAACCGATCGTAAAGGATGTCAAGAACCTAAATCCGCCAACGTTGATTCTTTACTGCGGCTGAAATATTCATTTTTAGAGCATTTTCACTTGTTATTTACAGTAAGATAAATACATTCACCAACTTTTATTAAAATAAAACCATTTAAACTGGGTGTTCGGATTTATATGTCACTTAGTATATGTCTATGAGCTGCCATGGACAGCTGTTTTGTGCTTCTTGACTACTCGTCATCATCGTTCGTTTGCCCAGAGATAAGAGATCAAACGTAGACCATGCTGATGAGTAGCCAAGAAGCACGAAACATGTGCATGGTTGACTGTTTTTTGGTTGAACTTACTAATGTGCCATGAGATCTTCATAAGATGCTTTTGGGATCCACCATTTTTCGATTCTAGTTCCAATATCGTAGTAGGTATGCTCCTGGAAATAATCGAATGTTACTTCAAAAAGTCGTTATATAAGTAAATTGTTGATAAAAACAGGAACACCGGCTCCTGTAACATCTCACTCGCATCCGCGAATATATACGAGGTCTCTAAGAACTGATTTTTTTTTTAGTTTTAATATTTAAATATAACTACAATTTTATATTGTCACTTTCAAAATAACTTCCTTTTGAAACCACACAGCGCTGACGACGGTTCTTTCACTCCTCACAGCAGTGCTGAAAGTCCGATACTGGAAAAGCCTTCAGATACCTGATAGCACACTGTTGCTCGAAATTGATGTCATACATTTTTAGAACGAAATAGGACAAACTGTGTTACAAATAAAATCATACAACCAAATGAATCGAACGAGTTGAAACTTGTACTGAAAGCGTGTTCTCCTGTCTCCCCCAAGTCAGGCGCCTTCAGTGTTGCCAGATCGAGCGCTACGTTGCCAGTATCATCACTTAATTTACAGACCTTGTATGTATGTTGTCTCGTGCCCACATGTACGGCAGGCTTGCAACGTGTCTGGCACAATGTAAAAAACATTAAAGCTGTTTGGCTAGCATTCTAACATCTTTTGATAGTCCCTCAAGTAACATACATAAATGTCAGCTTTTATGCTACCTAATTTATTATGTTTAGGGGTGTCTGGCAATGGATAATGTCATTTCTAATATTATCCTAGTAATGGGTAAAAGTTATAAAGATCTGGGCTTTAGGTTAAGTGGAAGACCAGCCATTTCTCTATAGGAATGAAAGCTGAACTTCGCCTTTTCGAAGTATCGCTTCCATATCTCTGTACCTTGGTACCAATGAATAAAGATGATTATTATTATTTGATTATTATTATACTACAACGACTTTGAGGTACTATTTTATATACCTTTGCTATCTATTACCGGCCAAAGTAACCACTAGCCAAACTTTATAGTTGGTAGGCACATGCGGAGACAAAATTTCAGGATGTATAATACAACGATCTGGTCGTCGCGGACTCTTGATCTATAACGTTTTACTGTTTACCCGCGGCAAAACTTGACAGCTGTTGTCACCAACAATTTTAATACCTTTGATAACAAGTAATTAACTATGATCTCCTAGGACACCGGAAGACGACGCTAAGCAATTTTTCTAATTTTATTGTCAATAATTTTTGTAATATTGTTTTTAAACAGTTGCAGAATAATCACCGCGGTGATTTTAGCAACAACGGCCACCCAGCAACAAACAGTAGTCCCTCTTCTCACCAGCGGCCGCGTCGCGCTGGACAACCATTGCACGCCGCAACAGCAGCGAAGCCGGCGCAGCGCAAGCAGGCGGTGCGGCACCGTCTTCCCATGTAAAACGGTGTTATAGTACATAATTATACAGGGTATTCCATAATTATTGCGACAAAATGATAGGGGTTGTAGACGGCATAAACATATGCAATTTTGCCTTATAAACCCCTGTTCGTAAATATGCCGTTTGAGCACTACCGGTAATTTTACCTTAAGAGCTCATAGGAGAAACAAAAAATTCACCAGCTGCAAAATGTTCGTCTAGCACATTTCATGGTCCCGCCGGTTTGTAAAAAAAAGCCTGCTGTGTTTACATTTTTGTTATCGTAATTTCTCCACACCGATTCATTTAATTTATCTGAGTGGTGCGTCAAACTAGATAGTAAATAACAGTACCTTAGTGTTAAAATGCAGCGTTATTCGTATGCGGAACTTGCGGATATACATTTAATTTACGGAGAAGCTGGTGGTAACGGAAGACGAGCCTCGCGAATCTACGCCCAACGGTGTCCAGAACGTCCTCATCCGCATCACGCTATTTTTGCAAGGATTCATGGACGTCTTCGTGTCAGTGGCAGCATCAGACACCTCGCGGGAGCAGGGCGGCCCTTCACGAGGCGCACAGTAGAATTTGAGGAAGCGATTCTGCATCATCTAGAGGCCAATCCGCGTACAAGCGTGCGTGCTATTACATATGATATGGGAGCGTCTCAAACTACTGTTTGGCGGGTTCTCCATGACCAGCAACTACACCCATACCACCTTTTAAAAGTCCAAGCCATGGGTCCAGAAGACTATCTGCCGCGTCGACGTTTTTGTCGTTGGTGGCTGCAGCAGGAGTTGAGGCAACCAAACTTAGGTCGCTACGTTTTGTTCACTGACGAGTCCTGTTTTACAAAGGACGGTTATTTTAATAGCCGTAACATTCACATTTGGGATGAAGAAAACCCTCATGCCATAGCCATCCATAGAGACCAACATCAGTTTTCAATTAACATCTGGTGCGGCATTGTGGACGAGCATATCATCGGGCCATATTTGCTTCCATCACGTTTGGATGGGCATGCTTATGGTCGATTCTTACAGCATGTGCTACCGGAACTATTAGAAAATATGCCACTGAACATAAGAGCCAACATGTGGTTTCAACACGATGGCGCTCCAGCTCACTTTTCTTTACAAGTGCGGCAGTATTTGGACGACAAATTTCCAAATAGGTGGATAGGCCGAGGTGGCCCTGTGCCTTGGCCTGCGCGGTCACCCGACCTGACCCCACTGGATTATTTTCTCTGGGACCATCTGAAAGCTTTAGTGTACGAAACTCCTGTTCCCAACCAACAAGAGCTACTGGGAAGAGTGATGGCCGCGTCCGCACATGATCAGGACATACCGGGGGTATGCCACAGAGTTCGCCGATCATTGAACAATCGTGCACAGCTGTGTAGTGAGCAAGGTGGAGGACACTTTGAGCAATTACTGTAGGTAAGCTGTTTCAAGAAACTGATCTTTTTTTTGCTGCAGCCCAAACGGCATATTTCCGAACAGGGGTTTATAAGGCAAAATTGTTCATTTTGATGCCCTCTACAACCCCTATCATTTTGTCGCAATAATTATGGAACACCCTGAATACATTGTGTGTTGTCAGTGTTGTCACATTATCTACTACATTCTGTGGCCGGCTCATATTAAGCCTACCAGGGGGAGCGAAAGTTACCTATACGAAACGCTCCTGGAAATTTGAAAATTAAAATTTTCAATTCTTCTTCAAATCAACACCACTTTTAATTCACGAAAATCAATGCTACAATGCATCCTTCATATCCGGGATCGATTACATTCCGTGGCCGGGTCATTGGGAGCCTACCAGGGGGAGCGAAAGTTACCTATTCGGAACGCACATGGAAACTTGAAAATTAAAATTCTCGGATATGAAGGATACATTGTAGCATTGATTTTCGTGAAAAACAAAGTGGTGTTTATTTGAAAAAAAATGAGAATTATAATTTTCAAGTTTCCATGTGCGTTTCGTATAGGTAACTTTCGCTCTCCCTGGTAGGCTTAATATGACCCGGCCACGGAATGTAATAGAATATGTGATAACACTGACAACACACAATGTATATAATTATGTACTATAACATCGTTTTACATGGGAAGACGGTGCCTCACCGCCTGGTTACGGTGCGCCAGCTCAGCTGCTGATGCGACGCGCGATGATTGTTCAGCGCGACGCGGCCGTTGGTGAGAAGAGCGACTACCGTTTGTTGCTGGGTGGCCGTTGTTGCTAGAATCACCGCGGTAGAATAATCGGTTACTCATTAAATAGTTTTGTCAAATACCATTCGGACATCTGATTTTTTTTGTGTGAGAAAAAATAAAAAAACAGTGCAAAGTAATATTTTTTTAACAAAAAAACATTCGTGCAGGTGCAAAAATCCTCTTCTTCGACTACGATTTTTGATGGCACCAGCACTCATGCTTCTTGTTAAAATATTACTTATCAACGTGTTTTTTCGATTTTTTTCGGAAAAATCAGATGCCCTCATGATATGACTTATGACAACATGCAGGACCGAACTAAGACTTACTTGATTACTAAATTGGTACTGATGTTTAGATAGTGTGAAACTTAATTGCCGGTTCAAACGGTAGGGGCAACGTCGCGTAGCAAAAAGACACGCGTTTAGCACTATATTGATATATATGGACCAATTTACACTATCAAAGCGCTTTTCGCAGTGCGACTCTAGATCTCAATCAGCTGCACTTACCTTGAGCAGACGACTTTCATCATTCAACTTATCAAACACCATGTTATAAGTTTTCGTATACCTCTCGAAGAAATGTGTAGCACTTACAATATAAACGTTTATAACTGCCCAACAAAATCTGAATAGGTATTCTATTTTTGCGGTTACTGAAAAAAACATTAGAAACCAAATCTGAATTTTGAGGTTTTAGGAGTAAAGAGAGGGAGATAAGGTCCTATTGAACCTGTCAACTAAATACGAAATTAATTTCTTCATTATTTACGCGGTTTTTGGCGAGCACAGTGAATCTAACGATATCTCTTTCATACATCTATTATCCTCAAATATGCCATTTTCGATCCCGAAACGTTAAAAGTTTCGTTTTTTCATTTTGCTCTTCGTGGTCGATATTTCGCATTTTTTTCAAATAATATATCGTTTTTATCTCGAAAACTACTAACTGTCGAGAAAAGCTGTATAGCGCCTTTTTTATTAAGGATCTCCTAAAAAACTTGAAAACACTGATCGGAGCGAAAAAAAAAATTTCTGAAGTTTGTTTTAAAAAAATCGATCTGGCAACATGCAGAACTGTTATAGGGGTCCTTTTTGAATAAGATTCTGCAAAAAATCCTAATCAGAATATGTTTACCATCAGTTGCAAACATAGTTTCTAGACTATTTGTAAGCTCAGCTCATTTTTTAGTCTCATATGGAAACTTTTCTCGACAATGTATGAGTGTTTCTCAGCTCTGCTTGTCACCTTCAGACAATATCGGTAGTTTTTGCTAATTTAATCTTTTTGGTAGTGAATGAAAGCAACGGTTTGAAGATCCGTTTACGCATTTCGTATGACTAATAATGCAATCGCCAAAATTCGTGATGATTTCTATCGTATTTCAAATTTGTAATACACCATATCACTCATTTAGAGAGTATTTCACATTTGACCTTTAGGATCTCGGATCGGTAAGAGATACGAAGATAAGAAGGTAACCAACAAAATGCCACTTAGAAAGTTTCGGAATTCCAAGTACTTCCGAAGAAAGACGAAAAAAGCCGGATTTTGAAAAAATCGTGTTAATTTTTCCTGACATTATTTTATTATAAGATGGCATAATGGGAATTTCAATATGACGTTTCGTCGGTGGATATAGTTTTCAATTCTGATTCCAAAAATGTATATGTCATACTTTGACATTGCCCCACTTAAGTTATTTAATAATAACAATAATAATAATAATAATAATAAATCGGCTTTATTTCGTAGTACAAAAAAGGCGAAGTGTCGCTAAGATTAGCGTTTTTCAACTTAACCTTAACCTTAACAAAAAAAAAATATATATATAATAAAACATTCCACGAACAAAAATGTATCCATAATTCTCAATAATTACTAAATAATTAACAACACAAAAAAAACCGAACAATTAAAAGAATAGTCCATATTTCTAGCATTTTGTATTCATCATCAGACCTCGACTTGTAATTTTAGTTTAAGCCTCTTTTTAAAATTAAATAATGTATATTTTTGGAATGTAACAGGCAGATCATTATACAATTTAATAGCATTGTAGCTGAATGATGTTTTGTAGACAGCCTTAGTAAGGGTATCACTAACATATTCCTATTCCTTGTATTCAGTTGATTTATGTCACTACATCGTGTTAACTTATTATGCAAATATTGTGGTTGTTTGGTAGCTAAGACCTTATGTGTGAGTGTCAATAAGTGAAGCTTTTGCATGCCTTTAATCTGCAGAATACCAAGTTCCTTAAATTTATAAGAAATATGATCAAACTTTCGTATTCCGCCAGAAAATCTGACGCACGCATTCTGAATACGCTGTAATTTGCTTTGTTTACTATATGATAGAGCTGCGCCATATATACTGTCACAATAACTGATCTTTGATATAATTAATGTTTCACACAGTTTCAGCTTTACTAAAGTAGATATTATTTGCCCATGTGGATAAAACTGTTTCAAAATGCAGTATGATGCACTATATAACGAATTTACGTGTTTGTATTTTAGTTCTGTGTCAATCAAGAGTCCCAGGTTTTTACACTCATTCATTACAGGAAGCCGTAAATCATAGATTTTAAGGTTAATTTCCGTTTCGATCAATGTTCTTTTGTTTTTTGAGCCGAAAACCATAACTGGAGATTTAGATGGATTAATTTTTAGGTTATGCGAGCACGAGATGTCTACTAGCCTTGCTAAGTCTTCGTTGAGCAATGCTTCTGCTATTTTAAAATCTTTGTGTTGAAAACTTTCAAGAAGAAATAGAATTTTCTAGATAGGCCTTGAAATTATCATATTCAGTCACTTGTTTCATATAACGGATTATACCGCCAAACCTTCTTTATTTATTCTTGACTTTATTTGAGGTAGAATTTCAAAATAAGTTGCTTGTTGATATGGCGTAGTCAAATTTTCAATTCTTATTTTCTTTCTTCTTTCCGCTTTCATCATCAGCTTTGTGTTCTCATATATATTGGAATTTTGTACATTTAAATGGAGTTTTCAGTCCTAAATTGAGTGATATCCTTAGTTGGCCATGAACTTGTTGATTGAGCGAAAATTATAAGGAGTTAAAAAGGTATGGTCATTTTATACACAGAGAGAACATGACATTCTTGAAGACCTCAAAGTGAACATAGTAACAGAGTTTGGATGACCGAGAAGAAGAAAAATAAACGTACCTAGTAGTAAACGATGTACAGAGGCTTTGCTTATAAAATAACGGATGTTTTGAACGTCTACTGTGGTTTATCTCTGCATATTTATGATTATTATTATTACCGTCAATAAAATTTTCATTTTGTGTCCATGTTTCACCATACCTTTCATCTCCTTATAATTTTCATTCCAACAAGTTTGTGGCCAAAGAAGGAAACACATCGCTGAATTTCGAACTCAAAAATCTATTTAAATGTACAAAATTCCAATTCGGTGCCCATACGAAGAAACAAAGTTGATGATCCAAGTCGAAAGAAAGAGGAAACTTTAGATTTAAAAACAACTCGCAATCTATGTTGAAATTCCATCTTAAATAAAGTCAAGAAAAAATAAAAATTATTTTGCGATAAATCTGGTATATGAAGCAAATGACTATCTGATAACTTCAAGGCCTACCTAGGAAATTCTATTTTATTTTTGAAATAACTAAAATTTAGCAATTTCAATGTATGACATATGATACATTTTTGGAATCGGAATTAAAAACTCTATTTGTCTGTGCAAAAATCTAATATGACGTCCTTGAGAAAAAATAAAGTTAATGCTGGAGGACAAGAGGACATATTGAACCTCTAGCTATGTCATCTTGTAGAGGAAAAATAGTGGCAATATTAATGTTCAATCTTGTTCCTATTTAAGCGACTTCGTATCAATTACCGTTTCCGAAATCCCAATGTGAGTGTCGAATTTAAACTCTCGGTAGATTACTTACATCCATATGGTTCTTCCTGATTATCGACATAGACGCATTCAGCACTTGCCTCTTTTTGCTTGTCTTTACTGTCCCAATACTTTCCCACAGCAAAACGCATATTACCTTCAAACATGTCGCTGAACAGCTAGAATACCAGTCAATGATCATTCTTTTTTATTTTGCTTAACCTTTACAATGGCAAGTAGACCATTTCTACATTCAGCCGGAATCATCAGCCATCTAAAGCTAGCTATTAAACGAGAACTGAGATCCATGACAGTTCCGACTAATAGCAGCGGTGCTCGATCCACAATGTTTCGAATCTGGTGCGATAGATGGCGCTTCACGCGAACATTTATTTTGTTGATCATTTTACCAGTGGAAAACACACTGAGCTATGGAGCTTACCTACGCAAAAAATATGAAACCTTAAAAGTAATGTGAAACGTACGGATATTAGATTACGTTCTTGCTTCCTTCCACTCTTTATTTCTGCTTCTTTGAATGCAACTTCATCAACAATATCTTCAGTTTCTTCGTACATGTAGTAATCTCCACAACGAACAGCTGAAAACGATACGTTCAAGAAACTGTTCTACCTTTCTTGTAACTATGGAGAAACCTAAGGGACCATTCCCACCAATAGCAGCTATCACCAATAACCCGACGGCAACCCAACGGCACTCCGACTCTGAAGATAAACAGCAACGTGCGACGAGACCAACTGCACTATCGATCCTAAGCTAGAAAAAGTCATAGAAACAATTTTGTAGAGCAGCTCACCTTGTCACTCTGAACTCCTACATGTAGAGTGCTGTCATCATCAAAGCTGTGGATTGGGTTAATCGTACAGGAAAGGAGGTCGTTGACATGTAAGAGGAACAGTGACGGAGCCAGGAACGAACTCCCGCGTTGACGTTGCGGGATGAAGAGGAGAACCCGTCAATTACGACGGATATTTTGCGGCCAGAGAGAAAGTCAGCCATCCATCTGCAAAGCTTCTTTCGGGGGCCATAGGATGGGAAGCTTGCATAAGAGGGCAGCGTGCCACAGCTGATCGAACGGTTTTATGATATCAAGAGCAACGTCATGAACCTAGCATAGGAGTGGAAAATTGCGTGACGTAAGCCAAAGGGTCCTTTGTGGATCGCTGCTGCCGGAACTCATACTGGCTGTCGCCAATCAAGTCGTGACTTTCGAGCTAGTCCAGAATCTCGCGATTTATGCGCCGCTCCATCACCTTACTTACAACAGAAAGCAGAGCTATACGCCTGTAGTTGTAAGGTGTTAGATCCTTTTTTTGGGATGGGTTGGACATGAGCAAATTTCTAGTTTTTTTTGGGAAGGTACCAGATTCGTAGGATATCTGGGAGAGACGCAAGCTCCGCTGCATACCTCATCAACACAACGGCAGGAATCAAGTCTGGAACAGAAGCTTTGTTGATGTCGAGCGACAAGAGCACCCATCTTAAGGTCTTATTTCTATTACTTCCCGCATAGAGTGGGTAACCCTTTGTATCGACGGAACGTCCATGGTGGAGTTGAGAGCAAAGATCTTGGCAAGCACTTCCGTTCTACCCTTTGAGCCGGTTACAATCGTTCCATCCTGACACGTAAGTGGTGGAAGGCTACTTACTCTGTAATAAGTTCCTTTCAATCTGGTTGGCTAACGTCTAGAAATAACGACTGCCTTTGCGCTGCAACACTACCCTGGGCCTAACTTTATACCTTTGGCATTGCGAACCGCTTCGTCATATTTGTTTCTGGACTCGTCGTCGGCTTGTCTGTTCTCTACAGTGGGGTTTTGCAAGAAGATTCTGTATGCGATGATCTTCTGCTGGCGAACAGTGTCACACGATTTGTTGAATCAGCTGCTGGACCTTGGTTTAGGCACATTCACTGTATGTGGGATGTACTCCTCCATCCCAACATGGATAATTTTGGTTATCGATGACCAGACAGCCGACACATGTTGACTATATGTTTAATTTTTTATAGAGGCAAAATGATAAAGAATATAGTTCTCTATAAAATTGTTTCCATGGCTTTTGCACATAGGATCGACAGTTCACGAGATATTCGTTCAAACGCATTTATCAAAATAGCGGCAAAAGCTTCAGCCCTAGGGTGACGCCATTTTGCACCTATCATCACGAAGCAATAATCTAACGGTATCGTCAAAAACTTACTGTTGCCCAAAATGTAGGGTTTCCTTATACAATGTGCAACCCATATGCGACCGTTCTTTTCTGCCACTCTGTCAATCTTTTTCTTTACTTACCACATCTAATGGTGAAAAAATTCGTAGAAGAGATCATATGTTTTTTGCTTACCCATTTTATGTGTCGTAACATAGTCTTTAAAGAATTGGCCTTGGATCTGTTTTTTCTTATACAGCTGTTTGGTTAGCTTCCTTTCTAGATATGTTTTCAGTCTATTTTCTTCCTCTATCATCGTTTTCATCCTTTTTTCATGTAATTCGTTTAAATAAAGAGCGCCTAAAGCAAATCAAGCCGATAACTGTAATATACTAAGTGACATATAAATCCGAACACCCAGTTTAAATGGTTTTATTTTAATAAAAGTTGGTGAATGTATTTATCTTACTGTAAATAACAAGTGAAAAAAATTTCAGCCTTATCAGTTGGACATTCCGGTTTTTATACTGCTTTTTTTTAATTCACTAACACTCTAAAAATGAATATTTCAGCCGCAGTAAAGAATCAACGTTGGCGGATTTTGGTTCTTGACATCCTTTACGATCGGTTACGATGCCTAGAGTACGGAGACCTGTACAATTTCGTCAACTTAGTGAGTTTGATAGGGGCCGTATAGTGGGACTTCGGGAAGCTGGACTTTCTTTTCGGGCAATTGCAGTTAGAGTGCAAAGAAGTGTAGAAACTGTAGTTAGCTGTTGTCAGGCATGGCTTCGACAAGGCCGCACGCAAAGAGCAAGGGGCACTGGACGCCGCCGTAGAACAACAGACCGTGAAGATCGCCGCCTAAGATTATTGGCCTTAAGGGACCGTTTCTCCACTACCAGGTCCATTGCAAATGAATGGTTTGCAGAACACGGAAGACCTATTGTCATGCGAAGTGTTTACCGACGAATGAGAAGTTTTGGCTTGTTTTCATACCGGCCACACTGGGTCCTCCCTTTAACTTGAGAACACCGACGTAATCGCCTTGAGTGGTGCAGACAACGGTCACTCTGGGATCAGGAATGGAACAGTATGGTCTTCAGTGACGAGTCTCGATTTTGTTTAGGCATGCACGATGGTCGTGCCAGGGTTAGAAGGCGACGTGGTGAAAGGAGGAATCCACAGTTTTTTGCTGAAAGTTCATCACACTGTTGGAGTTATGGTTTGGGGTGCTATAGCTATTGGTTCCAGGTCACCTTTAATCTTCATCAGAGGTAACATTAACGCGCAGCGTTATATCCACGAAGTTCTATAACCCCATCTTTTAACCTATCTCGACACCCTGGCAGAGCCAACTTTCCACATTGTTACCATGGCCACCAGGATCTCCCGCCTTATCCCCAATTGAGCACGTGTGGGATATGATGGGTAGGAGATTGCTCAATTTGCAACGTCCTCCTCAGACTCTAGAAGCACTTCGAGAGGAGTTGGTGGTTGCCTGGAATGAGATACCACAGGAGGACATGGACCACCTGATCAGAAGCATGCCTAGGCGCGTTGGAGAATGCGTAGCACATCAGGGTGCATCCACACATTATTAAAGGTCAAAGGGCTTTAAAGCAGTGCCATCATTTTGAAATTTTTATCATTTACTTATTTTGCTTCATTAAGTATTTATACAAAATTTTATTAAAATAAAACCATTTAAACTGGGTGTTCGGATTTATATGTCACTTAGTATATATGACGCATTCGGAGTATCAAGACTTTTGTTGTTACTATTTGTTCTACATATAGTCATTCTGCGAAATTTAGGCTTTCCGCTCAAAACTGACGGTCTCTAGCGTTCATGAGCGCCTGCAGGGGGGCCGAACATCGGCAAGAAAAAGCTTTTTGTAGAGGTGAACCTGGCCCCAAAACTTTTTGAGGTCCGGGAATAGTAAATGTTAATATGGAGGTCAAATATAACCTAAGAACTGTACGCAAAAACATGCTAGATATGCAAATGTTAACGTCCAACTGGATTCCCAGAGGGAATTTTGGTGAGAGCATTTTTGTTTTTCGGAATATCCCATGAATAAAAAAATAAAATTTTCCCAATAGCTTTTTTAAAATTGAAGGTGTTACAGATATCCAATAGCGACAACAAAAGAAGAAGAATGACTTTTTCATTTTCAACCAGACTACAGAATGCTTTGGTGCTCCTTTGACACCTGTTAAATTTTGACCAATTGGTCCTGAGAGACAGTACAAGGTATCGATACGTCGTCGAGCAGGGTTATTTGAGTTACACTGAGGTATAAAATACCTAAAAACATTACGCTCGATTTTCCAAGACAAAAGAAACTTTTTTTGACGCCTTTCAAACAAAATAAAATCCTCAAAGATTGCAATCAAATCATATCAGGGGTTTATTCCAGATTTCGGAAATACTTTTACATTCTTTGTGCGATCACTAGTTACCAAGATATCAGAGATCGATGACAAAAGGATCCTTTTTCGTTCAAATTTAGATGTTTCTGCACCAGTTCCCAAAATAAAAATTCTAAAAGATGCAGCGATATGAGACCAGTAAATGTGTTACCAGACATTGAAAAATTATTGGAGTCCATAGTGCATGACCAATTAATGCAGTTTATAGAAGAAAACAATATTTTAGTGGAGGCGCAAGCAGGCTTTCGAAAAAAATATTCCACAGAAACGGCTTTCCAGTTGGTAACTGAGAATTGGAGAAGATCCATAGACTCAGAAGAAGTTGTCATAACAGTATTTTTGGATTTGAAGAGCGCATTTGAAACGATTGATAGAGATATTTTGTTAGGTAAATTGAAGGCATATGGTATAACAGGAAGTGTTTTAGATTGGTTTAGAAATTATTTGTCTAAAAGGATGCAAGTTACAAAAGTTAATGACACTATTTCATCAAAAATTGAAAATACGTTGGGTGTTCCACAGGGCAGTATCCTAGGACCACTTCTTTTTATCTTATACATAAATGATTTACCTGCCATAGTAAAAAAATGCAAAATTCAGATTTAGATTTTCGCTGATGACACTATGATTTATATAAGTAATATTCAGCCTGGTATCTCTTATATAAATGGAGACTTGAAACTTGTCTCAAAATGGTTAGCACCTAACAGACTAAAATTAAATACAAGTAAAACGAAAGCCTTGTTAATCGGAAAAAAACAATGTACAAATGTTCAACTGAATATTGATGGTGAAGATACTGAATTCGTAGAAAATTTTAAATACCTGGGGGTTTTTGTTGACTCTCGATTAATTTTTGATATTCATTATGAAAAAGTTATAAATAAGATTAGTAGTAAAGTGGGATATTTATCGAGAGTTTCTGGATGTCTGAGTTCATATAGAAGAAAAATTATCTATAATACCATCATTCTTCCAAATTTTTTGTACTGTTCGACTATTCTATATTTAGCAAATAATTCCATTTTTGAAAGACTGCAAATTTTACAAAATAAGTGCATGAGAATAATACTAAATAAAGATAAATATACTAGAATTAGGCAAATGTTTAGCAAATAAAAATGGCTCAATGTAAAAAATTTTATCAAATATCTTGTAATGATATTCATTTATAAAGTAAAAAATAATATATTTCCATCAAGTCTAACTAATTTAACATCATCAAATGTCGACCATCATTTACATAATACCAGATAAAGATGACTTCCATTTAATGACCAAAAAGTACAACATATGCTACAAATCTGTATTCCATCAAGGGTTGATTGAATATAATAAATTATACTCAGAGATAAAGGACCAGAAAACTTTGACAAAATTTAAAGTAAAATTGAGAAATCACTTGTTAAATCTACAATTATAGGTTGCCCAGCATTTACATCATACACCATATGGCTTGAATTTACTAGTTCTAAGTTGTTTACAATTATTCTGTTTATGTAGCCTAATGTGCTAAATAAATCGTTCTACAACTACTGCTAAAAGGACGTGTCGAGATTCTAAAAACAGGATATTGAAGCTGAATGAACGGGCTATCTGATCCAGGCTCGTAGACTGAAAAGAAGTAGGCAAAAATTTTGCAAAAGATAATTCTGTTAGAATTGCATATGAACCTAAAATTGTTCGGCTCAAAACCTGAAAACTAGAATTTTGGAGCTTCAAAATGTTTTTTTTAAAATCTATATATGACCATTTTTCACCGAAATTCAGCATGTCAAATATTATCGAAGAATATTATTTTTTTCTTGCTCCCTTAATTTTTTTGAGTAGGGTAATTATATAATTTCCAAGTTGAATTCTTTGGCGTTGAAAATATTTACTTTTGTGCTATTTATGTCAATATACATATACATTTATTTTAGGCCTCTAGAAATTACATTTAAGTGACTTTCTATAAAGTCATGTCACTATGCAATACTCATTCACTTTTCTTCTGTCATAATAATACTATCTATATAATTAAAAAAATCGAGAATTTTGGACTCAATTTTCTCAGACTAGTGATTTCTATATTTTGCTGTATTTGACCTAAGTTCCATTTCACTATATCCATTTAAACCCAGAACACCCTGTGTCACTGTCCAGCGTGGAAAGGCACCTTAACACTCACCTCTTTCGGAAAGTATATGCTTAGCTTTGGCGTCATTTATGATATGAAAGAAATTGTAACTGTTGAAAAGTCTCCGCTGTATAATCAGAAAAACGAAAATGACCGCATCCCATTCGATGCCTGCCATCTCCGCTCTGCTCGGTCTACAAATGGTGTTTTCCTCGTTCAGCTTTTCGAAGTTGTTCGTCTCTTCAAAAAGTCTGTGGCATCCGACCCCAAATAGTTTGACCAGCCCACAGTATTTCATAGGAATATCGGGTAAGTAGAAGCAGCCAACCACTTGAAGATAAGCCCTAACACAAATGATCAATACATTTTGGAGTATCAGACGATTCCAGCTGGAAAGAAGAAGAATACATGTTGTACCGGTACACTGTTAACTTGCTTGTGATACTTTTGTATGAACTGGAGCTCTGCTGGAAGGATTTCAAAACTACTGCTCCAACAGATTCATTTTTTTATCCGAATATCAACGTTTTTTTTTTGCGGATACGGCATTAGCTGAATTGACTCAATGACATCTTTCATTAACTGGCGGACAACCCGAAACCATGTAGTGATGACAGTACCAGAGATCGTTGGGCGTCGGATTGTGATAACACTTGTGTTTTGATGCATGTGCTAATTTCGGCATTTTTAGGGCACTACTGACATACAGCGACCGACAAAAATGACGTAGAAATGTGCATCATTAAGACGGTCTAACGTTACATCCAATTAACGTCATTATATGACGTCATAGTATGTCGTATAAAAGTACAAAGTCGATACGGCGTCTGTATGACATGGACATGACGTCTATCTAAGGTCGATATGACGTCTAAATGACGTCGACATGACGTACAGCCGCTCGCAAAAATAATCGCGCGGTGTATCCAAATGCTCCCGAAAAAATGAGGATCTGACAACGACGTCCTAGAAGCAGTAAGTGGAGAAGTGGTAGAAAGACGCTGAAACTCATTTTCTACCATTCTTGAAGCCTTACCTCCGCATTTCTTCAGGAGCATTTCTGCAAAGTGTATCGAAGTGGTTAATAAAGAACTAAAAAACAGCGTTTGATCTCAACACGTTCCAGTCGCCGATTGTTCGAAATTTGTTTGTGGCAAATTATTAGAATCGCTTTGCTTTCTTATAAATGTATTTACTATTATTTATATATAAATATATGAACATGGAATATTGTTATTAGATCAAGATATTTTTAGTCGAAATACCTGCCATTTTTTATAAATACCAATAAAGTAAATAATAGTATTTGGATATCTATAGTTTACCTTACTGTTCATTAAAAACCTATACTTTCTTTGTAGGTAAGTGTTGATCTTTCAGTACTGACTGAACTAAAAAAGACCTCATAATGACAACCTTTTAAAGGACGTCTTGTTGTTTTTAATCAATGACATTTCCAACCAAAAGTGACCGTATAATGACGTCATTTTGAAGTAATCATGTTCACTGGGGGTATCTGTCGGTTTATGGTTATTAATTGCTGTCAGTGTGATCGGTCCCTAATATATACCACATTTGCAGCAACGTTCACTTTAGTACTGACTATAACAATAATACTTACTCTTTAACTATGACTAATATTGGTTTGTAATAGATATTCCTACCATGCCAGAGGTATATGAACACATAGCACAAGTAAACCATTGAGAATATGTTGGCCCTATTGACGCTACCCAAGAAGACTATAAACATGCAGGCCCAGAATGAAACAGTCAACAACGTGTTTTTTATCACATCCAAATATGAGCTGAAAGAAGAAATTTGATAAATTAATATTTCAATATCGCCCTTGCATCGCTTCGTTTTGAGATGCATGAATACTAAGTTTTAGCGTAAAAGTGGCAGTTGAAAATTTGAACATGGCGGCTGGTCGCCATTTTAAAACATTTTTATATAAAATGTGGGTTTGTCTTATACCTCAGTTTTGATTCCGACAAGCACAAATACTTAACTCATATCGAATTTCATAGAATAAATGGGTATTTCTTACAGTAGTTGGCTTAGGAAAACGGAATATTTCGATTTCAATTTTTAAAAGCGCATTTTTTTCTTTATCTTAATAAATAACAGTACAGCTCTAAAGTTGTATGTGAATGATTCACTTTTATTGAAGAATGACAAGGGTTATTCCTTGTTTTCCTATTGCTTTTTCTCTTCAAAAAACATTTGTCTTTCTTGAAGACCCAGTTTGCTTCAAAATGAGGTTTTAAGAAAATCAAAGATTTTTCGAAAAGAAAAAGTTATAAGAATAGAAGCAAAACTTTAGTTGACTATGAATATATATACAGGGTGGTCCATCCATGTGTAGGCGGAATATTACTCATAAACAAATACATTTTGGGTAAATATATTGGCCATTATACAGGGTGTCCCAATTCGAAAAATTGATATAACATACTATGGGGTTTTGGTAATTAGCTACTCAGATATAAAGTGTTTTGTCTAGAAAAACCCCCCACTTCGGCAACCCCTCAGTCCGCCATTTTGAAATTTGGAGTGCTGAATTTTGTATCAAAAAAAACATACACACCTCGGCTTTTGTCTGATTTGATACTTTATCGAATTTTAATTTTTGCTCATACAGCGTTGTCAAAAACGCAAATTGTAGTTTTTCTCAAAAATTTCAAATGAATCACCCTATATATTTGTGCAAGTTTGGATTCAATTTTTTATAAGCTTTCTTTTGATACTAGACACATAAGGGTTTTTACGGCTATTTTTTCGGTTACTAGCACGTCTTTTATGGAACGGCTTAATTCCCTAAAATATCGCATCATCCTTGGAAACAAATAAATTGTTAGTTACAAACTGTCAAAATTAGCTTTTTGAGCATTATAATAATCAGCTATGCTTGCATCAAGGCCGTCATCAGGGTTTCGCAGCTCGAATAGAGTTTAGTAGAATAATGCTAAATAAAGTGAGTGAAGACACTACTTTCCTGGATAAGGTTCTTTTTAGCGATGATGCAACTTTTAACAGCATAGGTGTTGTTAACAGGCATAACATGTACTATTATGCGACGGATAACCCTTACTGGTTATGCAAATAGATTTCAAAAATAAATGGAACTTGAATGTTTAGGGGGGAGTTATTGGCAGACAAATTATCGGGCCTTTCTTTTATGACAACTGAGTAACAGGTACAGATTACTTCAATTTTTTGTTCGACCATTTGCCTTTGTAAGAGGATGTCAACCTGCAAACTCGGATGCATATGTACTTCCAACATGATGGCGCACCTGCGCATTATCATAATCGTGTGCGTAACTATTTGGACACCTGGAGTAACAATGGTTGGAACGTAGTGATGGGCCTATATCTTGGCCTTCTAGATCACCAGATATGACACCGATGGACTTCGTTATATGGGGCGATAAGCAAGAGGCTTATAGATATCCACCATCGATCCCAGAAAATATGAAGTAAAGGATTGAGGATGCTTTTCTGAACATAAGGTAACACATGCTGAGGGATGTGCAACGGTCTTTATCCAAAGACTGCGGCTGTCTATTCAACATGGTGGAGATATTTTCGAGCAGTTTTTGTAGATTAGGTCTTGAGTAGTGATAGTTGTTTGTTTATGTTGTTGTTATAGTTGTTTTTCTCTATTGCGCTTGAAGCTGATTTATACTGGTCTGATTGTTATTAGTTTTTACGTCAAATCTGTACACTTAGTGGCAATATGGAACTAGCCCAATGTTTTTGACCACCCTGTATGAGCAAAAATTAAAATTCGAAAAAGTAACAAATAGGATAAAAGATGAGGAGTGTAAGTTTTTTTGGTACAAAATTCAGAACTCCAAATTTCAAAATGGCAGACTGAGGGGTTGCCGAAGTGGGGGATTTTTCTAGACAAAACACCTTATATCTCAGTAGCTAATTGCCAAAACCCCATAGTATGTTATATCAATTTTCTTCTTTTGAATTGGTTTATCCAAATATGCAATAAGATTTGAGGCATTCCTTTTGAAAAATCACAACTTTGATATGTATGTCGAAATTGGGCCACCCGGTATAATGGCCAATATTTTAGAAATGTGCCCTCAAATGTTGTGTATAAGATGCCATTAATAGATTTTCCCAAAATGTATTTGTTCATGAGTAATATTCCGTCCACACATGGATGGGCCACCCTGTATATACCCAAATATTTAACTGATTCAACTTTTTCAATTATCTCACCATTTATCCTAACTGTGATAGTATTTTTATTTAAGTATCACCCTATTAGAATTGTTTATAGTCATCTCTTTACGCACCATGAAATAAACAGACGATGATTTAGAATACTGCTGCATACAGGTAGTCGAAAAAAGCGAAAAAATTAGCATGTATCATACAAATTGTAAACAACGAAGCGTCATCCGTATGTTACTTGTGGACTAACGTTGTCTTCTTTAAATATTTGTGAAAAGCTGTGACGATAAGTTTCTGCGAATTTACAGCTAATTATCTCTCATTCCTAAGTCCTCTTTTATGGCTTATATAATTGTACCACATGTTTCTCGTTACAATACTTACGTTGTGTATGTCACGAAATCCACTACTGGGTTCACAAATTCAACCTTTTCAAAATGATGGAGTATGGAGTCATTCGAACCACCGTCATAATCAATATTGTTCTTTGTAATGTAAATCTCCTTCCAAAGGCATGTCATTTGTCTAGATGCGAGCATCAATAGAATGGCCTCAGGGACCATTTTTGAACTAAGTGGTGGATGATAGTTGTCCACTAGGTACCAGAAGTCTTGAAACATCGTCCAATAGTAGCCGCGTGTCTCCCATTCGTATTCTATGGGATAAGATATACAGTATACAAGGTGTTTTAAATTCGATATACTTACCTAAGCATAGCTGTGGTGGTGGACCTATGTTCATCATGCACTGCCAGATAATCGATAAAGCGATGAATATAACAAATAAAATCCAGGTCCAGCGAAGTATACGACGATTCAGTATCAATAATAGACAAAGCCAGATCGAATACGCGAGAGCATGTCCATCCATACGAACAATAATCAGTATGACAATCATCATCATACAAAGCTGGAAATGTCAAAACCATATGACGGACATATGACAAAAAAATGTTTTGACGAATTATCAATACTACTGGTGGCACATTTATTTGCTAAGTTGAAATTGAGATTTTTTTTAATTAAAAGTATTACATTGGTATATTGAAAAAAAGGCGTTTTATATAACAATTTTCAGTACTTTTTGATAAAAAAATCAAATTTAAAATTAAATAAGATAATAAAGTACTAAACTGGTAGTACACATTTCAAATCAAAGTTTGGGTAATTGCCGTAGTTATCACATTGGATTTTTTACTCCAAAATGTAGCCTAAAGTGTATTTAAGATACACTAGGAGTTTCAAAATGGGATGCGCGTCAATTAAGGAGATAGGTATATTTCTGTACATTCATGTCGCACTGGCTATTAATAGTTAATACTATGAGTATACTAAGTGACATATAAATCCGAACACCCAGTTTTAATGGTTTTATTTTAATAAAAGTTGGTGAATGTATTTATCTTACTGTAAATACCAAGTGACAAAATTTTCAGCCTTATCAGTTGGACATTCCGGTTTTTATACTGTTTTTTTTTTTAATTAACTAACGCTCTAAAAATGAATATTTCAGCCGCAGTAAAGAATCAACGTTGGCGGATTTTGGTTCTTGACATCCTTTACGATCGGTTACGATGCCTAGAGTACGGAGACCTGTACGATTTCGTCAACTTAGTGGGTTTGATAGGGGCCGTATAGTGGGACTTCGGGAAGCTGGACTTTCTTTTCGGGCAATTGCAGTTAGAGTGCAAAGAAGTGTAGACACTGTGGTTAGGTGTTGTCAGGCATGGCTTCGAGAAGGCCGTACGCAAAGAGCAAGGGGCACTGGACGCCACCGTAGAACAACAGACCGTGAAGATCGCCGCCTAAGATTATTGGCCTTAAGGGACCGTTTCTCCACTACCAGGTCCACTGCAAATGAATGGTTTGCAGAACACGGAAGACCTATTGGCATGCGAAGTGTTTACCGACGAATGAGAAGTTTTGGCTTGTTTTCATACCGGCTACACTGGGTCCTCCCTTTAACTCGAGAACACCGACGTAATCGCCTTGAGTAGTGCAGACAACGGTCACTCTGGGATGAGGAATGGAACAGTATTGTCTTTAGTGTCGAGTCTCGATTTTGTTCAGGCATGCACGATGGTCGTGCCAGGGTTAGAAGGCGACGTGGTGAAAGGAGGAATCCACAGTTTTTTGTTGAAAGACATGTTCATCACACTGTTGGAGTTATGGTTTGAGGTGCTATAGCTTATGGTTCCAGGTCACCTTTAATCTTCATCAGAGGTAACATGAACGCGCAGCGTTATATCCACGAAGTTCTAGAACCCCATCTTTTACCCTATCTTGACACCCTGGCAGATCCAACTTTCCAACAAGATAATGCCCGACCACATGTTGCAAGAGTCACAATAGACTTCTTGCAACATAATGATGTCACGTTGTTACCATGGCCACCAAGATCTCCCGACTTATCCCCAATTGAGCACGTGTGAGATATGATGGGTAGGAGATTGCTCAATTTGCAACGTCCTCCTCAGACTCTAGAAGCACTTCGAGAGGAGTTGGTGGTTGCCTGGAATGAGATACCACAGGAGGACATTGACGACCTGATCAGAAGCATGCCTAGGCGCGTTGGAGAATGCGTAGCACATCAGGGTGCATCCACACATTATTAAAGGTCAAAGGGCTTTAAAGCAGTGCAATCATTTTGAAATTTTTATCATTTACTTATTATGCTTCATTAAGTACTTATACAGAAGGAATTCGTGGAGTAGTACATAATTTATTTAAATCTTACCTGGAGAACAGATATCAAAAAGTTAAGTTAAGCGATGTTATTTATAGTGAAGCTCAAAAAGTAGTTGTTGGCGTACCGCAAGGTACAGTGCTTGGCCCGATTCTGTTCTCAGTGTATGTTAATAGTCTCTTAAACTTAAACGTTAATGGTAAAATTGTGTGCTTCGCAGATGACACTGCCCTTTTAATCGCTGGTAGTTCATGGCTTGATGCTTTTACTAAAGCTGAACTAGACTTACACAAAATAAAATGCTGGTTAGACATAAATCAACTGACTCTAAATATTGAAAAGACAAAATTTATATCTTTTTCTATGACCAGAAGGGACATGCCTAATAAAGTGTATATTCCCTTACATAACTCTTCATGTAGCGTTCAATTAAATTGCAACTGTCATTTAAAAATACAATCCTGTGACAATATTAAATATTTGGGTGTCTATTTTGATAGATTCTTAAGATACATGTTGACTACATCAGCAAAAAAGTTAGGAAATTAGTGTACAAATTTTCGCAACTAAGGAATGTCTTAACCTTTAAGTTAACGAAAATGGTGTATTTTTCACTAGCGGAATCTATTTTAAATTATGGCATTTTGTGCTGGAGTTCAGCATGTGATTCCCTTTTACAACCATTAAAAGTGGCTCAAAAATTTTTATTAAAAATTTTGTTATTTAAACCTAAAATGTATTCTACCGATCTTCTTTTTTCTCAAACAGAATTTCTAAACTTAAGGCAACTTTACTGTGTAAGAGTTATTCAATTTTCTTTAAAGTATGGGATCTTTCATGAGAGAGTTAACCACCCGATACAAACCAGGGCAGTAACTGAATCGAGATTCTGTTCTTCTCTGCAGAGTTTTTCTTTTACTCAGAGAAATATTTCTTTTACAGGTCCCATATTGTTAAATCTATTACCGCTTCTCATAAGGAATAAACGAACTATTACAAAATCCATTAAAAACAAAATTAGATACTGGGTAAAAATTAATTATATACTTATTACAAAAAAATAGTATGGTTCTCTGAGTAAACGAATACCTGTATCTGCGCTGCTACATGTGTAATATACTACATTAGATAGTGCGTATATATCATTTATATTAATTTTGTAGTGTAGCTTTTTCTATTGTTGTAGTTTTTGATAAGGAAATTAAATGTTAAATGTTATTCGGGGATACACACAAATTTTAAAATTCATCGTATCCTCGTCTAACATTTCTAGAGCCTGTCAATGTAATAATTATTTGAATAAATTATTTGAATTTTTGATTTTTTTTTTTTGAAAATTTTATTAAAATAAAACCATTTAAACTGGGTGTTCGGATTTATATGTCACATAGTATATTTTCAAGCTCATTTTAAATGTATTTTGACAGAAAGTTATAGTGTTTTTAAACGATTTTTTAAATAGTGAAATTTAAAAAATGTAGTCCAAATCCGGATATAAACATATCAAACCAAATTTTGGGCAACTTCCACCATTTTTTCCAAAAAATGCACAAAAAGTTTTAGAATTAAGGAGAGTATGACGTTAGGCACTTGTTTATGTCAGCTAGTCTGGGAACGAGTATATTTAGTAAAACTTATGTTAGATAACATTAAAAGGAACATTTTGTTTTATAATATTGTCGGTAAAAATCGTTATTTTTTGTATTAAGCTGCAATATTGCATGACTGTATTGTCGACGACTTTCGTGGTCACTAGGCTGTGGTTCTTGGGTTAACTGAATTTTGTATGGCTGCAAATGCAAGTCTTCTTTTAACATAGTGCATAATGACGTGCGACGAGTACGCAGTTCTTAAGAACGATGTCTGGTAGACGTCTCAGGGCGCTCCACTACACTTTCACAAACTCTCTCGATATTTTCCGGAGTACGAACAGTTCGAACACGGCCGACCTTGGCAAGTCTTTAACTTCACCTATTTCCGCACCAATTGACGAATGGTGTTGACAGTGGATAGACTATTTCGACCGAAATATTGTTGGAGCTTCCGAATCGTTGCAACAATCGACCCATTATTTAAGCAAAACGTTTTAGCAATACGGAAGCATTGTGGGATCGTGTAGCGCTCCATGATGAATCGGACAAATGTTCTTTAAACAACTACTACGGCGCCACCTACTGAAATGCGTGTATCAAAAATGGCACGCAATTTACGTCACTCAGTTATATATTGGCCACCCTGTACATAAAAATACCGATATCGTTAATCAATGTGCATCTCATTTTAAAAGTTCTAGAATATTTAAATATACTTTAGGCTATATTTTGGAGTGAAAAATCGAAAATAAAAACGACCAAAATTGACCTAATTTTGATTTAAAATGTAAACTTATGGTTTAGCAGCTTAATTTTTTTCAATTTCAAATGTGATTTTTTATCACACAGTACAGAAAATCTCCAATTCGAAGCGCTTTGTTTGATATGCCAGTGTAATACTATTAATTTTGAAAACTCACTAGTTTTTGTAAAAATCCCAATCTCAAATACACGTGCCATGAAAGAAATCTTGTATGAGGTACAAACAGACCTAACATAAGCGAATTTTAAAAAATGACAATTATTCAGTGTGCGCTTAACGTGTTGTTTACCACGGGCGGGCTGCATTTTAACACTATGGTATAGGTTTCGGCACCAGCCATAATTTTATTGGTCAATTTCAATTTATTTAACCAATAACAAGCTGAGTGCCGAAATCACTACCGGAATGTTACACAGTGCTGAAAACAGTGTCGGAATGTTATCAATAAACTGCTTCTACTAATATATATAAATATAACTTGAGACGTGGTCATTGTCGTCTAGACCAGTTAGGTGAAAAATTAAAGCTTCCGCCTTGTGTTGGGTACTTCGGCAAAATTTAAGCAAGGATGACTCTTTATACTTTTTTATTCTCTCTAGCTTTCAATGGTCTTTGCCATCATCATCAGGAGAGTAGTATGTGAGGATGTTGCTAATTGTTGTTTACGTTAAGGATGAGGGAAACACCCAGTAACATGCCCACCATTTTGTGCAATCATAGTGGCTTCACGATGTAATGTTTAACTTTCAATTACTAAAAAAAATTTTTATTTATTTTTAACTTGTTCTTGTCATACAGCTGTGTGTATTTTATTTAATTTTGACCATTGTACCATTTATCCAGCTTTCACCATATTACTGGGTGTTTCTCTCATCCTTAACGTAAACAACAATTAGCAACATCCTCACATACTACTCTCCTGATGATGATGGCAAAGACCATTGAAAGCTAGAGAGAATAAAAAAAGTATAAAGAGTCCTCCTTGCTTAAATTTTGTCGAAGTACCCAACAAAAGGCGGAAGTTTTAATTTTTCACCTATATAAATATATATATATATATAAATTTTTCATGTAATTTTTCTTATTGCTAAACCAAATTATTAATTTTAAAATCATTAAATATCGTAACAGGAAACAACGTGCGTTGATTATTATCTTACGTATTTTTAACGGAAGGTAAGTAAATTTACATTTAAATTGATAACATTTTGACCCCATGCTCAGCACTGTTTAACATTCCGGTAGTGATTTCGGCACCCGGCTTGTTATTGGTTGAATAAATTGAAATTGACCAATAAAATTAATGCTGGTGCCGAATCCTATACCATAGTGTTAAAATGCGGGCGGGCTAGCCCGAATACGTCGGTGCCTTTTATGATTTCTACTTGTTTTAGAACAAACAAATCCTACTCACCTCATACCCTATTCGATAGAAGCCATAATTCAAAGCGTACTTGATGTAATTTTTGAGACTAAGGTCTGCCTCGCGATACGTCACATTTGGAAACATGACCTTGGGGGTTTCAGTCGGTAGACCCTGCTGTTTCCTGCTTATGTATTGTCTTGCTGTGACCACGGGTCGCAGGGATGACAACAAAAGAAAAGCAATTTCCCAACCGATGTGCCTTATAATTTTCGTCTTGGTAGAGAATAAAAGAGAGTGTCAGGCTATGACATTATGAATAATAGGTATAAAGAATAATGACTGGTGTTTGAAATTTGGTGTGATTGAGATGTCATTTCTCGGACTTCCATTGTCTACAATGTCATTATTCACGACGTTTTGATTGATGAGATCTTCATCGTCGTGAATCAAAAAAACCTTATAGACAAGAGTAATAGTAAAAAAGACGTGAAGACTCTAAAAGATTCTCTAAAATCTGATTTAGGAAATTAGGTCGATGTTTGTGAGAATACCAAAATGTTTCCTAGAATGTTGATACAGGGTGTACCTAACGACTGTTTAAAAAATCCTGGTCCAGATAAACTTGAATTTGTTGATAGTTTTGTTGACGATTTAATATTCAATAACAATTTAGGTGTTAATTCAGATGATATAAAAATAATTAGTTGCTATAAGGTTAAAAATACAAAAAATGTTGTTATCGAGGTGGTTCCTTCTGTGTTCAATTTACTTAGTAGCAAAGCGTTTGTTTTTATTGGCTGGGTGAGATGTACTGTCAGGGAAAATTTATATTTGCTACGTTGTTACAAATGTTGTAAATTTGGTCATGGTAAGAAAGATTGCCGAAGCAAGGATGTTATCTGTTCTAAGTGCTCAGGTTTTCATGAATTTAGAGATTGTAAAGCTGATGATTCTTGTTGTCCTAACTGTAAGTTTCATAATGATACATATAAAACTAACTGGTGTACAAAGCATGTTGCAGTTATTACAAAATGAAGATCGATAATTTGAAAATGCAGATTGCTTATGAATAATTGCACAAAAACTTATAACCATTTTGTTGTTGGACACCTGAATGTAAGATCTCTGTTTGCTGGCTTTGATTCCTTTGTAGATTTGTTGACTACTGATAACTATGATATTATGGGTATCTCCGAAACATGGATTAATAATGATTTTACAGCAGATATAGTAAATATTCCTGAGTACACATTTTTCCATACTGATCGAGTAGGACGTGGAGGAGGAGTTGGTGTTTATTTAAGGGAGTCACTGAGAGGTAAGCTGGTATTGCAAGATTTTTTATGTCCAGATGGTATGGAGCAGGTTTGTGCTGAAATAGTGTTGAATAATCTAAAAATTTTGGTTTTTGTTATCTACAGAGCTCCTTCGAGCAGATTATCAAGTTTTATTGATCATATAGACAACTTTCTCTCATTTGTGTCTCCTCAGTATGATAATATATGCTTGCTGGGTGATATAAACGTTGATCAACTTACTGACCATTCTTTTCTAGATTGCATTGCGTGCTACGATATGGTATCTCACATCACCCAACCAACTAGGATAACTTTAACCACGGCAACCTCCATAGATGTCATTTGTACAACAAATAACTTAGCTGAATCATTAATTTCAACTAGCTCTGCACCTGTTCCGAATTTGTCAGATCATAATGTAGTCAAATGTGACTTCAACATCACACGGCCTAAGAATTTTCAAAAGACTGTCAAATATAGAGACTTTAAACACTGTTGTAAAGATCAGTTTTTGGTGGATTTGTATAAAATCCCATGGGACGATATATATTACATCAGTAACTTAGAGGATAAAGCTACGTTTTTTTCTATCATATTTTGGATTTGTTCGATGTCCATGCTCCTGTTGTTTCAGCACGTATTACTAAACCTTATGCTCCATGGTTCACAGGTGGCATAAAATTTTTGATCTCTGAGAGAAATAAAGCCTTTAGAAAATATCAGATTTTAAAAAGTCCAGCTAGTCTCGAATATTACCAGAAATGAAGAAATGATGTCATTTCCGCTATTAGGCGGGAGAAAGCAGCATATCTAAGCTTCAATGAACAACTAAATAGTAACAAGCATCTCTGGAAAGCTGTACATTCATTGAAACTCAAAACTAATGTAGATAGATCTTTACCTACACAGTTGAAAAATGCCGATAGTAAGTAAACAATTATTTTTCTTCCGTTTTCACGCCTTCGGGCAATTGCAAGGATCTAGTTGATAAATTTAATAGTACCAAAATTAATGAAAGTGCTAGATTTGAATTTAGTTTTGCTACCCCACAAAATGTGCTAGACATTATTCTGTCTCTAAAATCTAATGCAGCAGGTTCAGATGGTATAACAGTCTCAATGCTGAAGCTTTGCTTGCCTCGAGTATTACTACCCCTGACGCATTTATTGAACTGTTGCCTGGAGGCTGGGTATTTCCCTGATGCTTGGAAACTATCTCTTGTCAAGCCCTTGCCTAAATGTAAAAATCCAAAATTTTTCTCAGACTTAAGACCTATAACTTTGATTCCTGTTATATCGAAGATATTGGAGAAATTGATTAAACATCAGGTTTATCATTATTTCTCTAATATTGATTTCTTTCCCAAGTGTCAATCTGGTTTCTGCAGTGGTTTTAGTACAACTACAGCTTTAGCAAGGGTTTTAGATGACATCATTGCTTCGCTTGATAAGGGAGATGCTTCAGCACTTGAATCGTTAGATTATTCTAAGGCGTTCGATAAAATAGATCATGAGCTTTTATGTGCTAAATTGAAGTTTTTTGGTTTTTCAGACATACCTCTAATGTTTTTTATAACATATCTTTCAAATCGTAAACAAGTAGTAGAGATAGACAACACTATATCTAGTCCGATTGATATAACATCAGGTGTCCCTCAGGGTTCAGTTTTAGGGCCCTTGTTGTACTTAATTTATACTATAGACTTGGGTAGCTCTGTGAAAAACTCTTCTGTGATGTGCTATGCCGATGATACACAGATTTATAAGAGCTTTAATAGTAACACTTTGCATACTTCAATCAATGAGCTTAATGATGATTTGGAGGCAATAGTAGGATACTCAAATGGTAACAATCTTAAGCTCAATAAGGATAAGTGCTCAGTGATGCTTTTTTGTCCTGCTGTCAAACGTAACACTATATTGTATTCTCTTGATGTAAAAATTGACAAGGAGCGTCTAGCTGTCGTAAATACTACAAAAAATTTAGGGTTGATTATTGATTATACTTTACGGTTTAAGGAGCATGTTTCGTCTATCTTAAAAAAATGTTATGCAACTTTGAAGTGTTTTTATGTCAATCGCTCTATTTTGAATTTTAAAGTTAGAAAAAAGTTATGTGAGGCTATTATATTTCCAAGCTTATTTTACTGTAGCACTGTGTTCTATCATTGTCTTGATTCTATCACAAAAGCAAGACTCCAAAATACTTGTTGTCGATTTGTATTTAATCTCAAGAAGTACGATCATGTTTCCTTAAAGAGATTTCAGCTTGGTTGGATGTGTATAGAAAATGCTTGCAAGTACCATATAGCAGTGTTTTCACATAAGATCATATCTTCTAGATCCCCCTTGTATCTTTATGAGAAATTTGTTTTCAGACGAAATAATTCAGACATTGATTTCAGACACAAAAAAAGACTAGAGATCCCTATGTATAAAACGACTTTATTTCGTAGTTCATACACTTACAATACTATCCTGATTTATAACGAATTAGATGACAATATAAAGGATTAGCCAGTAAACAGATTTCGTAAGCATGTGAAACAGATTTATTTGTCATTGTAGTAATTGTGGAAAAGTTAGTTTTTAATTCTTACATTTTATTTGATTTTACGTAATATATGTGTGTATATATGTATGCTAGGAAGCTATCAAGCTCGTTGTTTTGAAGCGTTTTTGCTTGTCAAAGTTTCCTTTGATTGAGTGTTTCAATTTATTATTTGGGTAGGTTAAGTAGAGTAGCCAAGAGCTAGACTTCGCCTACGTAGAGGTCACATTATGTTGTAGTATATATAATGTGCCTAATAAAGACATTTTATTATTATTATTATTATTATTATTAAGAGAAGTCCGAGAAACAACATGTCAATAAATAGTTGAAGTAAATAATAACTTGTCCACAATACTCACAGCCACTTCGTCCTTCTTACGGATACCAATCCATTCCATCCAATTGCGGCTGGTTTGGTTAATATGCGGATGCTTTATCATCTAAAATCATAACATAAGAAATCCCAGAATTAAATGGCAATATACAATACCCCTAATGGACACTACAGAAAATATTCTTAAATAACTACTAAATGACACTATATAATTCAACTAGTTGAGGCTTTGCATAATATCTATCATATGAAGTAAATAACTCATTGATAGGAGGAGATAATTATAGCGTAATGTCTTTTGTCACTGGGTCAGGCTAAGAATTTTATCATAAAGGTTTCTTTTTCGTACATCATTTTCACCGTTATTTTGTGTGTGCTACTACGAGACTTGTGCTTTGAAGATGCATTGTAGGCGAGTCGTTCTGAATACCAAAAAATGACGTCAAGTAGGTTGACTCTGGACTTCCTAAGCAAAGCTGACATCAGTTCGGCCCTAGTTAGCCAGCCTACAAACATGTCTAAGAAAAATATTAAATGGGTCAGCCAAACATGCCCATATACAATTAGTCCATACTCCATAGTCCCCACCCATGTGATAACGCTAACGCTGCTTTCTTCTCTGCGTCTGTAAATATTTCTCCGCTCCGAGGAGAAATGAACGTGGAAAGCTTTGATGTGTGAAATACGTGCTAGGTGCATTTCAACCCCTACAATTTTTTTCTGAACATGAAGTTTCAGCAATTTTTATTTATTTCGTGTTTAGTCCCTAGCTCCGCCGCTGCTAGACCGTCTTTTAAAAACTATGCAGCTTTTTCGCCTTTGGCATATAAACTTTGTGTGGAAATTTCATCGAAATTCGACAGATACTTTGCAAATTATTGGCGGTCCAAGGACTAGCGAACAGACAAACAGATAGATAGGCGACAGACAGACTGCCGGAAATGAGTGACAGTTTTTCCTGATGTACGTTTCATTTAATGTCTAAAGACCGTAATAGCTCATTTTAAGTATTTTTCGCGATTACAATACTTCTTCGCCCAGTTTCGTGATAAAACAATTAATTAGGCGAATTAATAAAATGTATTAACCATGTGAGAGCTAGCCACATTAATTAGTCCAATTGAAGTCCGATTTCTTCTCCGAAGTTCTTCTCAATCCTCAATGGGCGTACACCTTCTTCAACGGCCCCCCTGAGAAATCTCTCTCTGAAGATTATCTTTAAACGCGGCTCTTATATGTTCTTCAAATATTTGGCGATCGACTGCAGTGTAAATCAACAAACGACTCGTTTTCAAGTTGAAATTACTAGGCTTCTCAAGATCTATTTATTATCCTGTTTCCAGTAGCGTCCTCTAAGAGTATGTAAGAGTTGCCCTTAGGATTATTTAAAGAACTATTTTTTGAATCTTATATACAGGGTGTTCCTTGATGATATGCGAATATTTAAGGGTGTGAATCTACATGAAAAAATTAATGTTAGTTTGTTTTATAAAGTATGGTCCAAAAATATTTCCTTTACAAAAACTCGGGGTGTTGAGGTTTTAAGAAAAAAATGGAAATTAATTAATATTTTCAGAACCGCTTCAGATATTTCACTGATATTTAGCACGTAGTGAAAGTTAATAAAGCTGCATATTTTTCAATGCAAACATAATTTTTAGCTTCAACAGTGGCGTACGTACGGGTATTGACTTTGATATTTAAAAAATAGTACGCCATTGATTTTTGCTAAATAAAATTGAATTTTCCGTTCAATTTAAAACAAATGATCTCTCTTGAATTGTTTTCCTTCGATGCGCCATCTTTGAGTAAAAAAACCGTACTATTGTCTAACTTGCAAAATTATTAATTTAATTAATTTATAAATGATAAATTAAAAAATTAAACACATTAGGGGTAATAAACAACAACAACTGACAACATAATCATAACATTAAAACCAACGAAATAATTACAAAAATTGTTGAAAATGCTTAGTATGAACTTAGTCGGCATGCTTCCGCCCTCCTTCTCATGGAATTGCGCATTCGTTGAAATATCCCTGGAGTGATGTTTATTCTATCACAAGCTGCAACTATTCTATCTCTTAATTCCTCTACAGTTTTAAGGGGACTCGTGTCTTAAGATAGCCCCACAAAAGGAAATCTAAACTCTGGGAACCTTGGTGGCCATTCTTGGGGCCCACAGCGGCCAATCCAACGATTTGGATAAACAGTTTGTAAATAATTACGAACCGCTATACTGAAATGCGCTAGTGCACCATCATGCATGTACCACATTATTGTTTCTTATTACTAACGGAACATCATCAAGTAGCAAAGGCAACTGTTGTTGAAAAAAAGTCGTCCCGGCAAGAAGAATGGGCCAATAAAACCACTTTCTTCCTGCCCATACGTTGCCCGAAAATTGGTGTTGGAAGTGGGTTTCGGTTACGGCATAAGGATTTTCTTCTGCCCAAATCATTACTATGGAAATTCTGAATGGCATTTCGAGAAAAATTGGCTTCGTCCGTGAACAGAACCATTGATTCAAATTGCGGTTTTTGTGTAATTTTTTGAAGATACCACTGACAAAAGGTCACACGCCTTGGAAAATCAGTGGGAAGTAATGAATATACTCTTAAAATATGATAAGGATATAACAGAAAATCCACTAAAATTCTCCAAACAATTTGATGGCACATATTTAAGTGTCTAGCGATCTTAGTCGTACTCGTTTCAGGATGTTCTTCGACTTCGTGCAGCACTGCTTCCTCAGTTTCAGGTATTCTCACACATTTACTTCTACCTTCAGATGTTCCTTTTGGGACAGAAACGGTTTCAACAAGACGATGATGAATATTAGAAAAGGTTCGGCCTTCTGGCAAAGCACGATCGGGATATCTCTGGTGATAAATCCGTCTGGCTTGCTCACCATTACCATCGGCAAGGCCATATACGTAATGCATTTCTGCCATTTCTGCATTTGAATAATTGACCATTATTAACAAGATTATAAAAACTAAATAATGAAAATTATTACATTAGTTTTCTCGGACAATTGAACGGTTTTTATTTTTTTTTACTCAAAAATGGCGCATCGAAGGAAAATAATTCAAGAGAGAGGTTTTAAATTGAACGAGGAATTATTTGGCAAAAAGCCATTGGTGTACTATTTTTTTTAATATCGAAGTCAATACCCCTACGCACGCCACTGTTAAAGCTAAAAATTATTTTTTCACTGAAAAATATGCAACCTTATTAACTTTCACTGCTTGCAAGTTTATATTTATCTTGATTTCAAAATACTTACGTTGCAAGTTACGTCAAAATATGAATTTTTGACAGTTGGTAGCTGATATAACAGAATCGCCATAGCATAAATTGTCACTAATATTGCAGCCCAGTTCAAGACCACCAAACGAACAGACCTGAAATATATCGTTGTCCAATAACTCAGGATTCTTACTATCATGATCACAAAGATGTAGTCATGCTATCAGAGCTCTTGTGTTCTTTTTTAGAACTGCTAAGTTGGATACTTAGACAGCAAATAACTCAAGACAAAAAGCCCGGGAAGACAGCACAGAGAGCAAAATGAAGGTACAGGTACATGATTCAACACTCAGACTCAGATTTATAGACCTCCCCTATGGCTTGAGGCTTCCTTGGAAACAACAGATAGCAGATATCTCCTAGAAAACAGTGAACGATGACGCTCCCTTGGGGGATGTTCAAGGGAGGATTCAAATTAACAGTAGGCTGTAACAGCTTATCATCAAAATGCAAAATGAAAATTCAAGTCCTTCCTTGAACGTACCTCAAGGAAGCGTATAATTTTCACTGTTTCCATTGTTTCCAAGGAAGCGACAAGAGCCTCAAGGAGGGTCTATCAATCTGACTAAATGGAACATTCTCACTGAAAGCAACTATCCTGTCGGAAAAAATAAGGGCGCTGGGCGCTTGTGTATGAGCGGCAATTGGGGTGCTTCAACTGACGTTCGGATCGTGTCCCTGAAAAATCATCGAAAATCTGATAAAAAATACGTGTTTGTATTCTTCAAGAGATAAGTTCGCATACAAGTTGTTACCTCTCCTGATCGTCCATTGCACAGTATATTTATGTATTGGGAGCATTTGGTTATTAAAAAAATACAGGGTGTAAACGTTATGGTAGTCATTATTGAAATGGGTAATAGGGGGCGTCAAAACAAATCAAAAAGTTCATATCACCCATAGTCCAAAAGTCAATAGATTTTTGTCTAAATGACTTCATACTTTACAATTTTAAGTGCTTTATATCGACCACAATCTAACTAATTTTTGTAATCTAATCTAAAACGTTTTTAAATTGGGTAATTAACAAACAAATGACATCAAGTTTTTCTAAGTTAAGCCACAATTTGTAGTCAGTAAATAAGTTCATTAAATTAAATATCTAAAACACGCATGACAACAGCGCGTCGATCTTTCATCACTCTTATCGATCCGGCAATCGATCGCAAACGGTAACAGTGGTTAGTTGCAGCTCAAATTTATCGCGATAGATTTCGCCAACGGGTACACCCAGACAGAAGGACATTTGTGCAAGTGTACCAAAGACTTTGAGATACAAGAAGTGTTCAGCCCACTAATATTCGCACTCGTGAAAGACAGGTTACTGTAGAGCAAGAGGAACAAATTTTAAATATCGTTGAAATCAATGCAGATATCAGTACTTGGGAATCAGGCCGCCGCGTAGGACTATCGCGTACCATAGTCCATAGAATCCTACGGGAAAATTTGCTTTATCCCTACCATGTACAACAAGTGCAGGCCTTGTTACCAGATGATTATCCTCGCAGACTAACATTCTGTCAGTGGTTTTTGCACAAAAACATTGAAAATCCGGATTTTTTTAAAAACATTCTAGCGACGGACGAATGTACTTTTACGCGAGACGGGATATTAAATTTCCATAATACTCACACGTGGGCCCAAGAAAATCCTCATACCATTCGTGAAGGTCATTTCCAACAACGTTTTAAAATAAATATTTGAGCGGGTATTCTTGACGATCAGGTAATTGGCCCTTTCGAGTTACCCCCAAAGTTGTCAGGAGAAGGATACCTTAACTTTTGGAACAGACCTTAGACAACATGTCATTACAACTGAGACAGAATTTGTGGTTTCTTCATGACGGGGCACCACCACACATTTTTAGAGGCGTCATTCAGTATTTGAATGAACATTATCCAAATCGCTGGATCGGTCGAAATGCTCCTGATCCTCGAAAATGACCAGCAAAATCTCCTGACCTCAATCCAATGGATTTCTGGTATTGGGGAGAACTTAAAGGGATAGTTTATGGGGCTGGTCCAATAACAACTGAAGCACAACTTCGCGAAAAAATTATTAATGCCGCTGAAATAATAAATGGACAACTTCGAGGACCTAGAGTAAGAAGAAGCTGGGTTCGTCGTAATGAAGCTTGTGTGGAAAGTGGAGGACGACATTTTGAACACCTTCTTTAAATACAAAAGAGTGCAGTGTGGGATTTAAAAAGAAAAACAATGTATGTATCAAAATTGTGTTCCCTATTTTTAAGTGGATTTTCTTAATACGTTCAATAGACTTTCACACACCAAGTGAAGCGCTGAGACAGTTAGTGGAAAGTCCGTTTTTTTTAATTGTTTGCATTTTACGAGTGCATTATCAAATAGTGAAATAATACCTAAGAGCCAAAAATAACAAACTCCATCTTTATTTACACTGCGTTCCGGCGTAATTTGCGTGTAGCATTAAGGCGTTGTCAGATTTTACTTTACTTTAAAGTCGCTTTTCCCTAAAAAAATGCCATTTTGACCCCCATATTGTATGAAACGTTTTGCTTCTTTTAACACCCTCTATCACCCATTTATATGATGACTAACGTTTACACCCAGTGTGTTGATTGACCTGGCTGGATTTTATTTGCGAAATATGTTACAATTTATACAATTTTCTTCCAGTCAAATTTTTCAAGAATAAACAGTCTGTTTATATTTCACATTGTTACTGGAGAGTAGATGTTTAGAGACTAGAGCAGTACTAGAAGAAATTAAGTGTCATACCTGGCAGTAACCACCATACTGAAACACAGTGGCACCAAAATCAGGAAGTAGAGTACACAAGCTCTTAATAAGCACACGAGGAGCAGAAATAACATTATTATTTGAACTATGTGCAGTTCCAGGAACGAAAACACAATGTTTGTCAAGGACAAATAATACTGGAAAGGCTTGCCGAGCGATTCTGGAATAAAAACAGTTATTGTAGAGCTTTTGAATTGAAAAATGGGTATAGCAAAGTGTTTTTGAGATGCCAGTGATAGCATTAATCTAGTTACCTTTATACTCTTCTTCCTCTGCATGAGTCGTTTCATCATTCTCATCCGTGATAGCCATAAACTTGTTGTGGAAGAATTTCAGTTGCACCAAAATCAGCACTATGAAAACCATGGAGCCATATAGCCTATTCCTGTAGGCATAAGCGCTTTTTATTACAGCTCCATAGTCTGCATCGCTAGAACCGAGCAATTCTATTAGCAACAGAAGTTTACTCCACCATTTTTTAACTCCCTGCTGTAAATATTTTTGAATCACAACAGTCAGATAGTTAAGCTGCTTCACAATAGCAGACCAAGGCACACAGCACTCTACAGGGAAAACCAAATTTGTCTGACGACTTGAGTTTAATATGTAGGAGCGAGAAGCGCGAGAGGTGTACATCAACACATATACTAAGTGACATATAAATCCGAACATCCAGTTTATATGGTTTTATTTTAATAAAATTTTGTATAAGTACTTAATGAAGCATAATAAGTAAATGATAAAAATTTCAAAATGATTGCACTGCTTTGAAGCCCTTTGACCTTTAATAATGTGTGGATGCTCCCTGATGTGCTACGCATTCTCCAACGCGCCTAGGCATGCTTCTGATCAGGTGGTTCAATGTCCTCCTGTGGTATCTCATTCCAGGCAACCACCAACTCCTCTCGAAGTGCTTCTAGAGTCTGAGGAGGACGTTGCAAATTGAGCAATCTCCTACCCATCATATCCCACACGTGCTCAATTGGAGATAAGTCGGGAGATCTTGGTGGCCATGGTAACAATGTGACATCATTATGTTGAAAGAAGTCTATTGTGACTCTTGCAACATGTGGTCGAGCATTATCTTGTTGGAAAGTTGGATCTGCCAGGGTGTCAAGCTAGGGTAAAAGATGGGGTTCTAGAACTTCGTGGATATAACGCTGCGCGTTCATGTTACCTCTGATGAAGATTGAAGGTGACCTGGAACCATAAGCTATAGCACCCCAAACCATTACTCCAACAGTGTGATGAACATGTCTTTCAACAAAAAACTGTGGATTCCTCCTTTCACCACGTCGCCTTCTAACCCTGGCACGACCATCGCGCATGCCTAAACAAAATCGAGACTCGTCACTAAAGACAATACTGTTCCATTCCTGATCCCAGAGTGACCGTTGTCTGCACCACTCAAGGCACTAAAGACAATACTGTTCCATTCCTGATCCCAGAGTGACCGTTGTCTGCACCACTCAAGGCGATTACGTCGGTGTTCTCGAGTTAAAGGGAGGACCCAGTGTGGCCGGTATGAAAACAAGCCAAAACTTCTCATTCGTCGGTAAACACTTCGCATGCCAATAGGTCTTCCGTGTTCTGCAAGCCATTCATTTGCAATGGACCTGGTAGTGGAGAAACGGTCCCTTAAGGCCAATAACCTTAGGCGGCGATCTTCACCGTCTGTTGTTCTACGACGGCGTCCAGTGCCCCTTGCTCTTTGCGTACGGCCTTCTCGAAGCCATGCCTGACAACACCTAACCACAGTGTCTACACTTCTTTGCACTCTAACTGCAATTGCCCGAAAATGAAGTCCAACTTCCTGAAGTCCCACTATACGGCCCCTATCAAACTCACTAAGTTGACGAAATCGTACAGGTCTCCGTACTCTAGGCATCGTAACCGATCGTAAAGGATGTCAAGAACCAAAATCCGCCAACGTTGATTCTTTACTGCGGCTGAAATATTCATTTTTAGAGCGTTAGTGAATTAAAAAAAAGCAGTATAAAAACCGGAATGTCCAAATGATAAGGCTGAAAATTTGTTCACTTATTATTTACAGTAAGATTAATACATTCACCAACTTTTATTAAAATAAAACCATTTAAACTGGGTGTTTGGATTTATATGTCATTTAGTATATTAGAAAGAGATAGAAGCTGGCTGAAGCAACGGTGACGCAGAAAGTCGTGCATTAATTTATTTTAGAATTATCTTTGATTTCCAACGATGGCAATAAAATCAACACATCCTGAGTTATTGTTGCAAAATGTAACAAATACCATTAGGCAAAGTAAATTATCACTGCCTACGTGTACGCAGGTGAAAACCATGTCGAAAAACGACACTCCTCAATGAACGCTAGATGGGTACTGACCAAAATCGGTCATCTATGATAATGGAGCTGGAAACCTTGCCTTGGAATGTACGAGATGCGATGTTGCCAAGTGAACCAATGAAGCAATATTGCAAAATTTGTGGCGACCCTGGCCATTCATTTTGGCCTAAAATTGAGCGCCAGTTTATATATCTTTTCAACATTTACATTAATTAATATTGGAAAATTAAACAAATTAATATTCTGTTTTTTTTGTGTTTATTTGGAGTTACGAATTATTGCTGTGTTTAAAAAAACAAAAATGCATCGAAACTTAAAAATCGAAATATCTCAAAAACGGCTAGCTATAACAAAAACTCACAGGAGAGCTTTTTTATGTTGAAAAGTGCGAAGAATCAGTTTTTTTATTCAAAAAGCAAAAAATTGCACTAAGAAAAAATGTTCGGTCATTTTAATACACTACAGGTACAGTAGAGAGCGCCCTCTAGCGGCTACAGTGAAACTATGGTTGTTGTACCAAAAAACCCTTGTATACCAATTTTCACTTTTATACATCAAATATTGTTCGAAATATTTAAAAAAAACTATTTTAAAAAGTAAATTTAAGGACCCTGTATTTCGGAAGCCACGCATTTTTCGACCCATGTTTATATAGACTTGATGCATTAATCTTAAAAGTTCTATGGAATCTTAAAGTAATGCAACAATAAACTGAAACACCCTGTATATTTATATTTCCTCATGAAATCAGGTAACCTCATTTAATCACCCTCCAATTTGGGACGTACACAGCGTATAGACCTTGGAAAAATGAGCAGTTTGTTTAATAACATATACACCAGAGTCTTAAGTTTGCCGAGGTATGAGTCTTAACAAAACCTAATACGGTCCTGCACCTCGATCAAATCGAACGTCGCGCATCGGTAATCAATCCAGGCGCTGACCGCGTTTGTAAACAAAACCCATATACATCAGTTCTGAACAAACAAAACAACACTGACACACTGATACAGCAATATTGGATCTAATTTACGGTGAATAAAATGCTACCGAGGCTTCGAGAGTGCATGAAGATCGTTTTTCAAGATCCTCATGACTTCTACTTTTGTTTGGAGTGCAATGAAATGTTTAGAATATAAAATACGGTTGACGATGTACGTGTACGAATTTAGTAATCTGCTGCATTCGCTCGGAAAAGTAAGTCTGTTCTAATGTCGAGCACACACATGTGACTATGAATCACAGACAACTTTGAACAATACTTGACGGAGCTGTACTTGAAATTTATTTTTGATGAAATGTGAGTACATTTTCATATTTTCTTTTTTACTTTTTCGCTGTTGTTTCACCACACATTAGATTTGTTATTACGTACGTAGTTGTTTCTGAAAAGGAAAGTCTCAAACTGTATGTAAAAAATATCGCACCCACCTCTTATGCCACCGCGCCGCTTGTAACTTGCTTTTGTAATTCGACTATCAAACATTCAGTATTTATAACCAAGTGGAGCATGGCAAGTGCGACCGATAGGTGATCCGTCTGCTTAAAATATGTTTTTGAGTTTTAAAGGCAAATGTACGGGGAAATATATGAGGTGTGAAGTATATCTAATGCGTGCGTAGAATTACTGGGGTTGATAGTGTATTAATATGCTAGCATCAAAAAATTAAGATATTCCCTCCTCCTACCATCCTCAATTTTTTAGCCCCCTAAAGAATTTTCCATGAAACGAAGCTTGATCGAATTTTATTTTTTCTTTTTTGGCTATTTTCTTCGCCGTCACCGAGCGATTTTCAAAAACTGCAAAGCTTTTTCCTTGGCATAGTGGTACTCATGTCTGATTTTAACCAAATCCAAGTGGTACTTTCGAAGTTATAGACGGACCAATGATTAGCGGACAGATCGATACACAGGCAGACAGAGCGACATCTCTCATTTTCGAAATTTTCCGTAATACTTCCTCGGCACGGGAAGTAAAAAACCAAAATATAATATGAAGGAATCATCGAGGAAAAACCCTCCTTGTTGCGACTACATGACTAAAATTATATTGCAACGCGCGGCGAATATCTCGGGCTTCTATAAACAGGAATGAATATACTTACAAGCCTGCAGGTGCACCAAACCAGCGGCTAAATGACGGACTGAGTGATCTAAATTGGTATATGTATATGATAATCATATTGAGGAACGTCATTAGAAGCAAAAAGAATAGATATCCTTTCATGAATCTGCGCCATCTTTTGAAGGAAATCTGAAAATAGTAAAATGAATCTGAATATTGAAAGCAAAGCGAAAGTTAAGAACGAAACTCGTCCAGCATCAGGACTTCCGATCTCTTGACTATCGGTAAAAACAGTGCTTGGAAAATTTTGTTTTTAAAATTTTCTTTACTACGCCGATATTATGCACATACGAGTACATACCTGTAAGACTAGCATCCAACTAAGATAAAAGAAGATGTTCGCTATTCTGAAAATTCTTGGAACTATCTTATAAACGGACCACGTTAGTATGAAGATAGATATAACTATTAGCCAACATCTCACGAAAAAGTATAAAATTAGTTTTTCCAACAATCTTCCTCTTCTTTCTGGTGCCTTAGTACCTAATAGAGAGCACTTTTCATTAGCACAGGATACTAAATAAGGTACCCGGGGGTAATAAGGCCCACCAGATATTAAGGCCCACCAGATATTAAGGCCCGACGCTGGTTTGCCCAAAGGAAAGCGCCTAAAATATTTATATCGCCATCTGTTAATAATATTTAGTATTACTGTTGCCGGAAATGTAATTTTGTTCTATGGTTATGAGCTTCCTGGCTTGTTCTATGGTGTCACGTTTCGCTGTGCTGTATTTTATAAGAATTTCGACCGGTAAGTAAGCAAATTAAATTGTTTTAATAATACGAAGATTTTTCAGTATGTATGCATGATAATCTATGTATCTGATGGTTTCATTTTACGTAGCTTTTTTTTATGTTGGGTTTGTTTGTTGTTTAATAACCTCAAAATTAATTTTATTGTGCTACAGGTTATAAGGCCCGGGCCTTATTTTCTACAATGCATTGAAAAAGGCATGGGCTTTATTTTCTGCCGCCATGAATACACGTATTCATTAGATTTATTTATTCTTTTACAGAAGATGGGTAAAAAAAGCAGACGGATAAGGGCAAATTGGGGTGAAGAGATGATGAGAGAGGCATTAAATTATATTAACGAGGGAAAATCTCAGCGCTGGGTGGAACAAAAATGCGGAATACCCAGACGAACACTTAGGAACCACATTAAATCACAAAGCGTGAAGAGAAAACTAGGTAGACAAACAATTTTGACCGATACTGAAGAGACTGACCTTGAGAATAAAATAATTCGGCTAGCCGATAAAGGTTTTCCGCTAACACCAAAAGCATTAAGAAGGTCTGTGTTCAGGTATGTTGAGCAAGAGAAAATTAAGCATTGTTTCAATCAGGAAACTCGTCGGTAGGAAGTGGGTAAGGACTTTTCTCAAAATCATCCGAGAATATCAGAACGTCGATCTCAATTCATGAATCCAGCAAGATCCCAAAAATTAAATCGTTTTATCGTAGAAGATCATTTCAAAAAAATAGGAGATTTGTTGGAGCGCACTCAGTTAAAAAATAAAGAAGCAAAAATTTATAATATGGGTTGCCGCTTGACTTTTCACCACCAAAAAAACGTTCTGGCAGCCAAAGGAGCAAAACGAGTGCATGTAATTTCTCATGAACACGCCGAAAACGCAACTATCGTCGCTTGCGCTAATGCTCTCGAACATGCCATACCGCCTGTCATTCTTTTTAAGGGCAAGAGAATGAAGCCAACCTACTCAGATGGCTTACCGGCTGGCTCAAAAGTTATGATGACGCCTAAAGGGAGCATGACGATACAAACGTTTGATAAGTGGTTAGACCATTTCATTGAATACATGTCGCCTCCGCCAGTAATTTTAATTTTTGATGGGGCCAAATGCCATTTGGATATTAGCATTGCTGAGAAAGCAGAAGCTCATGAGATTCACTTATATTGTTTGCCGAGTAACACCACACGTGAGCTTCAGCCGATAGACAAAGCTATATTTCGAGCATTTGAAGCTTATTGGGACGATGAATTGTTAAAGTACTGGGATAAACATCCTACACGTGATTGAAACAGGGAAAGATTTTCTGAAGTTTACACACCTACATGGCAGAAAGCAATGTCCATTGGAAATATTACAAGCGGCTTTCGAGCTACGGGAATATGCCCTTATGATAAGGATGTTCTTCCCATTGAAGCATTTGCCCCAAGTCTTGCAACTGAGAAACCTTACCAGGAGACGACCGCCGCTGCCAATGATTCGGAATATGATTCAGATGACTACCTGCCTTTAGGTGAATTGCGTAAAAAATTAATCCCTTTGAATAATTCCTTCGCGGAAGTGTTACCAACACCAGATCTAGTCAAAAAAAAATCTGTTCCAAGACGTAAAGTTATAAATTACAAAGCAGTTGAAGTCAAGCGATCCGTATTTTTAAAGGAGGTGGAGTCTCAACTTGATCCCGTTCCAGTCTTATCGAATACCGCTAAATCGCCATCTGAATCTGTGTCTTCCATTGCATCAAAAACAAAAGAACATAACGAAGAATGGCACTGTGTGATTTGCTACGAAGACTATGTAGCAGATATGAGACGATGTGCTTCTTGTGGTTTTTGGGTCCATGAGGATTGTGCTGGTTTGACTGCGGACGATACTGAAAATTTTTGTGTCCAAACTGTATGCCTTAAGTATTAGATTTATAGTTAATACCATATTTTATCTTTGATACTGTTTTTTTAGTGTGTTACATTTATTTTTTATTCTATCAGTATTTTATTGAACTGTTATTTTTTTATCTCTCATTCAAATCTTATTATATGTCGTTGCAGATATTAAGGCCCAAAGAGATATTTTTGATATATATATATATATGTCTGGATATCATTATTTTAATATTTTCTTTTAATTTTTTGATTTTTTTTGTGTTTTGTTTATTCGTTTGACTTGTTTTTTGTTCATTTAAATATGGGCCTTATTATATGCACTTACAGGTTTTAAGGCCAAGAAGACAATTTTTTTAATGTTCGCGTCTCGACATATAAGCATGATTATTTTGTGTTCAAACATTACCATTATGTTAGTTTATACCCTTTTCTATTTTTTATAATAATAAAAGTTTGAAAAAGCAAATTTCTCTCGTAGATATTAATTATAATTTCTTAGGCGGGCCTTATTACCCCCGGGTACCTTATACTAAGTCACGTATAAAAAAGAACATCCAGTGAAAATGAATGGATTACAACAATTTTTTTGTTTACAGGTCTCTTAGGGTTAGGTAGGTATTTGAAGAACATTTTAGAAAAAGCGGACCTATGTTTATATGAACTTTTTTTCTTAAAATTACTCAAATTAATGTTACATACTTAATTAAGACCCTGTAGACGTGACTTGCGGGATCAAAAATATCTCAATTGTGTAACAAAGGCACTGCTTTTGTGTAAATACCTTTATATTTAATAAGCTTCTATTTTTGGCCCTACTATACCTGCTGTCTCGGTTTCTTCTATGAGCAACACATCTTTGCGTCTACTAGATTTGTCTGCCAGATATTTTCGGATGGTTGTCAAGAATATCATTGTAAAAAATGTCTTAAAGCTGACTTCTAAGGTCTTAAATCGATCTTCCATATAATACTCGAATATACTTCTTTCATCTCGTTCGATTTTCTACGAGAAATATCAATTCTCTTATACATGGAAAGCCAAATTTGTCTGATGACTTGAGCTCAATGTGTACGAGAGAGAAGACTGAGAAGTATCTATCCAGACATGTTAGAAAGAGATAGAAGCCGGCTGAACGGCGAAGGTCATCACCACATAGCCTAGCAACGGTAACGCAGAAGATCGTGCAATATGTCGCGTTGCCAATATATAGAAAATGTTCGTACAGGCTCCTACAATAGGTTAGATCACTGTCAAATCTCAGAAGGAGGGCTGTTCAAATATGTGATGAATAGGTACAAAGATGTGGATGCAGAATCTAAAAAGCATAAAATATAATTATTTAGTTATTAACATTGAATGACTCATGAAAATTTGTGATGTTATTTTAATGTATAATAAATACAAATTAGGATCTTGCGTATTTAGGTAGCTGGGCTGAAATACTTTTGTGTGCCTAAAAATCGGTCCCCTGAAATGTAATCTACTTTTTGGGCGAACCGTAAGCAATTTTTACAAAAATGACAGTGATTCGTTAATATAACACTGTGGGTTAATCAAACTACAACATGAAATTTAACTAAAATTTTATATTTATTGGAAAATTTTAGTAACATTGTTGTCTTTTCCAGTAACGCAGTAGTTTTCCATACAAAATATTACTGTCCCTACACATCAGTCTCATGATATAGAGACCAGCCTCGCGTATTCTCTGCTAGATGGCCTTCATGAAAATTATGCTCAAAACTACTTCATTCAACCTTGTTTAGGGCTCCAATAGATACGATTTACTTTGAACGTGAAACGAAATAAAAAATATTTTATATTGTGTCCCCAGCAAAGCACAAAATCTTAACTACCCTGAGTTTCTATGTGAAAATAGAACTTAAAATAAGTGTATCGCTAAAACATGTACCTCATTCCATTTGACTTGATGTGACTATTAATTCGAGCAGTGGCCGTTAGATAAGCTGACTCAGCGAATTGAAGTAGCCGCTTGACAGCCATTATAAGAGATGCGTGTGTTTATTGTGCGAATGCTGAGTTACCGTCAAAGAAATGTAAGTAAAGCTGATATTTGATTTATGAATTTGTGATTACATAGTCAGTTAGGTATATTCTCCAATGCCGATAATGAAATTGCTTTGGGTTGTGTGATTGAGTGCAGACAAATGAAATAATCAAAAATTGACCACTGCGTTACTGCTACACTGCGCTACCAAAAAAAGTAACGCAGTTGTTCCGCTAGTAACACCGCTGTTTTAGGTGCACTAGTGGAACCAAAATACCCATTCGACACTCCTTTGATTTTAGAAAGAAGCTTATCAACGAAATGGCTCTGACACCAGCGGAAAAGCAGCGTCGGTATAGGCTGAAGTTGAAGCTGGACCCCGTAAAAAATGATGAAGCTAAAAGAAAACACCTTGAAAGATGCCACGCCAAAAAAAACAACTAGTGAAAGATATTACTGAACGAGAGCATAGAGCTGCTAAACGTAGATGGAAGATTGCAAATAAGAAACGGCGAGAACGACAAAAAGCTGCACAGCAACTGGTAGAAAACACGCCGTCTTCCACACCACGTTCAGGAACTCCAGATTCACCCAGGTGTAGAGGCCGGAAACGGGTGAGGCGCGACCGATCAGCGTTATATAGACAGAATGTGAAATTACAGGAAGAACTGGAAAGACTGAAAAAGAAGTGTAATGAGTACAAGAAGAGGTATCAAAGGGCTAGACAGCCTAGGATCAATCCTGATAACAATAAATATTCTACATTATCAAATGCTATTAGGGTTCATTACAAAGGACTGACAACAGTAAAAGAAAAGAGAGCTCTAAGACAAGTTTTCCACGGAGAAGCCATATCAAAGTCAAAAATGAAGACTGCTATTGTGCGTGAGACTTTGGGCATTGACCAGCTAAAACGAAAGCTGACTCTCTCTAAGAAATCGGACCTTGTTGGAAAAATCAAGGAGTTCTTTAATCGCGATGATGTTTCTAGAGCTACAGCGGAAAAGCGAGAAACTGTAACCTACAAAAAGTAAAAAGTCAAAAACGATATTTACTGGACACAATGAAAAACCTTTACTGTTCATTCAAGAAAGAGTTTATAGGTGAGAGATGTTCATATTCATACTTCATAAGACATCGACCGTTGTATGTAAAGCCGCCTACAGTTGGTGGTAGAGAAACTTGCCTATGCAAGTTACACACTAACACCCAGTATATAATAAATGCTCTCCATAAAAACAAAATCATTCCTGTTCCAAATATGAGCAACCTCGTGTCAAGCTTAGCATGCTCAACAAATAGAAGAGCGTGCATGACCGGCAACTGTGGAGACTGCAATACTAAACAAATAGTATGTAATATACGGAATGACCTTCACTCACAATCAGTTAAATGGCCTCAGTGAGTTAGAAAGTGTGAAGTGATAGAGAGGTCAAGTAAAAAAGTGAAGATTACAAAAAACGTAAAAGAAATTAATAATAATAATAATAATAATTAATTAACGTCTTTTATTTGTAATATTCTTACAGGAGGCGAGATTTAGATTATATATCTATTCTACCATCAATTGTTGAAGGGACTGTTCCAGAATTAATAGGAAGGTTTAATAAAACCCTGAGAGAATTGAAAAAACATATGTTTAACATAAAAACACAGTATAGGAGTTATAGAGATGCTATAGATAATTTGAAGAGTGATGAAATCGTTCTACACATCGATTTCAGCGAGAACTATAGCTGCAAATGTTTTGAAAAAGTGCAGTGCCATCATTTTGGCGGCTCGCGGAAGCAGTTTACATTACATACTGGAGTTATGTACACCAAAACAGAAGGAGAGGACAAACCGACGATAATGTCATTTTGTACCATCTCTGGAAATAACTCTCACACTCCCGTGTCTATTTGGGCACACCTCCATCCAGTTATTAGCAATTTAAAAACTGTACATTCTAATATAACAACAATCCATTTCTTCTCCGATGGTCCTGCTACTCAGTACAGGCAGAAACTAAATTTCTATTTCATATGTACGGAAATATTCAAGTACAACTTCGATCGCGTCACATGGAACTTCTTTGAAGCAGGTCACGGCAAAGGTGCCGCTGATGGTATTGGTGGTTACCTTAAACGCACTGCAGATAAAAAGGTAGCGACTGGTTCAGATATTTCTGATTCAGAAACTTTTTTCCACACATTGAGGAACTCGAGCAAGGTCCGTCTGTACTTGGTGACTGATAATGACATTGAAAATGTCGAAAAAACTGTACCAAAAAATGTAGTACCACTCCAGGGTACTATGCAGGTTCATCAAGTTTTCACTGATACTCCAGGTGAATTAAAATATAGAGACCTTAGTTGTTTCTATCAAAGAGGGTTTTGCTTATGCTTGGATCCAAAAACCTATCGGCCACTTCCTACTCCCGTCGTTGGCAAAATCAGCAACTCTACAGAAAAGAGTTATGCAGATGGATTGAACAACAAAGAACTACTAGCCGATATATCCAATGTCCCTACCGAATCTAGAAGAAGTTACTACAGCATGGTTTACTCCCCATCTTCTAGCTCTGACGAAGAGGTTCTTGCAAACTTGGACCAGCCATCTGTGTCTAACGTGAAAGAAAAACAGCTAATAGATAAGGAAAACGGTCATCCATAGAAGATATCAGATGGTGTTTACGTTTTAGTTAAAGTTTCTTCCGTTAAAGACAAACATTATACTTACCTGGGAGTGGCTAAAAGTACTGTTGATGAAGAGGGAGACGTCAAGGTCATGTTTTATAAGACTGGAGATTGTACTGCTAAAATTTTTAAAGCAGTCGAGACTGATATATCTTACGAACCTTATGACAATATCTTACAAATCGTTCCTAATCCTAAAATGGTCATGAAAGGTAAACGAGCATTCTTCGAGTTTGACGAACCATTGAACGTTTTTGAAAAATAAAACTTATGTACGTTTGCCTAATAGTTTTTAAGATGTTGAATTATTTTTGTTACTTTATGGTTGTGCAAATCATTCGAAGTATATACTGTACGATAATGAAGTTTATAACTTACAGTTATGTTATTTTATATTGCGTTATGGCCTGGGAAGTTCATTTTTTAGTTAATTTTTGAGCCTACTAGATCTACTTTATGAAGGCATAAAGTGATGTGAGTATGATACCACTTTGTTACTGTGGTTACCATTGCGTTACCATTTTGTCCCCAGTTTTGAACAGCATTAAGAATAATGTTTGCGTTTCTTGTAAGTGAAAATTGTCTTGATTCCATATGTACCTGTTTTTCACCAAAAGTTCAAGCTTATCGCCCTATTTTGGTTTAGTATACGATTTTTGCTGTTGTTATTTTATATAAGTTTATGTCTATAAATACGACATTAGTAACGTAGTTGTCTAAACTATAACAAATATTTCTTTGAACTGATCAGTTCTGTGATATTACTTAATGGGAGGATAGTATTAGTGGTACAGTTCAAGGGCGCCAGAGTAGCGAGCTCAGCAGCGATGTTTCGAAAATAAAATTTCATTTTGTAGTAAAGTAACGCTGTTGTTTGATTTCACCACCACTTCCTACATAAACTGCCAAAATCATTGTAGTCTCATTGAAAAGTTCGCTGCAAATGTAACCATAGCATGGAACAAACTATCACCAAGATGTAGCTGCCATAAATTATAAGAAAATATCATATTGATTTTCCCAGTTTTTTTCCTAAACTACATCTGGAATTAGGCATCGAAAAGTATTTTGGCCCAGCTAACAAAATGCCGCCTAAGAATTTTCAAAACTCAAAGTACTTGTCCAAAGTCGTTTAAATGTTTTCTTGACTTCATTTCTCGTGGGATTTCAAAATAAATTGAACTTTAACATTGCCACTTTTTCCCCTCTATAAGACGTTTCGTGTCTTGTTCTCCAGCATCAACTTTATTTTTCAAGGAGGCCATATTGGTTTTATGCACAGGTAAATAGAGTTAATTAATTCCGAT